ATTGGTGAATCCCATAGGCATAGAAGTAATCCTCAGAAGTCCTAGTGGCGATAGAAAAGAGGTAAGGTCACGACTGTCAGGGTGCACTTTTCGAGCATCAAATCCCCAAAAAAGATCAAATACAGTATAGCATTGCAAACCAGCAAATGGCTCCACAAAGTCGTCAAGGATAGGTGGTACTCCTGAGTCTTTGATAGTGACTGCATTTAGTGGCTGAAGATCATGGACGATGCGAATCTTGCCATTCTTCTTCTGAACGCAAAACCACTTAGAGCGATAAGATGACTGGCTAGGCTCATAGACTCCAGCTTTGATTTTGTCTCTGAGCAATTCTATGACTTCATTCTTGATTCCAGGAGGAATAGGAATGTTCTTGTATTCCCAAGGGACATGTGGGAGAACAGGTATGACGTAGGGAGAGAAGTAGTCTTCTCTGAACGTTCCTCTGTCAGTTTCCTCAAAGGCAAGACTGCGCTGATTGAGTATCATGATGTGAGCGAAAAGCTTTTCCTCTTCTGGCCATAAGAATCCATCAGAGTTTAGCTTCATTTCGTCATAAAGGCGCTCCTTGGTGAGCTTCGGCGTGGGAATGAATTCTGGGGGAAGGACAGGAAGGGGTGGGAGCGAAAGGAGTGGGTCTTCTGGAAATGACCGAGTGACACGTGCATCTTCTGGGAATACTCCAGGAACAGGTTTGACTTTGCGATCAACACGTTTGTAAGCTCCAAAACTCGACCAATCGGGTGCTGGTACAGGTATAGGATCCACAATGTCTATCATGTAAGTCTATCATGTAACTAGGGTTAAAACAAAAAGTGTTCAAAGAAGGAAAGTGCCGTGGTAGTTTTGCGTCATCTCGGACCAAATAGGATAGGGATGAGGTCGGAAGTTTTACAAGGAGGGAAGGAAAAAGATCAGATAAGAACGAAAGGCGAACATAGACAATAGAAAAAGAAGTTGGTACAAGAGTAAAGGAAGGAAAAACCGGATAACATAGAAATCCAAGAGGCCATTTTGTACAAGTAATAGATATATAACAAGAAAGAAGAAAAAGGGAAAAGGTGGCATATGGTCCAAGAGCGCTGAATGGAGTGTTAAGTAAGAAAGGAATATAGAAATGTATCACCAGCATCTACCTCAAACTTCAACTGCGGCACTAGCAAGTACCTCAGTGCTGGTGGTGAATGTGGATGCACTGGATGGATGAGTTGTCCTGTTGTGGAGGTGAATAACCTCAACACGTTCTCGTCGACAATAAGCGCGAATACGAGGGAAGACAAAACCGTAGAAAAGGGTGAGGACAAGTAACACTCCCACCACAATCTCGATGATGAGAGCTTCTTTAGTAATATGAAACCCTTCGAGCCAGGACATGTTAGGTGCTTGTAATGCTCGATGTAAGCGTTTAGGATGGAGTGAAGATGTGTTAGAATCGGAGTAGAATTTCTGGCACTGGTGTGAATAATTGATAATGGCTGAGCTGATGGTGATGTGGGAAAATGATGATAATGATGCATGGAAGTTCGAAGATAAGGAGTAATATCGGATGATATATTGATGGAAGGTTGATGCTCCACTCCTATTGTTGTGGAGAAGGATAAGTGAAGGGGCAGTGAGGATTCAATCTCCCTTTCATCCTCTTGACTATCATTGCAAATAGTATGCATGAGTGTGCGATTATCAGGAGAAATTGACGAAGCAATAGTAGCATTGGTAGAGGATAGTGATGGGGGTGAGTCACTGATGTTTGATGGTAACTGTTGACGCGAATATGGGGGTGGTGATTCAGAATCAGTGGATGAGTAATCATCAATTAGTCCATTTATATGATTGTGTATCGGCTCCGAATCGGATTCTTGTATTACCTCCACCGTCACATTGACTTGACCATTCATATCACGTGATGGAGGTCCATTTATATCTTCATCAGTGGGAATTGGAAATGACTCTGTTTGAGGAAAGAAGCGAATATGTGCAGTTCCTGAGCGACTGATAATAGATTGTGCTCTTCCAGGTCCATGATTCTGGTCAAATCGCAAATGAGCATGGAGTAGGACATAATCCGCATAAAGGTTGTGGTTTTCATCGAAGCCATGGTGTCCTCTCATGACATAGTCTGAAGTTATTGAGAGTGAGCTCATGTTGTGACGATATTGAAGGTTGTTCAGTAGACCAAAAATAGCAGACCTTTCATCTTCCCTGATTGAGCGAATATGGTCAAAGAATGTTCCGAAGGTACTGGCATTGGGGATAGGGATGGAGGCTTCAATAGTTTCTTCTAGACGATGTTGATGATGAGAACTGTTGTTAGAAAACCACACACAAAACAAACTAACACACAATCCTCCCAGATTCCACGGAACTTGTTTATGGGCTTTGCCTCCTAGAACAGTGGAGTGGTCTGGTTGTTCGTGGGGTGGTACGTATAAAGATCCTTCAAAGTAAAACCCAGAGGTGTATGAGTGTGGGTTTTGAGGAGGAGGGATAGTTGAATTTATAGGAAGATAGGTGCTTTGTGGCGAGTATAGACGAGCACTACCTTGCTAATGGTAGCACAAGGTAGGTTTGAGAACGACGAGGATGACGAGGTGACGAGGTTCCCAGTGATAGCAGGCTCCTGACGCACAAACTGTAGTGCTCAGAAGGACTCTAATCGAAAGGGATGACAATGACTTCAAAAGTGAGAAGTGACGATGACAGCAGTTGACAGTGGTAGAAGTGGGAAGTGTTGTGACTACACTGGATCACAAGTAGCAGAGTAGTGAACTTGAGAGTAGAGAAGAAGTCTGGATTGGATTTCTTGTTCTTCTTTTTACAAGGTAAAATACAGGGGTTTATATAGTAAAAGAAAAGTAGGCTATGCACAGTATAGCTGTGCAAAAAGAATGAGAAAGAACATGAAGGAAGGAATGTATGCTGACAAATCCTGTGTAGGTAGTACAGGATAAGATTGTCAAAAAAAGGAAAAGAAAGAGATAGAACAATGAATGCTGTGAGTAATGTCACAGGTTTGTACAGCCATAAAGTAAAGTCCAATAGCAAAAAGAGAGCAGGAAAATCATGATGTCATGGGAAGATGCAGTAAAAAAAGGCCAAGGCAAAACACTATCAGTATCAACACAGTTCCTTTATTGTCAGTCAGGCATTCTAAAAAAATATGTGTCCATAAAAATGATTCAAAAATCAAAAATAATCGCACTGTAAATGAATGTTCTGCTGAAGAAAAAGAAACTGGAGCCACCGGTCCACCACCTAGTCCAAATCCGACAGTTCCATGGCCTTATCAATGGACTGGTTGTGTTGGACCACCTGATCAAACGAGGGAGGGAGAGGAGTAGTTCCAATTTGGAACAAGTGAGTCCCAGGCAGCGTGTGGTAGGTGTAGCTGTAGCGAAGACGATGGACAAATGATAAGTGTACCCAAGTGAATGGGACAGCGATGAACATGGGCGACGCAAGGGGATGAACCTTCTCCAGCTCAAAAACTACCCACCCACGCTCCAACCAGGCAAGACGAGCGACCGATGTTTTGATAGTATATGATGGCAGATCGACGTCATGAAGATGGACCTGTTGCCCTATTTGAACCGGCCGCCGGGGCTTTGCTGATATCAGCAGTGGCACGTGGTAGTCAACGGATTGGCGACGGAAGCGGATAGGAAGTGGTGACATCAGAAATGGTGGGGGTGCAAATAAAATGAGGAGGAGGAGGGTGGAGGTGACGGAAAAGTGGATTAGAATGGGGATCCAGAAACAACCGTCAGGTGAGAATAAAAAGGAGAGGAAGGGGCCCATGGTGGGGCTAGGCAAAGGAAGGGGAGTAAGGGAAACGACAAAAGCGAGGGCGCAATGCAATGTGTAGCCAGTGGCGACGCGAAAATTTGCCGAAATGCCGAAATGCGGAAAAAAGCAAAGGTGAGCGTGACTGGATTGCCTAATAGAGGTGGTGCTGATCAGCCACAAGTTTGAAACAGGCAATATTAATTACTATTCCACGTGGCACTGTGCCTGTGTGGCGCAAAGGCGAGTCTTTTTGAATATTTGCTTCGTTATTGACACCTGTCCATGCTACCAATCAACTTTGGTGCATGACAGCGCTCTGCAGTGAGAGCGACTGCATTCATAGTCTCCTGCGATTTGTATGCAGTATCCAAGTCTTGCTTGGCTTGACCACTGGAAGGTTTCCCATTGATATCTAAGCACTGTTCATGAAAGAAAAATGAGCAGTGTCAGTAAATATATCATGATACAACGGTTATTTTATATTGCTTACTTGGTCAAGCAATTGCATGGCAACATCAAGCAGCTGATATAAGATATCTTGCTCAACATTGTGAATCATTTTGTTCTCGCCAAAAGAATACCTGAAAGGGAGATTGGAAGGAGTCATTGGAGAGCGCAGGAGATTTTGTCCCAAGATTGAAGAAACAGTGGACAATGGATGCACTGGCAGGCAATGGGTAGCCTCGCTTCTTTTCACACCTCTATTAATGCGGTGGTGGTGGTGGTAATAGTGGCGTTGGAGGTGTTGGCAACGAGAGAGAGACGAGGAACAGGATATGCAATAGTCTTTTTGGTGGTCTAGAAAAACCATTGCTATTACTTCAGACTAGGTTGTTGTCATACGGTTGGGAAGGTTAGTAACGTGGCCTTGGTACGTGTTCACCGTTGTTACAATCTCTATTGGACATTTAAGGACTACTCATTTCTTTTTACTCATCGGTTATACCATCGGACCAATGACTCATTTCCTTCACGTATACTTCTGTTCCTCTTGCATTTGCAGTACCTATTATAGTACTTAGTCCTCAACGGACGGACCTGCCCTAGATAGGACCTAACCCCTATCACCGATTCCTTTCTATTATAAATACCATGTAACAGCAGTAGTATACTCCAATACGATTCTACACAGTTTACGCTTACAAAGCTAGACTCCTAAGATCAGACTTCTACTCAGAAGAAGACCAACTCTCGTTGGAAGACCTCCACTCAGAACTATGTTCTCGAACTTGTCTTTGGATAAGTCTCTTTATAAAACCTCGACGAACCTTCAAACTTTGTTAAGCACTTTGTGCGTAACAAAAGAATCGTATTCTAACCAGAAGTCCCACCTATTTAGGTTTGGGAAGAAAAAGTCGACAAGACGTTGCAGTGACCAACAACCAGATCCCAGAGAGCAAGAGGAAGCTCAGACAACCAACAAACAGCAACCCCACCAACATCATCCCGACAAGAAAGGATAGCAGCACCGCCTCCCTTTCCCCAACCAGACGTAACCCGACTCCACACCAGAGAACAAGCAGACACTTTCTACAAAGCCAGAACACGTTGGCTACAGTACTATGCAGGAAGCCACCCACAGCTACTGCCCACAACACAACACGATCCCCCAGTAACCGTAGAAAACCTCTACGACGAGAACAACTTTGAAGAGTTTGCAGCAGGCGGTGACCCGATACCACCTCCCACTCCACAGATACTCCCCGCTGCACCTGCTCCATCCCACATCCCACCACCACACACCATGTCTAACACTGCAGCCCCCAAACCCACAATGATCGGGAAAATTGATGACTTCGATGGAACCCCAGATAAAGCCCAAAGGTGGATATCGTCCACCGATCTACACTTTGATATCAATGACACCATCTACAACTCCGACAAGAAAAAGGTATATGTGGCCCTCAGCTACATGAAGGACGGCAACACCGCCTCATGGAGCGAAGCCAAGATGACTGAATACAAAGAGAAGAATGCCTACCCCACATGGGCAGACTTCATGAAAACCTTCACAGCCAGTTTCAGAACGGCAAACGTCAAAGGAACGGCCTCGGCCGCCTTGATGAAAATGAAAATGGAACAAGGAGAAAATGCAGTAGCGTTTAACTCAAGGTTCATGCTAGATGCTGGGAAAAGCGGCATCAACAATGAAGCCATGACCATGGTTTATCAAAAGGCTATCCGGCCACCCCTCCTTCGCGGGGCACTCACCGGAAAGGAACTACTCACCATCGAAGACTGGATGAGCACAGTAGCGAACCTAGACGCTAGCTGGATCAGTGCCAACACTATCTCGGAAGGAGCGTGAAGACAGAACAACAGAAACCGCAAGAGTGGACCATCCACTAGCACCAGAAGATTAACCAAAGACGAAGAAGAATCAAGGAGAAAAGAGGGAAGATGCTTCATATGTAATGAGAAAGGACACATAGGAAGGAATTGTAGGAACAAAGGAAAAATTCCCGAAAGAAAGGTACGTCAAACCAAAACGGAAGATGACACCAAAACAGTGGTAGAAGAAGACAGGGTCCAAAATATCATGAGGATGTGGAGGGAGTTAGGAGAAGATCAAAGAACAGAGGTGATGAAAGAATTGGAAGATGAGGGTTTTTAAAACGACGGACTACCCCAATGTTAGTACCATCAAAAATGGCAACTGTAACAATAGCAACAATCAATGCCAACTCTTTACGAATTGATTGCTCGTTGAAACAGAAAACCATCGGAACCAAAGCCCTGATAGATTCAGGAGCTACAGACGACTTCATGGACACCAAATTCGCCATCAGACACCAACACCCCCTCCAAAAACTCCCAACTCCTATAACATGTAAAAATGTTGACGGAACCACGAACAAAAACGGAAAAATTACGCATTGCACCTATCAGAGGATAGATGCAGGAGGACAAAACAGGTTCACAAAGTTCCTATTGACCGGACTAGACGGAGAAGACGTATTACTGGGATTTCCCTGGTTACAAAAAGTCAATCCCGTCATTAACTGGAAAGACAAGGAATTACCAAACTCAGACAAACACTCCATCAGGATGAACCAAACAACCACGGAAACAAAAATCAGGACAACTGCAGTAAAGGAAGACGTGTATGAAACCATTCATGGATACGTATCCGACCAAACGCCCTATCCTCGAACCACGATTTGATTAAAGGTCAACTCGGCAATGGAACACGCGCAAATACACGGAGAAAAGAAGGAGCATAACCTCCCGGATGAATATAAAGGGTATTCGGACGTCTTTGACAAAAAGAAGTCGGAAAGACTCCCCAAGCGACAGGAATATGATCATGCAATCAACATGAAACCAGAATTCGTACTAACAGATTGCAAGTTATACCCATTGGCACCAAAGGAAGACGAAGCATTAACAGAGTTCTTAACGGAAAACTACAGAAAGGGATACATCAGGCCGAGCAAGTCGCCACAGGTGTCCCCTTTCTTCTTCATTGGCAAGAAGGATGGATCACTCCGACCGTGCCAAGACTACAAAAAACTGAACACATATACCGTGAAAGACCCCTATCCACTACCCCTGATACCCGACCTCATCGAAAAATTGAAAGGAGCCACCATCTTTACGAAACTAGATCTACGTTGGGGATACAACAACGTAAGGATAAAAGAAGGAGACAAATGGAAAGCTGCGTTTAAAACCAGCAAGGGAGTGTTCGAACCAACGGTCATGTTTTTCGGCATGTGCAATTCACCGGCAACATTCCAAAGGCTGATGAACAACAAATTCAAAGACTACATCGATGAAGGTTGGATGATCATATACATGGATGACATCCTCATCTTTGACACCAACATCGAAAGACTCTGAATCCGAACGAAACAGGTTCTACAAAGACTACGCGATAACGACCTATTCCTAAAACTAGAAAAATGCACCTTCGAAGTGGAAACCATTGAATACTTAGGAATGATTGTTTCCCACAATCAGGTATCAATGGATCCAGCCAAACTTGCTGGGATCCGCAATTGGCCAATCCCAAAAGACACCAAAGGTGTAAAGAAGTTCTTAGGCTATGGAAATTTCTACAGGAAGTTTATCGGTCATTACTCTGACCTTGCCAGACCCTTGAATGCCTTACTAGAAAAGGATAGGAAGTGGAACTGGACCCAAACTGAAGACGACACTTTCAAATTGATGAAACAAAAATTCCTTGAATCCCCCATAACACAAATTCCCGACTCCTCAAAACCGTCAAAGATTGCTGCAGACGCCAGCAAACACGCCACAGGAGCTGTATTAATGCAACCCAATGACCAAGGACAATGGCACCCATGTGCATTTTTCTCCAAAACTCTATCCCGTGCTGAAAAGAACTACCAGATCTACGACAAAGAATTATTAGCGGTAATGAGAGCTTTAAAAGAATGGAAACACTTACTTTTGGGAAGCCCCCACACGATCCAAATCCTGACAGATCACAAGAACCTGACGTACTGGCAAGAAGCCAGGAAACTCACACCACGACAAAGAAGATGGCAGCTGGAACTGTCACAATACAATTACACCTTGGAGCACGTACCAGGAACCCACATGGTGGTACCCGACGCACTCTCAAGAAGACCTGATTTATACGTCGAAACAGAAGGAGATGACAATGACACGCCAATAATACCCACCTCAGCGTTCCTGTATCACAAACAAACGATTAAAAACACAGTCGAGCAAGCCATGCTCACAAATGATAATTATCCAGGAAGAATGAAGAAAGACGATTGGAGAAAAGAAGAAGGACAGTTCTTTTATCAAAATAAATTACTGATTGATGAAGTAGAAGAACAAAAGACGATCATCAAAGATCACCACAATTCCCTGTTCACAGGACACCCAGGTAGGCTCAAAACCTACCAGTTGATCAAAAAGGCCTATTGGTGGCCAGGAATGATGAAACAAGTGAAAGAATACGTGAAAGGATGCGCAACTTGTCAACAAGCGAAAGTAAACACGCATCCCACCACCGTACCATTAATCCCAAACCAGACCCCGAAAACCGCAGAACCAATGAAGTACCTATCCGTAGACTTCATAACTGATTTACCAGAATCCTCAGGATACGACAGCATAATGGTCGTGGTAGACCAAGGACTTAGTAAGGGGGTAATCCTCTCACCTTGTCATAAAACCATCGATGCACTCGAAACTGCACGAATCTTTCACGATTCCATCTTCAAACAATTCGGATTGCACGATAAACTCATATCCAACAGGGGACCACAGTTCGCCTCTGAAGTATCCAAAGAACTCCACAAACTCCTGAACATTGAAACCGCACTCTCCTCTGCGTACCATCCCCAGACGGATGGACAAACAGAACGATCCAATCAAGAACTGGAGATCTACCTCCGCATATTTTGCCAGAACCAACCACACAGCTGGGCAAAATACCTTACAACCGCCAAATTCTGTCACAACCAAAGACCACACTCCACAAACAACCAATCACCATTCTACCTCCTCATGGGATATGAACCCCGAGGAATCCCGACTAAACACAGATCCACAAATATCCCATCAGTGGAAAAACGATTATCCGAACTGCTTAGGACAAGGGAAAACGCCCTAAAAGCACACGAACTCGCAAGAAGCAAGATGATAAAACGAAACAACGGAAAGTTCATGTGATTCTCCGAAGGACAAAAGGTGTGGTTAGAGAACACCAACCTGCGAGAAAAAGCTACCGAATACAAGAAGTTCAACATGAAACGCATCGGACCTTTCCGCATCCAAGAAAAGATTTCCCCGGTGAACTACCGACTATCCCTGCCTCCCCATTGGAGGATACACAATGTTTCCCATGCATCCCTTCTCACACCGTATACGGAAACCAACACTCATGGCCTGAACTTTATCCGACTACCACCTGACCTGGTCAACAAAGAAGAGGAATACGAAGTAGAAAGTATTTTTAGACACAAACCCTGGAAACACGGGCACCGCTACCTGATTAAATGGCGCCATTACCCTCATTCCGAAAACTCATGGGAACCGGAAGAACATTTAACCAATGCTGCGGAGATACTGGAAGCCTATAAGAAGGACCACAAGCTGCGTTGAAGAGACAATCACCCCACTACCAACAATCCTCTGTCTCTCAACACAAAACATGTCTACTTCTAACTCCACCGGCTTCCCTATCACCACCTACTCGATACCCGGCGATGCCAACTTGCTAGCCAACGAACGAGTGTCTTTTGCCCGTGGGCAACAACACAACCAAGCCGATGTCACTGATGCCATAGAATTAATGTCAGCAAAAGACGCCTATACCTATCTCTTTTACGAGACCAAAAAACGCTGCCCCCATGCGTATCACGCTCTTTCTTCCATGCATACCTTCCTTGCCATAGACCTCATAGCTGATGAACTCCTAAAAGCCATAGACTCAATACATTCGTTGGAAAGCGAGCATTCGCGGCTCAACAGTCAGGACTTGAGTATCTGTCGGGCACTCCGGATGGAAAAGTTAGTTTTGGAATCTTTGTAACGACACTTGAGGATGAGCTCCTTGAATGGGCAGATGGACTCGGCAAAGGAATATTTGGAATCAGGCGGGAGGACATTGCTAAACGGAGCTCGCACGCGGATAGAGCAAGACGGTTGTACGAGTACTCCTCCACCCGGTGTCATGCACCAAAGTTGATTGGTAGCATGGACAGGTGTCAATAACGAAGCGAATATTCAAAAAGACTCGCCTTTGCGCCACACAGGCACAGTGCCACGTGGAATAGTAATTAATATTGCCCTTTTTGAACTTGTGGCTGATCAGCACCACCTCTATTAGGCAATCCAGTCACGCTCACCTTTGCTTTTCCATTCGGTACTTTCCGCATTTCGGCATTTCGGCAAATTTTCGCGTCGCCACTGGCTACACATTGCATTGCGCCCTCGCTTTTGTCGTTTCCCTTACTCCCCTTCCTTTGCCTAGCCCCACCATGGGCCCCTTCCTCTCCTTTTTATTCTCACCTGACGGTCGTTTCTGGGTCCCCATTCTAATTCACTTGTTTGTCACCTCCACCCTCCTCCTCCTCATCTTATTTGCACCCCCCACCATTTCTGATGTCACACTTCCTATCCGCTTCCGTCGCCGATCCGTTGACTACCACGTGCCACTGCTGATATCAGCAAAGCCCCGGCGGCCGGTCCAAATAGGGCAACAGGTCCATCTTCATGACGTCGATCTGCCATCATATACTATCAAAACATCGGTCGCTCGTCTTGCCTGGTTGGAGCGTGGGTGGGTAGTTTTTGAGCTGGAGAAGGTTCATCCCCTTGCGTCGCCCATGTTCATCGCTGTCCCATTCACTTGGGTACACTTATCATTTGTCCATCGTCTTCGCTACAGCTACACCTACCACACGCTGCCTGGGACTCACTTGTTCCAAATTGGAACTACTCCTCTCCCTCCCTCGTTTGATCAGGTGGTCCAACACAACCAGTCCATTGGTAAGGCCATGGAACTGTCGGATTTGGACTAGGTGGTGGACCAGTGGCTCCAGTTTCTTTTTTTTCAGCAGAACATTCATTTACAGTGCGATTATTTTTGATTTTTGAATCATTTTTATGGACACATATTTTTTAGAATGCCTGACTGACAATAAAGGAACTGTGTTGATACTGATAGTGTTTTGCCTTGGCCTTTTTTTACTGCATCTTCCCATGACATCATGATTTTCCTGCTCTCCTTTTGCTATTGGACTTTACTTTATGGCTGTACAAACCTGTGATATTACTCACAGCATTTATTGTTCTATCCCTTTCTTTTCTTTTTTTGACAATCTTATCCTGTACTACCTACGCAGGATTCGTCAGCGTACATTCCTTCCTTCATATTCTTTCTCATTCTTTTTGCACAGCTATACTGTGCATAGCCTACTTCTCTTTTACTATATAAACCCCTGTATTTTACCTTGTAAAAAGAGAACAAGAACTCCAATCCAGACTTCTTCTCTACTCTCAAGTTCACTACTCTGCTGCTTGTGATCCAGTGTGGTCACAACACTTCCCACTTCTACCACTGTCAACTGCTGTCATCGTCACTTCCCACTTTTGAAGTCATTGTCATCCCTTTCGATTAGATTCCTTCTGAGCACTACAGTTTGTGCGTCAGGAGCCTGCTATCACTGGGAACCTCATCATATTGTCGTTCTCAAACCTACCTCGTGCTACGATTAGCAAGGTAGTGCTCGTCTATACTTGTCACAAAGCCCCTATCCTTCTATAAATTCAACTATCCCTCCTCCTCAAAACCCACACTCATACACCTCTGGGTTTTACTTTGAAGGATCTTTATACTTACCACCCCACGAACAACCAGACCACTCCACTGTTCTAGGAGGCAAAGCCCATAAACAAGTTCCGTGGAATCTGGGAGGATTGTGTGTTAGTTTGTTTTTGTGTGTGGTTTTCTAACAACAGTTCTCATCATCGACACCGGTTTGTCCCTCCGGTCCCTGTCGCACCCAGACCAGACCAGTGTTACCCCGGAGCGCACTTACCACATCATCACCCGTCAACCTACGCCCATCCCGTCGGAGGAAAAATATATTCCCACCGTCCCAACCAGCCCGATCTCACAAGAGTCGAGCCACTCCAGTCCCCATTCCATTGGGTCGAACCCAAAACCACCGTCTCCCCCATCATCTCCACCTCAACCAGTGCCAAACGCCCAAACCCGTCGCCTGACGAACCAACGAGGAGCCCGACGCGGCCGGCAAGAGGTGATACTCCAGATCCCTGCTGCCAGAACTCCATTGAAACGGCAGTCTCATATGTCGAAGGGACAGAAAGACAGTCCGATTGGCGCAATGCGCAGGCCTGAGACTGGCTCTCCCTCCAACCCAATCAACGTAGATGACGACGCAGCCATGATTGATCAGTTGTACGCAGGAACGTACGACCTGGGAGATGACGATCCAACCACTCCCCAATCCAACACCTCATCCAACACCCGGCGAAGATACCATGAAGGTGTTCTTAACAACACTCCATACTGCCAAAACTGCGGTTGGAGCGATCACCGCACATACTATTGCAAAGCCTACTATTGCCCCGACTGTGACCATTGTGCACCAGGACATAGTTTCAATTGGTGTCCCATCCGCAGAGAAGACGAGGATAGGATTCTGATGGAAGGATTACATGGAGATGTCAGCTACGATGACAGTTACAATATGGACGGCGAAGGTACCGAATTTTGGTGAAACTCGAAACGAGTAAGGGGGTAATGTTACAATCTCTATTGGACATTTAAGGACTACTCATTTCTTTTTACTCATCGGTTATACCATCGGACCGATGACTCATTTCCTTCACGTATACTTCTGTTCCTCTTGCATTTGCAGTACCTATTATAGTACTTAGTCCTCAACGGACGGACCTGCACTAGATAGGACCTAACTCCTATCACCGATTCCTTTCTATTATAAATACCATGTAACAGCAGTAGTATACTCCAATACAATTCTACGCAGTTTACGCTTACAAAGCTAGACTCCTAAGATCAGACTTCTACTCAGAAGAAGACCAACTCTCGTTGGAAGACCTCCACTCAGAACTATGTTCTCGAATTTGTCTTTGGATAAGTCTCTTTATAAAACCTCGACGAACCTTCAGACTTTGTTAAGCACTTCGTGCGTAACAACCGTTCACTTCATTTATGTAAAGTGAGAAACTGTGGGAAGACATACTGATTAGACCTGATAGGGCAGAGTCTGACTCATACCTAGTGAACTGCAAACCAATGTTACTCAGTCACAATGTTGTGATATAGATTGATCCATCAACAGCAATGTTGATGTCCAAGTTGACAACATCATTATAGCCCAATATTAATTGCAACATATTAACATGCTACAAATTCAAACTCCCGTCGGTGCTAGCACACTCTGCCTATGCCAGCAATGCCTTGGAATGACAAATTTGTTGGCCCAATGGCTGCTCTTTTTGCCCCTTAGATCTCCACCAAGCTCGCTCACTCTATGAGATAATCAGTCCGTGCCCAATGTTCATATACCTCAGTTTCATAAATTGATCACAATCAGTACTGATTTATAATACCACCCTAATTAGATCTCCACCAAGCTTGCTCACTCTGTGAGATACTCCGTATGTGTGCCTGTTATAACTTTACCAACATACTCACAAAAAAAAAAAAGCTGCACAAGGTTATGATCAATTGAACTATACTTTGACTTCCTCTCCACAAAGATACTTGCTCCATGATACTCCGTTATTCACGGCTGCTTCATATTACCATACCAGCACTGGTCTTCAAGTATATGACCATGAACTTTGATACTGAGTACATTTACCTTCTTCTTGTTCACACACTTCCTAACAACCAAGTCTCCTTGCTCAATACACTAACTTCATGCGTGCCAGTCTTTTTGATCTGCAGTGTTCAGTTTTCCATCAGCCCCTGTATTCTCCTGCGGCTTTGACTCTTGTAGCTCTGTTTTGGAACTTTGCTGTCTGTAATGTATTGTCTTCTACTAGTCCCTCTGGTGCCATGGGTTCTGCTGGTCGTGATCTTTAGTATCAAGTACGTCTATATACTTCTGTTTTACACTTCTTGCTGACCAACCTCCTTGCTCAGTCCGTTATTTTGATTGCAATCCAATCTCCTGGTCCTAATGTGTCATTAGCACTTGTGGTTGTTGACTATTGTACATTTATCCCGGAACTTTGCCATCCACATAAATCAATTTTAATTCTGTGTTATGTTTACCTGGGCCTTCACCTCATGTTTCACCAAATATACCAAGTCCTTCTTTGTTATCTACAGCTAAGCCTCAATTTTGTATTGTACATCTACCCCTGTCCTTACCTATGCTTCCTCTATGTACAGGGCTCTTAGTGTGCTATGTGCATGTTAGGTCTTCGGGCCTCCAAAAGGTCGCAATTTTTTTCCCTAGAGCTTACTGGGGACTTCTATTATCCCCAATTCACTCTTTGTACAACAGAGGTCCATTTTGGTTCCCAATATACTGTCCTATTCTGTGCTCAGCCTGTCTGGATTGGGTACTGTCCTAGCTGTCCATAACCTGCTGTCCGGCTCCACCAATGAGCAGAGAGGTGGATATTATTTCAGTGAAATATCTCAGGCTTTGGGAAACAGTGTCAACAATGAAGATATGGCTGCCTCTATACAAGCAGAAAATTTATTATGGGGAAGCAATGGATCTGACCTGCAACTCAATCACATGGTAAGTTTTTCCAGTAGACATGCATCAAAATATCTACTGATAATAATATATACAAGTAGCCTATTGCTTCCAGCTCGCATCATGGCACTGTGTCTCAATTGGGTCCATCAAATTATTCAAGATTTATTACATCCAGTTCCAGCTCCAGTACATCTGATATTTCTCTTGCTTTTGCCTCCAGCTCCCGCCAATAAATCACCTCGGACTATTCGAGAACGTCAAGCAATTCTCAGCATGCTTGCACGTGTCTACATTGCACCCGACACTTTGAATCAGAGCAAGGTTCTCTCCAGCAACGGTTTTCAGGTTTGGACTGTTATATCTGTCAAAGGAGGGTCAAGAGCACAGGGTGATAGCTCAAACAGTGGATCTTGGGGTGTAGGATCTACCATTTATTCAGGTAGTGGGGGTGGGGGGATAACTTAACTGATGGATCTTCGCTTCCCAGAACAACTCTCAACAGGGCTGACCTACTAAGAAGTAACCCAAACCATACAGAGTATGAGCCGGTAGTAGGGGACTACACTATTGCCGAAAAGACAACCCGCACATTAGACTAGTACCGCGTGTGTCTTGGTGTGGATAATTATAGGATCCTCAAGGATGCTTTGCTACATGCTTGTGCCATCAATATGCTTGACATATTTGATCCTCTGAATGAGGACATTGCTGACGACTACATCTCAGAAGCTAATGCACAATGGATGGCTGAGCATCCGTATTCACAGGGTTTAGGTACGTCTTAGATGCTCCCATTATATTCATTGTTTTTTACAACCATATCCAGTACATTACACTCCAGTGTCAGATTCTAGTGACCAAAGCGACTTACACATGTTCAACATTGTCAAGAAAAAATTGCAGAGTTTGGGGAAAGGGAAAAGGGAAAAGGGAAAAGGGAAAGGGAAAAGGGAAAAGGGAAAAAGGGAAAAGGGAAAAGGGAAAGGAAAGAGAAAGGAGAAAAAGAAGGCGGTAGACAATTATTGCAGTCACATTACTCCCCCGTCCTATAATCTTTTTTGGTCAGGTGGTAGGCATCGGGGCCCAGTGGAAGTTTAGTCAATGATTGATAGGTTTTTTGATGGAATAGAAGGCTACAATTTTGCAAATATATTGAACAGAGTGGTATGTTCATTCCTATCTATATAATACTGTATAGTTTAATATATGTGCACTCCAGGGACATGTTGTTGTACCTCTCCAGCATCCTGCCTTCAAGGAAGCTGTGAGGTTGATTTAATTTACTGATGAACAGGTGGTAATGTTGGCAGAGTGGGGGTCTAGCAGGTGCATACTATTGGCAGTATACACATACATCCTGACTATTGTAAGTTATGTTGCTTGATTTGTCATTCATCCATCTCTTACTATTAAACAGTTATATCATGCTTTTGAATGTCGATCAAGCGGAATCCGCAGGGGTAATGCTTTATTCAGTGAGGTGCATTATCAACACAGGGTATTTCTTCGAGCCCTGAGGTATGTCCAATTTGTTGCTGAACTTTACCCTGAATTCAATGCTTGCCGCACTTCACTCTGGATGCAAAATATTGATCAACACAAGTAAGTAAAGTTATTCTTGCATAAGATTCACTGATTGAACAGCACACATACATAGTTTTGGCCCACTCGGTGCTCTAAACAATGCTGACCCATTTTGAGTACTGTTGCCTTTTATACCTCAATGTAATAATCCAGCGACTGACTCAAATGCTGTGGATTTGTTGCCAGTTTCAGGTGTAGCACCCTACTCCTTCCCTACTTTGTTGACAACTTTTGTGCCCGCTCCTGTGCCTGTTTTTGTGGCACCACCAGCATTTAGCCTGTCTGCACCTAACAATGTGCTGTCTCAGTTGGCTGTTATCCCTGCTCCTCAGCCTATTCATGCTCCAGCTGTTCCCCCTGCTCAGACGTCAGCTACATAGGTCCTTCCCTTCCCAGAATATGATAAAGAAGATCTTATACATGCTGTCTCTAACATCAATTGCTCATTCCCAGCACGTCATTGTCGTCATTGTCATAGGCACTATTCTTTCTGATTCAATGTGCTTTGCTTCCATCTTTTCTGATTGTCTGGCTATGTTGTTCATTCACTATGATTACTTTTCTTGTATTTTGTCCATCCCCATTATACTTTCTTGTTGATTCTGTTGTACTTTTTCTTTTTTGCTGATTTTGATTTGATATCAATCTGTACGTCAATATTGGTTGCATTCCTTATGTCTCTCTATTCTTGAATGTGAATGTGTTTATATAATATCAGCAGTGTTTATCATCACATGCAGGCTTGTAAGTCATAATACATATACACACACGCTCAAGAATGCTTACTAATGAGCTGGCTGCGTGTTTCCTTACAACTATCATGATTGATCACCTTAATCCCTGTTTCCTCCCCTTGATGACACTACCCACTACAGGATGGTACTACTGCTAGTCTAATGTATGTATGTATTCATGCAGTAAACTTGTCTAGCTAGTACTACTGAAGGTCTTGCATTCATTTGCATGCAAGCCCTACCTTAACCTTGAGCCGGTGAGAACCTCACATTTCAACATTGCCACTATGCAAACATCAGTACCGCTCATTCTATTACACACACAGTCAACTCTCTTGTGGCCCGTATGATTTATCACTGACACTGTCAGAAAGACTATCTATCTGTGGAACATGTGTGTTGGGCAAGGACATCAATTGATATTAGCAAAGAGGAAGGGGTCGAATGACTCAGGTGCGTAGTGCTTTTCAGTTTTGGTGTGTGAATGCTGACTTTGATTTTGTAGCGCCAATTTTAACCACCTAATGTTGCAATTGATGTACCAGTACCTACTTACACTTCACCTTTTTTTGTACTTTTACTTTTATTTTTTCAAGTCACATGACCAGTCATGTGACCATTTACTTTACATTACATTTTTGGACCTTTCCTTTAATTTTCATTCTCCGCTTTAACCTTTTACTGTAGTTTTCACACTGTGCCATGTGGCACTTCCCTTTCAGTTCAAACTCCACCTTTCTCGCGCGGCGCTGCCTTTATTCTTATTTTAGCTACAAGTATCTCACGCAGTGGAGCTGGTCACACGGTGTCGATGATGAGAACTGTTGTTAGAAAACCACACACAAAACAAACTAACACACAATCCTCCCAGATTCCACGGAACTTGTTTATGGGCTTTGCCTCCTAGAACAGTGGAGTGGTCTGGTTGTTCGTGGGGTGGTACGTATAAAGATCCTTCAAAGTAAAACCCAGAGGTGTATGAGTGTGGGTTTTGAGGAGGAGGGATAGTTGAATTTATAGGAAGATAGGTGCTTTGTGGCGAGTATAGACGAGCACTACCTTGCTAATGGTAGCACAAGGTAGGTTTGAGAACGACGAGGATGACGAGGTGACGAGGTTCCCAGTGATAGCAGGCTCCTGACGCACAAATTGTAGTGCTCAGAAGGACTCTAATCGAAAGGGATGACAATGACTTCAAAAGTGGGAAGTGACAATGACAGCAGTTGACAGTGGTAGAAGTGGGAAGTGTTGTGACCACACTGGATCACAAGTAGCAGAGTAGTGAACTTGAGAGTAGAGAAGAAGTCTGGAATCGAGTTCTTGTTCTTTTGTTTTTTTTACAAGGTAAAATACAGGGGTTTATATAGTAAAAGAGAAGTAGGCTATGCACAGTATAGCTGTGCAAAAAGAATGAGAAAGAATATGAAGGAAGGAATGTACGCTGACGAATCCTGCATAGGTAGTACAGGATAAGATTGTCAAAAAAAGAAAAGAAAGGGATAGAACAATAAATGCTGTGAGTAATGTCACAGGTTTGTACAGCCATAAAGTAAAGTCCAATAGCAAAAAGAGAGCAGGAAGATCATGATGTCATGGGAAGATGCAGTAAAAAAGGGCAAGGCAAAACACTATCAGTATCAACACAGTTCCTTTATTGTCAGTCAGGCATTCTAAAAAAATATGTGTCCATAAAAATGATTCAAAAATCAAAAATAATCGCACTGTAAATGAATGTTCTGCTGAAAAAAAAGAAACTGGAGCCACTGGTCCACCACCTAGTCCAAATCCGACAGTTCCATGGCCTTACCAATGGACTGGTTGTGTTGGACCACCTGATCAAACGAGGGAGGGAGAGGAGTAGTTCCAATTTGGAACAAGTGAGTCCCAGGCAGCGTGTGGTAGGTGTAGCTGTAGCGAAGACGATGGACAAATGATAAGTGTACCCAAGTGAATGGGACAGCGATGAACATGGGCGACGCAAGGGGATGAACCTTCTCCAGCTCAAAAACTACCCACCCACGCTCCAACCAGGCAAGACGAGCGACCGATGTTTTGATAGTATATGATGGTAGATCGACATCATGAAGATGGACCTGTTGCCCTATTTGGACCGGCCGCCGGGGCTTTGCTGATATCAGCAGTGGCACGTGGTAGTCAACGGATCGGCGACGGAAGCGGATAGGAAGTGGTGACATCAGAAATAGTGGGGGTGCAAAGAAGATGAGGAGGAGGAGGGTGGAGGTGACGAGGAGGTGAACTAAAATGGGGACCCAGAAACGACGGTCGGGTGAGAATAAAAAGGAGAGGAAGGGGCCCATGGTGGGGCTAGGCAAAGGAAGGGGAGTAAGGGAAACGACAAAAGCGAGGGCGCAATGCAATGTGTAGCCAGTGGCGACGCGAAAATTTGCCGAAATGCCGAAACGCAGAAAGTACCGGATGGAAAAGCAAAGGTGAGCGTGACTGGATTGCCTAATAGAGGTGGTGCTGATCAGCCACAAGTTCAAAAAGGGCAATATTAATTACTATTCCACGTGGCACTGTGCCTGTGTGGCGCAAAGGCGAGTCTTTCTGAATATTCGCTTCATTCTTGACACCTATCCATGCTACCAATCAACTTTGGTGCATGACAACGGGCTAGGCCCCATGACATCATCAGCCACTGCCTCTAGCAACTGTACAGTACATACAAACAAACCTGTATTAGTATATAAACCCCAATAGATCTTGGGGAAAGACTCAGCGAGTCCTCCTGTTGTCTAGCACAACAAACCCGTTGAAACCTAAGGGGTGATCCCTTGCTTCTCTCTTCTCTCTTATGCTTGTCTGAGTTGTGCACCAGAGTAAATAACTCTTGGTCGTTACACCTGACCTGCAATTGTGGCAAATGCAGAAGTCGCATCGCTGAATTGAAGCTGTGGGAACACTGGCACCAGAAGTTTCTGAATCATCCCACTATCTCGTCACCATTGCATCACTAATCTGTCATCTAAGCGAGCCCCTTCCACTCCGATGAATAGAGATCTCGTCCATATTGGTGCTGTGCTGGTAATTGGCACCACTGTCACCTATGTGAGTTAACTTTTAAATCTTTTGCAAAATCTGCACTAACACTTTATTTATTTAGATCTTCACTCAATGTACAACTTGCTCCGCCAGAAACGGCATGACCCCAGCCCCTCCAATGGTAAGTAAAAGTTTTGATTAGCTAAACTACAAGGTCTCATTACTAACTTTTGTTCTGTTTAGCATACCGTTGGAGTGAGTAGATTGCTACATATGCCACTAAATGGCCATGCATACTAACTATCATTTTCAGCAAAACAACAATGTTAGTGCCAAAATTAGCTCATCACATATTTTCTAACGTCTTCACATCAAACACAGATGTCCAGACTGGGTCCCATGCTTTGGCTTCCGGTATTTTCAACGATGTTGGCGGCAATCAGTATAATTTCAACACCATCAACATCATTAATTGCTCGTGTCAAGCCAAACTGCCCCCCCGCTTGTGACTTCTGATTTGGTGGATACAGATGAACAGAACGCAAGGGAATAAGTAGTATATTAGAGTACATTAAATGTAGTCAGACCTCATTTATTCTACTGTAACACTGGCCAGCTACAACCACACAGGTACAGGGATTTATAAAGGGTAAGCGAACCTGATCTCAACATGGTGTCGGCCAAGCATTGATATTGTGTTTCTCACTTTCATGAGGACTGGTCTTACAGGGGCCCATATATACTGCATCCTAGAAATAGGATGAGAAAATGGCTTGGACTGCATCTTGCTGTAAGGTCTACCACATGTATGTATGTTGTGTTCATATTAATTCTTATATTGACAATCTCTCAACAAATGTTTAGCTATACTACTATGGTTTATTGCCCATCCTCATCTAGTGTAAGATCAATTGTGTTTGGTTGTGCAGGCCTCACAATTGTTTGAATGCACTGATGGTGGTGAAAGACCCTTTTTGTGGTCACTACACCACACAAGCATCTGGCAAAAAGGTGAGCAAAGTCTCTTTCCAGTAGGCCAGGACTGACAATCCTATTAAGTCTCATTATCTGGTTAAGAATGCTCTCTGGAATGCAGCCCAGTGGCCGACATTGCTCAATGTTTGCAACAACACCATTGATACCTGAATAAATAGAAGACCAGCCTACAATGAATCAGGGAAAGCCAATCACGGATTCTCAGGTACGTTACTGATAGGCCTTCATGCATTTTCTCCATTCTCACATTCCTCTAGAGTTGTTGGTTGCAGAGGAGCCTCACCATCTGGATAAACCTCCCTCATGAAATTTGGCTCAATGTTCCATTGAATGTTTATGACTCACCCCTTTGTGGGTATTTATTTACCATCAGGTCTTTTCTAGTATACATACGGTCCATGCTGACTGCTTCTCTTTAGAAAAAGCTGAACCACGAGTTTGGAAACCCACCATAATATCCACAATGGTGATTGGCACACAGTGCCACATAATCACCTGCGAAAGAACCCCCATTGGGGATGGTTATGGCGACCTCAGTGTATAATCCTTGGTTGTTTAGGCTGATGGCACACAAGCAACAGGGACCAAGGAAATCATATGCTTCTTGGTGGTTTGTAACGTTAGAAGGTGTGACACGCTCACCAGCCTCAGTGATGGGCCCGGAGATTATACCAAGGTAAGTTTCAATTTTTGTATGTTAAAAGATGCAACTTACCATAACCACAGGCGCAAGTCCCCTGCTTCTGCATTGTAGTGGAGAAAAAAACCATTGGGTAAGACTCCTGGCAACCAATGTGAAGTAAGTACGGGAATAACACTGCATTCAACATTCCCATAGAGTTCATGGCAAATTTTGCAAAGGTAATGGATCCTATACTTTCAATGTATGTTCCGTTCCTATCCAAGCTTGCCTTTATATATGTGGTCCCGGATATCTTTACTACTCTTTTAGAATTTAAGGAAGTACAAACAAGTTCGGTACCTACCCGACATATACAGTAGGTTGCTGAGCTTTTTCTGTGTTATAAAAGGCGTGAGATGTAGCTAATTCTTGTCAGCCCTTGTCCTAGCCAATGAGGCTATTTGATACTGCTACCTTATAAGGTTTTTACCAAAAGTTATAGGTGCCCTGTCAAAAAATATATTAAGAACACCGGTACTGTATTATCACACATCTTATACTGCAACAATCCTGTTTTTACAGCAACAGAAGAAAGATCTATGCCTACAGAGCAAAGTTCAAGACATAAAACCACTCACCAAAGGAGGGAGAATGCACTGCAGTTGGGTCCAAGGAAACAACCATGAGTTTCTTTCTTCTATAAACTTTTCTGCCACAATGTGTTAAAGTTGCGCTTTTTATAAGCCGGATTGTTGATCCTTTGTGCATCACGGTAGGCATTTTGGGAGGATGGTTCATGCCCTTTGCAGTATCAGGATCCTACTCAAGAATGGTGTTCAGCATATGGATGAGCTTGTTGGTGAGGACGGTCACACCCTAAGTGTAGAGTAAGTGTGCTTATGCACTTTACTTGTCATGAGAGACAGTCTCAGGGAACCTAGGGAACGTGCTGTGTTTGAAAGGTTGATGCAGATGGTACCAGGGTTGGACACTCGTCTCCAAGAGAGCTCTAGCAAGGAGAGAGGAATGATAGCTGACTTTGTTAGTTTTTATTGCTTCACTTTTTCATCTTGCTAATATTAAAGCTCCTGCCTGCAAAGATTCAGCAAGGCTCGTCTGGGGCTCAATCTGATGATACAAAAAGCCTCAAAGGGTTGATCCTTAACTGGGTCACACCTCGTGGGCAATCCTTAAGACCTCCTCTATCTTGAAACATCAAGTCGGATTGTGGCTTCTTCCACAAGTATACTGGGGCTTTGCTGTGTGCAGCCGGGTTACAGTGGTCTGATGATGAGTCATTTATTGGATTTGGCCATGTGACCTCACATAGCCACCTGACCACAGGGAGTGCATAAAAGCAAAGTGGACCAGCCAGGGATTGAACCCAGGACCTCTGGCTATATATGGTGGTGCTCCAATCAACTGAGCTACCAGCCCTTGTACTAATGTCAACTCATGATGTATGTTGTCTAACAAGGCTAACAGGCTTTGACCTTGACTATTCCAACATATTATTACTTCCTGACATGAAGCAATCATCAACCTATGCTTAACAAAACTCAAGCAAAGCTCAAAAGCAGCAAATTGGTTGTCCAAGGAGATCAATGGATATAGCTACAACTTGGAAAACCCTTGGAATGGAGCCTTTTGCAGCTCACTTTTGGTTTCGGTAGGTGCTCATGTTATCTTCCACGAGTTTAAATGTGAACAGCTCACTCTTTTATATCAGGCATACAAACATAATTTCACATCTCCCAGTTCAGTCGACAAAGGGGAGTCAAAGGCGACTCGGTCGAGCAACGCGCAGATCCATGAGATGGTTATGGTGACTCCTGCCTCTATAGCTTATGTGGCTACCCAAGTATGTCAGGTTATTTCTCTTGCCATTCCTCATACTAATTGCTGCGCCCATTTTAAGGTTAAATTTGCATTATGCTCATCTCCAATATTTACAAAAAGCAGTAAAGTGACTGACTCTGAGAGTTTCTATAACTCAGTTCTTGATGTGTTCGATGATCCAGATGAGGCTCAAGAGCTAAACGACCTCCTCACATGGTGGAATTTGTCGGTCGATATTACCATGGTGGCTAACTTATACCGAACTAATAGCTTTATATACTCAGGCAGATTTTCCCTGGCCATACATTATTGATGCACCCCTTCTCAAAGGATAGTGCATTGACACACATTAGAGAAAGGCAGGCTGCTTTGAAAGCCTTGGCAGCGGTCAAATCAGGAGATGCCTGATCCAGTCTTTCCTATAATTATTTACTGCAGCAGCTACATGTCATACACATAGGCACTATATTATGAATATTATCTAGTTGTGATTGACAATGACAGTCTAATACACCAAATACATGCTTGGATATTATCTTAGTTTCACCCATCCAAGTCGACAAGAATGAGACATGTACTGAGGCCAGAAAGAATCTTAAAGAGTATATGTGGGTCAAGTGGGATCAGACAATATATATATATATACAATACATGTAGGTTTATATATATAACTTTAGGATGAGACAATGTAGTACTGCTTGCTGTAGAAAATATATTGGTTCAAATTCTATGCTACGGTTGGGCAGAGGTTAACGTTGTTCATGATACCGTATGTACAATACTTCAAGCCACAGCCTGAGTGTAATATACAATTCTCTAAACTGTAACTGTCTTACATGATCATGAAATCGTTCAGGTTTGATCTAGATAAGATATTGGGCTCAGAACTTGTAGATGAGTCTGAGGATATATTTAAGTAAGTACATAGATAAAATAAAGGGCTATACTAATGATTAGCTAGGTATTTGAAAGGGGGGAAAATAAGGGTCTCACCTCAGAACTTGTAGATGAGTCTGAGGTGCTACATGGCAACCAGACCAATTTATAAGTAAGACGGAACCAAATTTACCACTGATGGGATATATTGGTGCATAGACCACCTTAACTTATACTCCTTCCTTTCTGGGCACTTTGTGACTGTTTGCCCTCACACTTTGATCCCCTACGTCTAACAGATCATGATACTGTACATGTATGTACAATACTTCAAGCCACAGTCTGAGTGTAACATACAATTCTCTAAATTGTAATTGTCATATAAATACATATGTATAAGCCAGATGTTTGGGCGTACTGCCAGCAACATCACGCACTACCAAACATACCAAGATTGCAATAATGGTACCGCTTGCATAGTCGTTGAATATCATCTACAAATTGAGTTTGAATGACTTCTTACGAACAGGTTTAAATGACCTATTTTCCTACACTATATTCACCAGATTCATTAGGCATTTTCCTCGGTAGCAAAATCATTGCATAGCAGGTGAATTCGGACATAAAATAAGCGGAAAACACTGTGTCGTTGAATCTGATTTTCAGGTGATTATAACAGTACTGGATATTATCAACTGCAAAGGTGCACTTATACCCCTTGGATTTGGGTGTTCTGTCGAGTTTTTATCAACCAAATTTGGGCCGACAGTGGATACCTATAATGTTGTACGGGCAAGAGTTTTGTTCTGGCATTACAGCCCTCCAGCTCCTCGGAGTTTCACTGGGAGAAACACATTTCTTGCAACCATATCAGTATGTATCAAGAGCAGATTTAGTTATGTGAAAATCTCATCAATTTACGTGGGTTCAGTTGATATACTGCTGTGGCAACAAAGATGTAAGCTCAGTTTAATAGAGCCTCTGGTATTGCCTAACTCACCATACAGTACAAACAGACTTCCATAAACAAGTACCAGCGCACACTCAGTGCAGTGCCATGAAATCAGGGTAGTTTCTTCCGTTTCAAATTTTTGGTACGTACATTGCTGAACGTGGGGGTTATGACAACCACATTGAAGATAATGTGTTAGTGGTGGTGGTTACGGTGTACAAAATTCAGAACTTATCATCCTAATGAGTGGTTCATTGCACTCTGGCCGGAAAGATATTATAAATATATTTCACATTAAGTATTTTTCACAATACAATCCTATTCAAAGCTCTGCGAAGTTATAGGGACACAGAGACTGGGAGATGCTATTGGATTATAATCATCAAGAGCCAGTGAATGCACTTGCTACAAGTAATATCATAATATCCAACTCACGCTGGCAAAAGGTCATTGATACAAAGAAAAGATAGGTGACTCCGAAGAGCTTGAGCTATTATTGAGATAGCTCATGGCACCAGTGCGGAATATGTGTTGAGTTTCTGCTGAAACTCTAAGATTGGCTCCTAGTTCTTCATCGTGACATTTCATGGGGGTGACTCTAAAAGGTGTTTTGCCAAAACTGTCCACATTGCTGCGTGCATTTAGGAGGGCGATGAATGAGTTGATTTTTCTGCTGCCACAGAAGAGTCTCCGCGGTCTACTACTCCCACTCCACAGAACCCAGATGGGAAACCCAGCTTCAGATCTGGTGTACTTACCATTCATGTGCTTGGTGCAGAGGGCCTTGCCTTACCTGGGGGAACCGCTGTGCCATCCGCTGTACAATCCGCCTTGTCTACACAACAAGCCAAACACCACGGGCATGAAAGGGTTCCAGCCACTCATATATATGCCTTGAAGACAATCAGAAAAGTGCATATCATTGATAGGAATAAAATTACTCACACTTTGGCGGAGTGTCTCGTTTTGGTGCGAATAAGTAATCCTTTTATTGTCCCCCTGAAGTTCAGTTTTCAGTCTGAGCAAAAGCTTTACTTGGTTACTCCGCTTCAACTTGGACCGTATTATGGAATGGACAGCAAATGACTCAGGTCCTTTTCGTCCCCACGCTTGTGCCTCACCACTCCATGCATCGACAACCTTCGCGGCATTCAAGACCCCCTGTTGACAACGATGTAGACAATAACGATGAATTATCTGACAGTGATGTCGACAATAGGAACACCCAAGGTTCCTGCAAGTCTAGGTGACCAGGTATCAAGTGGACTGCTGACTGTACTGATCATCTCCTAGACTGGCTGGAACAGAACATTGAAAAGTGATGTTTACTTTTCTCTGATTCTCAGGAAAATGCCACCAAGGAGAGTAGAAAGAAGGGACAGGCTAAGTCTAGCAAGGTGGTGTTACACAGGGAGCTTGTGCAGTATGTATTTGGTGTGGAGAGTGATCCGACTATTCGTGCAATTCTCAAGTCTGATCCGGCGAGGTATATGAAGGCGGTCGATAACCACCTCCCTTCATAAGTGTTATTCGTTGATCAGCTGAACCTGATATTTAGATAACAATTATTTATCCAGGCTGAAGAAAAAATACTGTCAGTCTTGTCAGAAGCTGGGCCGTACTGGAGCTGGTCTTACGTTTGAGCAACTAGAGAGGAACCCCGAGTATACGGGACCAATTGGTGCGTTTATACGTTAGTTTGTTCTATTTCCGACTTCCTGTATGTGTTGACCATACTACCAGGTGCAATCACGGCCAAGTTTGAAATGTTCCATTGTTTGCATGGCTTCTGGAGGAAGATCCCCAGCTACAACCCTTCCACAATGTCATCAGATGCAGGTCAGGATCATGAGGCGCAGGCCTACAATCTTCTGTTCTCAAACACGCGCGGTCAGGGTCATACTAGCCACCATGATGCAAGCAATGTGGCCTCAGCCATGGCGCTGGATATCCCTGCACAGCAGCAGCAGCAGCAGCACTACCCGGTTGACATGCAGACAACAAGCCAATATAATCTGAACTACCACCCGCCAAATCAGCAACTCCATCAGCTTCACTCCATGCCTCAGTACATTAACCATCACAACAGCTCCCATGTGGACCTGAGCATGATGTCGTCCTCTGTGTTGTCCATGCCTTATGGTGTTTTGTTAACGTTGTTACCGTCCATGACAACTGACCCAAATTTCTCCGACTCAAATGCTTCCAGCCTTTTTCCTGGGGCTTATCATCAATTGTTATCTTCTCTGTTTCAGGACAACCACTACATCTCTTCATTCAAGTCTCTTTTTTCTACACTGCAGCACGATACGCTGGGTCAGGGTCAAGGTCAGCCTATACTCCCAATGTCTCCTTTACCCCAACCCCAATACCAGACGTCTTCGATCTCTGGTGCTTTGGGGATGCCACTTCCCATTTCTCCCACCTTGGACAACGACAACTCTGGTTTCTCTGCAAACCAGTATCCGCCCTCTCCTACATCTAGTTTCTTTTCCGATCAACCACCTGCCTCCCCCGCATCCGGACGATCCAACTTTTTCTCAAACTTACCGCCGACTTTTACTTTGCCTCCTGCAACTTTGCCTCCTGCTTCTCCACTTATCCCTGCTTCAAAAAAAGGCAAGTGTCCTGCTACATCTGTAAACATCAGAGACGCCCTTCGCAATCAGCTGGCTGCACCAGGCAAAGAAGTTGTCCAGGAGCAGCGTGTCACTACGGATAGGCGATCCACTACGAAGGATCAGCCAAGCAAGGACGAATTGTTGCGTCCAGAAAAGGGAGACGACAAACCTCATAAACATCAGCGGTGATTGAAAATGGCCCTTTAGTAAGCCAATGGCGTGTTCGGAACAGATACAGATACGCAATAGATAGTAATTATAGTGGTGTTCGCTCCGTGTGAGATTACCATTTGTGGGCCGCTTGAATGGGATATGCTGAGTCAGCCCATATCCACTCTTCGGCATCCAGAAATAGTGCGTGATCATGGGAGATCTGTGTAGCTTCAAATGCGTAAGAGTTGTGCACACTGCCTGTGTGCCCCAGGGCATAGTCGACAATCCGTAAGTTGTGAGGCAGGGTTACGAGCTAAAACAAAGAATTAGATAAAAAGTATTAATAAGCAATTTTTGTACCTGAGCATTCATTGAATAGTTTGATGATCAATTGTACCGAGCCTCGCCAAAATGGCTCGGCTTTTGAAACAATGGGAATGTTGTCCCATCGACCGAAAGCCAGCCATCACACCATGATTTGCACACTTTTGATTGGACAAAAGCTTTGGCACTTTGTTTTTCATCGTCCGTGAGCCTGCACATAGCCATGTTGTGCAAAGACATGAGCGCCAAGGCCACCCACTTAGTGGACAGGACAACAGTGCTAACTGACACTCCTGCCCACTCGGCTACTTCATTACACAATGCCGCATTTCCATAGTGGCCGACTCGAACAAGGAATATTCCGAGCTGAAGGGCCGTGGGATACTGGGGGCTATTGGACGAATTATGAAATATTTGGTGATTTTCAATTAGTGTGACAATCAGATCAAAGGTCATGGGACGTAAGCATAGTTTACGCAAGAAATGGCCGAGATCATTATGGTGGGCCCACTCAAGTAAGCCTAGCTGAGGCTGCCGAAAAGCAGGGCTTTTGGGGAAACAAATATGTGTCTCCTCCACGGCGGTGTGGAGCATGATGTATAGTGCAGAGGTCAACTGCATGAAGCTGAACCTATCAATCAGCCATGGTTGCTCATCTTCTGAGTTAGTACTTTCGGCCTCTTCATCTGACTTGCCACCCGACTCACTAAGCGGCCGTACCAATTCCAAATTGAGCTCTGCACCAAAGTCCGATCCCACAGACTCGAGTCCCGCATGCGGTGAGCTGCTTAGCGACACCCCTACTGAGTCCAAATTGATCGACGAGTAACTTGTGCCAGATCGATCAGATGGCACATCCTCAGCAGCGAGAGTGTCGACAATGGTCTGCAGTGTTCAGTTTTGTGCACTGACATAGATGTCATTGAGAATTTCCAAGTGCTGATCACGGATGGAGGCATGGTTTCTACTCATAACGACAGTATTATACAGTCGAGATTTGGATTTGATTATGAGTCTCTTTCTTATATACTAACTAGTTATTCTGAGTTGAAACTCAATATTTCTTGATTTCAATATCTTATCAGTTTGCACATATTTTTTTCCAACTACAGCATGCTTACAAATCATCACTTTTATTTTTTCAGGTGCCTGAAATATCTTCAGCGTTTACTTCGAATGTCGCTTATGATGGTCTGTCATTTCTGCCATTACTTTTTGGCTTACTAATCATAACATCGCCCTCTGGGCAACCCTGGCACCGACAACGATATTGAAGTGGGCATGTGAGCTCGAATCAAAGTGACATGAATTGCATTGACAAGATTCAGTCGTCTGCTAAGGCACTAACGTCACATGATCACCTGTGACTTTCTTGTATATATCTAATGGCACGCACAAAACCTTATTTTTGTCTTGAAAAATAGCACAGAAAGTTTTGCAGCTTGATTCCGCCCATCTCTGTCCCAGCCGATTGTCAGAAATATGCGATGTGCAGTTGCCATTAAGAAAATGGAGTCGGACACAGTGTCACAACAAGCATGGATTTGAGTGGGTCACAGGTTGTCACGGATCACGTGGTGTGTGAGCGCTACCTTAAAGTGCAAGTATTGGCGTGCGAAACATACAGTCATAAAGAAATACTCGGTGCGAACAACCGGTGCCATTGCCAGTGTCGAATTGTGAATGTGAGACCTGGTAACCTACGGTACCAGCCAGGGATAGATAAATTGGTATCAAACAGAGGTAACGGACAAGATGTATCAAAAGATTTTGCAAGACCCTCTTGTTTTCGGTTCAGAAATCGGCTCAGAAGCGCGGAGCATACTTACAGGTCTCCTTACTCGCGACCCAGCACGTAGGCTGGGTGTGAATGGCGCTGAGGAGATTAGGAGGCATCCCTTCTTTGAGAAACACATCGACTTAGAAGTTGCTACAGAAAAAGATCCAGCCGCCCTTCAAGCCCAGTGTGTCTAGCCCACTGGTATGTTTCTTGAATATTTTCGACGACGAATCGTTAATAACCGCGAAATTACTTTTGCGCTAAACAGGATATGTCGAATTTCGATACCGTCTTTACAGCCGAGGAAGCCATTGATAGCTATGTTGATGGTTCGCACTTGTCACAGATTGTTCAAGATCAATTTGCAGGTGCGTACGAATCAAATCTTATTTTGCTATCCCCTAACTGTCAATGGTACCTCATCTATCAGGTTTCTCCTATGATGGTTCTCACATGCCTATCAGTGCGTGAGATGTCAAGCTTAAAGATTTAATTTCACCTTTGTTCTGGATTATAAATCCCCCACGAGGCTTCTTAGTGCGAAATGTCATTTGTTGGCTTTTTTGCTTGTAACGTTGGATATATAGCTTTATCACTTGCACTCTTTTCAGTATCTCTACCCACGGCTTAAAAAACGCTTGGAATTAATGTATGTTCATATCAATAGCATGGTCACAAGTTCATCACTTCTTTTTTGAGTGATTTTGACGATAAATCACTCACATGGTCAGAAAGCCATGTACCTGACACTCAAAAATATTCAACGGCTGCTGCTCGTGCACAGTTGTTGGTCAAATCAACCACATTCTGTGGTGATGTAAGTGCAGCCAGCACAGTACAAGCTTCATTGCACCCACTTACAGCCTGCTTTCCCAGTCGTAGTTAAATTCTTTTTTCCACATCTCAATCGTCTCCTCAATTACTTCACTGATGATATCTTTCCATTCCTTTTCGCCCTTGTCTTGATTCAGCTCGCTGATGGTGCTGATCGCAAGTTCGCCGACCCATACACCATGGTGCGCATCCCCACCAGTGTCGTCATTGTACTCGCACACGGAAATATCACAAGGCAAACCAATCCGATGCACCAGGACAGACCCTAAAGTCATATTTCTTCCGACGAGAGGAGCGTTGGAAGATGCTGGCAAAAACTCCTTGAGGTCTAAGATTAAGCTCACCCGAACATATTCCCGCTTGGTCAGGTTGGCAAGAACCAATGCCTCCTCCTCCAATGCGTAGACCTGCTCGAGCAAACGGCTCAAGATATCTCTCTCGGCACGTGTGGGGAATGCTTTGAGGTAAAAGTGATCCTCCCGGTTTCCCGCTGCGAACACCTTGTAGATATGTGGTAAAACGGGTGGTTTGCAGAAGTAGGTAGCAGCAACGTTGTAGAGAGTGTGGTCTGAAAGAAAACCATCCTGGTCGGATTTACGATCTAAACCTAGATCCTGTATTTCAGCCTCTGGTAGATCTGCATCCCATGTACCGTCTCCGATGCAGATGATACGATCTCCTGCCCAGTGAGCCCGTATATCTACTTGTAGGGCATGAAGCTGAGTTAAACTGATGGATAAAAGCAGTTTACAGGTGAGGCCAAATAGCATCACATCTTTGATATCGTTCATTTCTGCGAAGACGAGACCGAGGATTTCATTGGGGAAACGCAAGATTCCAGACTGTCTGGGAGTTGGAATCACACTTAGGAGATAATCTTCAGTAATGCCTTCACTATATTAACAGATAGCTTTGCATGGTTGTATGATCATCATGATAAACAACAATATCAGCTTACCTGAGGGGCCTCCTTGGTGCAGCAAGGCGCTCGACAAGACAAGACGACTTATCATGGAAGAACCACTCGCCCACCTTTCCCCACACTCCGAGGGTTTGCTTCTTGTCTAAATTGATACTGGATGAGCATGGAAGATACAGCTTAAATTAGTAAAACTGCCAGTGATATATGGCACGCCAGCCATGAAAAACGCACATCTGGAACCATTTACCCATACCTATGCCAGTGAAAGGGAGTCCGGTGAGCTTCCTGGAAGTTCAGTTCACCTCATTTATACTATGCTCTGAGCTCCGACAGGACCCCTGATAATCCCTATGGAACCTTGATTTGTCGCTTTGGATTTTTGTCCAGACACGACCTCCTGAAACTGAACAAAAATTATCCGGATCTCCCGTAAGGTGTCAAAATTTAGGGCCCGTTCGGCAGCCTCCGTTTTAGTCTCGAACCCAGGCGTTTTGGGAAGCAGTCAAACTCAGACGCATTCCCAAAACGTCTGGTGACTTTCGTCTCAGGACGAGTGCATCGAGTCACACTGTCACGCTTCTCGCTCTTTTTGGGTTGAAGTTTTAGATTCTCGTCATCATGCTTATTAGGACACCAAATAGAATATGATCCGTGACTCTGAGTCGTAGTATGAGCAACAGAGACAATTTTCAGTGAACGACAAGTCAATGCCAGCCTCGTCATGTCCTTCATCACATGCTGAGGCTATAAAACACTCCTACAAGCTCCTCACTGAAGCCCGAAGGGCAAAAACCAACTACTCCTCCCAGGAAACTCGTGCAAAGTTGATTCAGTCTGTCGGAGCACAATGCAATGGCCGGACACCTTACGAATGGCAGCTGGATGCCTCTGAGGCATTCACACTGGGATTAGACTGTATAATAATAGCGGGTACTGGCCCTGGTAAGACACTTGCCTTTGCTATGCCTTTGTTACTTCATAAAGAGCGTATACTTGTCATCATCTCGCTTTTGAAAAGTCTGGAGGAAGAACAGGTGAGCTTTTTGTAACATATATCAGTCACTTACCTTTGCTTCATATCAATCCAGGCTGCACAGTTCCGTCAGTGGGGAATACAGTCTGCAGATGTCAATGAAGACACATATGACGAGCACTTACACAAGGAGCTCAACGAGCAAAAATATAATGCCATCTTTGCTTCCCCAGAAATAGTTATAAAAAATCCTTGTTTAAAAGGCTTGTTATGCTCACCTGCATTCCAGTGACGCATGCTTGGCTATAGTTGTGTCTTGAGTTGAGATGTGTATTGTAGCTGGACAGGGCGTATATTTAAGTTCTCTGGGTCACTACTGGGCTCTGTATCAATGGATGATAATGAATTGTGTGTATTATTGACCGCTGAGGGGGCGAATGGATTGTTGTCGTCCTCGAAAGCCTCACCGCTATTGCAATTAGACAGGCTCTCATGTTCAGTGGGATTGATCATGGTTCAAAAGATAAGATAAGATTTTGATTTGTAAGCTACTGCTCGGTTCTTGTAACAATGTTGCCGAACACAGCCAACAGGTGTGACTCAATGCACTCGTCACCTATCAAAAGTCACCAGATGCTAGGACGTTCCCTCCTAGCTCTGGTCACGAGACTACCTCCGTTTCAAAACGAGAGCCGTTTGCAAACGCGCTCATTTTGAATGACTCTCAGCACAAACACTATTTCTCACGCTATGACACACTACGTTACACGCATTTCAGGATTGTAGAACAAGTAAGATAGGCGTCATCCACAACCAACACCATCACATGACGTGACTTGGCTTGTGACCACTGGCACGACGGGGCAAATCACCAACTTGAGTTTTTGTCATCTTTGCCACAAAAAATCTATCCCGTCTTACATGGCACCATTTTCCTTAGTTCTTCTTACAGTATTATATTTGTATTTACCGAGTTTCAGCTTTTCTCTCAAAAAAATTTCAAAAATCATAAGTAATTCATATCAGGCAAGAAGAGATTCTGCTTTGTCACCAAGTGTAACACTTATCATCACATGATCACATGATGGCATCAAAGGCCTATCTTATCTTATCAGTACTCAGTGGTGTGACAAGCTCTTTTCAAAACAAACTGTGTCGCCAAACACGTCGACTTGTTCCGAAACGGGCCTGTTTTGAAAGGGCACCATTTTGAAACAAAACGAGACTTTTTTGGCGGGCAACATTTCAAAATGGTGGCTGCCGAATTGGCCCTTAATAAAATTTCTGAAAAATTGTCCGGACAGGTCAACAAGGTAATGACACTTCTTTCTGCTGAATTTGTCCGGACTTGCAACAAGGATTGGTATAGGAGTAAAAAAAGGCACAAAGCAGGTAAGTAAGGACCTCTATACAATCAAGTCACTTGTGTCCTGACTCCGAAACTTCCTGCTCAGATTTTATTTTCCTGCATTGTTGGAACAGCTTCAAAGCTTTCTTGAATTTGTCCAGCTCACGAGAAAATATGTTGAACATCTCTAAGTCCTCGTTACCAATATGGATATAGTTTCCAGAGACCTTGACCAGTTGCATTCCAAGGGATTGAAAATAGGAGATTTGATAGTAAAAACCATGTTGTGCATATTGTGGCTCGGTGAAGAGTACTACAAAAATTTCCATCAAAATATTTATTTGGCCCACAAAATTGTGCCAAAAAATCTATTCTATAGTGCAGAAATAAATAAATCAATCATTGAGATTTGAACCATGTAGTATGGACAGCTAAGTACAACAACAAACATAACTTTACCAGTACACTAAGTGATGCTGTATAACTTCTTTATATCTTGACTTTAATAGACCTCCTTCGATGTCGGGATAGCTCAACAAGGTTCTGCTCCAGGTGTCCGGACATAGGTCTGGACACCTGATCAAGGTTAAACAATTTTAAGGATTTTTGTCCGGATCCCCATGTAGGTGTTTTGTCACTTTTCCCAAATTTTGTCCGGATGCCTCATCAAGGTTCCATAGGGATTATCAGGGGTCCTGCTCCAACAAGGGTGATCTTGAATTTTTCATGCATTTGACTCTGATATAGTTTTTTGTGACTTGTGCTGCAAGCAAATGACAACATACACGCTGTTGTGTATAGTCTACATACACTGCCAAAGGTGGGGGTTATGATATTATGAGGTCCAGTTCTTGTTATATGATAAATAATAATAATAATAATAATCATACTGTTAAGTGATCAAAATGTTAAGTCAGTGAACTTATGCTGTCTATAATATATGTTAAGTCTTTGAATCCTATGATGTATGTTTGACTTGCCCCTAAACTTGTGCACAGTATACTGAATTCAAGCAGATGGTTCATTGAATCTTTACAAACATCAACATATATTGTAACATAGAAAGTCTATGGTATTACATTGATAAATTGATGAGAAATTGAAAAAAAGACCCCAGAAATGGTCAAGGCTGATAATATGATCTGATAACAAAACACTTTAGTCACAAGGGTGAGAATTGGGGAAAAATCTACTTGCCAGTCACAGATAAAGCCAGTCAGAATTTCAGGATACACCACATTGATGGTACATCTGTCATTTGAACTATGTGGAAATAGCACTTTTATTCTCTCTCCTGAAGTGCAGCAAGACAATGCAATGTAAAGTTGCCCATGTGAAAACACTGGAACATGTAAATCCAGCCCAACCTGTGTCACTGATTGCCCATGGTCATGGCAAAGGCAACACGGACAGGGAACTGACAATGTGATAGCTTGATGGGCAATTCTTCCAATGAAGGTTCCAATGTAAGGTGTGGAATAAAAGCTATCTTTCCTGCATGTTTTCCTCCCAAGACCTGTGACTGCACTTCAATACTCTTCTTTTTATCTCTATCAAAATTATGCATGTTCTATTACAGAGTCCATTTAGGGGATGAATATTGTAGAGGAGCATAAGCAGACATCCAGATTTAAGTTTGAGGTGTGCTTCAGGAAAGCCAGATACTTGCAAGGAGTTCAAGAACTCTACAGGATAATGTTTATGCCCCCCTCTCCAACCACTTTATCAATTGACAGAGCTACTAACTCTTCTCCAGGGAATTTTGTGAGTATTGCTGAATTAAGGTGACTAATAGCATCTGTTACAATACACAATTTTTGGACCTTCAATTTTCATTCTCCTCTTTAAAATTTCTACTGTAGTTTTCACACGCTGTGCCATGCGGCACTTTCCATTTTATTCAAACTCCACCTTCTCGTGCTGCACTGCTTTTCTTCTTATTTAAGCTACAAGTCTCTCACGCAGTAAAGCTGGTCACACGGGCTGCGCCCTCTGACATCATCAGCCACTGCTTTCATCAACTGTACAGTACATAAGTACAAACACGCTGTAGTAGTATATAAACCTCAACAGATCCAGGAGACTCCTCAGCAAGTCCTCCTGTTGTTTACACACAACTAACTCAGTCCTATCTTAAGGGGTGACCACTCCCTCTCATTACTCGTTTGCTTGTCTGAGTTGTGTGCCAGAATAACTAACTCTTGGTTGTTACAGCATCATTTTTTGTGGAGAGGATGGTGCAGTGAAGGAAGTAATAGTCATCTCTGTCTCCATTTGCAATTCCATGATAGGTAATGTCAACTAATGAGTCTATGGTGTTTTCTGGCATAAGCATGTTGGCGGGGAAGCTCAATTGTTCTATCTCCTGCAATTCCACAATCACCACCAACATCCAGGAGCCAGCTAGCAAAGGCTTCACTTTCTGGAGTACGGTCCAGGAGCATGTTCTGTGTGAGATAGCAGGCATGAATATTTGTCCACAGTCGTTACCTTTTAAAAGAGGCAGAAATAATATGTTGCCTTGACCCTCTTGGAACAACAGGTGTTGTTTGGCGGAAGTCCCCTCCAAAGACCATTATAATGCCTCCAAATGGAAGCTGATTATTCAAAATATCCCACAATGTATAATCAAATGCTTCAATTCCATGATGGTGTTGCATTGGTGCTTCATCCCAGACAACAACTCCGGTATGTCTCAATACCTCATGGAGGTCAGAGTTTTTTGGGATCCTGCATGGGATGTGTCATGTACAGAAATAGGGATTCCAAAGCGTGAATGAGCTGTGCGGGCACCCTCCAAGAGCAGGGTCTCAATCTCAGAGGGTGCTACACATAGAGCAACATTATGATGATCTCTTGCTCGAGCAGCAGTGGCAATTGTATTACAGAGATATGTTTTTCCCTTACCTTCAGCACTGTGGATAAAGCAAGTTGCAAAAAAATTGACTGTATAATGGTATCCAAAGCATTCTGCTGCTCTTGACTGAGCTGCTCCACATTAGCTTTTGAGTAATAATAATACAGTTAAGTGATCAAATTTTATTTAGTCAGAAGTCAGTGAACTTGTGCTGTCTGTCCTTATAAGCATGAGAATTTTCAATGTGGCTGCAAATTTCAGTGCACTACCTGCTCTGCTGCTAACCAAAAACCATGTGAGCAAAACTAAGCAAAACAATGTGCTCCCATGTGTGCTGCACACAACTTTTGGGACCATTATCCCCTTTGTTATAGATAGTCACTTTGCACAAAATTCAAAACTTAGCATACAAACAACAAGTGATGTTATTACACTCTGACCTGCATTTTGGGGTGGGAAAAATATCAGAAGGCCCAGGAGCATAGCGCACATTGAGAAATTATACCAATGTTCTGCAAAGTTATAGGAACACAGAGGTTGGGACACTATTGTGACTTGATTATCATTTTAACCTATAAACTGTAGAAGATTTTCTCTTCCAGATTGCACAAACTTGCCAATATCATGAGTGCAATTGCAATGAATGATCAAGACTTAGCAAATACATTTGCCACTGTAATATAGTAGAATGATCTGACTCACGCTGGGTAGATCTGCAGATTCAGAACAAAGATAGTAGGTGAACAGTTAAGAAATGCCAGCCTGAGATTGAAGGCTCTGAGTACTGGAGTGCTAATACAATGGTATCAATTTAGTCACAAATGTTTATTTATAATAACACAGGGGTGCCCAGAGGGCGTTATTATTACACACTGAGACACATCATACAAGGCAAACAAAAAAAGCAACTAAAGCTCTACTACCATTAGCATCAATTGCAGTGAGCAAGCCAGAATTTATTCTGAACGAGAAATGGACATGTTGACTTGGTGTTAAATAACTTCGCCAATATTGAAGAACCAGCAGGGTATAGGGTTAGAATAAGGATAGAAACTAGGAGACACTGGATATGGTGATTGAAATCTGATCAATTCACATTCAAGTCAATGTGAGCTGATCCTGAATGCACTCACATAATGAAAAGGTCCATGAAAAGGAGGCACAGTAGGATTCTCCAATGAGCTTCAAGTATTGCCATTGTAGCTCAAGCCATTGGCATAAAGTGTCTGATCTGAACATTTCCCTGACACTCCTAGGCTTAGTTTGGACAAATATTATTTGTTGTGTGTGCACTTTACAACCTGCAAAGTACTTCTAAACACTGTACTTTCATCTCCAAAACGGTCTATGTTGCTGCGTGCATTGAGGAGGGCAATATATGAATTCACATAGACTACAACCATGAATGAGTAGCAAACAACATCAAAGCTTACTAGCTAGTAGAGCATAAATCTTATCAACAACAGGTTCACAGCTAAAAATACTAAGTTTTTTGGCATTACTATGCACTATCAACAATTTCTTAGTTAATTCCAACAAATGAACCACCATTTAACATACCGTGATAATAACAGTCATTGAGCAGAAGCTGTCAAGTGGATCAGAAGTGAGAATCACTGTTAAGATATAAAAGCTACCTTGTCAAGCACCCACTACTACACACACATATAATAATTTTTCTGATCAACGCACTGGTTCTATATCAGGATAGGATAAGCAGGCAAATATAAAGTTAAGAAATGAGGAACTTACTTGGAAAATCCAGTCCAAGATAGAATTAGCAAGCGGCACATAGATGCAGCAATGAGAAAGTCATTAGAAGCAATCACAGCCAAAGAAGTCATTAAAGCCCATCGGTTGGGATGATAGCAGTTAGTCAACTTAGCAACTTCTGTTTTCGGTAAATCTGTGTACAAATGGCACCAAATTCTAAGAGAAACTGTTAATACGCCAAAAGAGCGGAGATATATGCTAGTGGCGATGAACACAAAACTTCAACAAGATATCAGCCCGAGAGTTTATTGTGGGCAGAGAATTCTTAAATTTGCTCACATATACCAAGACCTATAATGGACATTAATTAGGCCTTCCATCACTGTAGGAAGTTTATGGAACTCACCTGAGCCAAGAGTTACGATGATAATCTACGATTATACTAGATATAAGTTGTCACAAAACAAACATCATATTGTGTGCACTTGTACCAAGGAGAACATTTGGTATCTTCCCTTACCCACTGGTGCCAAGGAGTTGATGAGCTTAGCCTCCCATTTGATACAATGGACTTACAGATCCAGAGACGAGACTGTGAGTATATAGACTAATTATCACATAAAAGAGTCAGTAGCAAAATAGCTGAGGAGCTGCATTGAGACATTACCCATGAACAGAGAGCACAATAAGTACCTGAACAACAATGTTATAAGAAAGTCCACATATCACAAGGATACCTTCTCACAACAACTACAATTTGAACCTGTTATCAATTACATCAGGACAGCAAATAATAGCATTATGAGAGAAGGTTAAATCACCTTGAAGCTCCAGACTATGTCTAGGAGCGCCAGAGGGTTCCCAAAATTTGTAACAAAGTAACAAAGTAGTAGTACAACATGTGGGAGGTGAATGCAAGATGGGCCACATCTAGTAACCTACCAAATGGGGAGTCAGGGGATAATGCTGCAATACACTGAGAACACACCAAATCCAGATAACCTAAAAATTAGCCAGCGGTGTCAGTCAGTGATCCTAGTTCATTTATGCCATGCACTGTTACTCTATAAAGTGTGCAATCACACTTCCACTGTGTCTGGGCATATAATATAACCTGCAGATTTGTGATTCCAAAACAACTAGGAATGCATGTGCATAAGTTGTCATAAAAGAGTCACAAAATGAACATTTCTCACACAGCATTGACCAAAAGGCCAATGTAAAGTGCACCATATGTGTTATCAAGAGCAGGAACATGAGTTCAGAAATAGCAGCTGCTCCGCTGTTATTAATTAATATAGCAGGCATAGATGTTTGCAAGTGAGTCTTTAGTGCACTATGAATCACAATAAACCCATTCATTTTATATTGTCTATGGTTTTTCCTGCTCATCAGTAAGGGCTATGTTCAGACTCACCAAACTTACTTGAACATTAATATATATGCCACATATCACTCGGCCAGCCCTGACCCTGTTTGATGTCACCATCAGCAAAAGATGCACACCCCCGGTTTGCCTTGCCAGTGTCCGTCAAGACCCAATCAGGCTTGAGAACATCCTCCAGGCCATGATAAGGCCAATAAGGTCGCACACAGCAACTCGCAAGGCTGATGACACCACAAGAGGGCGCTTAGCAGACCGTTGAATGCCCGTCTGTGGCATCATCAACATGCTACTTGTCAATCACCCTCGATTTGTTGATCAGAGCTCGATCAAAGCTTGATCAGTCATCCTCAAGCCTTGTGAGTTTTTTCATCAGCCTGGCAATGGTATTGTATTACAATCCGATGTGATTCCAAGCCTGTCAAGTAGACTACATGAATACATTGATTTAAAAAAACAAGTCCAAATCTGAGAATTAGATAGGAATAAAGCACCACTAAAAAGCTCCAAACCCGTTTATCTCATTATTGTCTATGTCCTCCCGTTCCTCTGCATTGTTGTTGTCCAAGTCAAGATCATCCTCATTTCCATCCGATCTCCTCAAGCCCTCCATAATCAAATTTGAACTGTTTGTCCTCAGTACTATCACTGTCCATCAACCAGTATTCTTTATCACCTGGTTCGTCCATTCTATCATCTATCCTACCTTGACTAATATTGTCTTCTTCTTCATCTTTGTCATTCATATTTTTGTTCTCCTCTCCACTGTCCTCTTCTTCATTCTCCTCCGCCTCTTTGTTGTCCTCAAAACCACTATATGCGGCCATTTCAATATCAAAGTCTTCATTCACAACTGACAGCTCCTCTGCACTTATCTCCCACTCTCTTCCAAACTCCATGCTGTCAAGATTGTCTGCATGTGCAAGAAATTATTGAGTAGCATAGTGTGTCGATTTGTGGCCCATGCTACCGCCCCAAAAATGCATAAACACGTCTTGATCCACAAATCTGCAAAATTACATGAGTATTTATTTGTTCTCATAATTTGTACAATTAAAATACTCACTGATTAACATAATACCAGACATAATCCGAGTTATTTTCAGAAGGCTGACGAGCAATAGAGGGCAGTAAAAGATTGCATGTGGGACCAAAGTAGAACGCAGGCAGGAGATGGACCCCTTGTCAAGACCTTGCTTTACGCTGGGAAAACCCAAAAGCAAGACAAGTCAAGGAATCAAACAATAGCATCAATAGCAATATATAAAAGGTAATAAACAACTAGGGAATGTATGTACATGAGCTAGCTGTATATATAGTGTCTGAAGGGTCTGCCATGAGGCACTGACTGATGTAACATGTTGCTTACATAATGGGTCATGTGACAGTAAGGTCACATGATGAGATAAGTTTTTAGATAAGATGCTCAAGATTAGATAAGACCCCGTTTGAATCGTGACACCCCTCGGATAATTTGAGAGAGGTCCAGGAAACCAAATGCGTTGTCTGCCGTGTTGGTGTTCAGAAAGCCCACACGGTGAGGATGATGAGCCTTCCAACCTGACACATGATTGTTGTCCCGAGCAAGCCAGCGCACCCACAGGAACTTGATCCTCTGGGGCTCGGAGTTGTGGTTATGAGAGTCTCCACCAGCATGCGTGACAAGGATATGAAATATCTCCACTATCTGAGCATACCAGTAAGGGTGAGGGATTAAACCACCATCTTCTTGTTCCCCGTTTGCTAATACCATCACATCAGCATGAGTGCGTGGATTGAGTGAGTTTCGAGCTCTGCGCAGATTGTAGGTAGTGTAGTTAACTCGGATAATCTTGTGCCTATAGAGCCTATTCCTATCTATCATTATCGAGTTTCTCTCTTTGTCTGAGAAAGCCGGAGGCTCCATTGAGTCATAGCTTAGCAGATGTGCAAGAATGTGATCCTTTAGCTTTGGAAGAAAGTCCTAGAACAGAACATGTCATGTAAGATCAGACAAAATAGTAACAACACACCTTGACAGCCACATCTCCTTTGTTTCTATGTAGCCGTTCTGGTATATCCCGAAACTGGCGATATGATTTTGACATTTGATGGTGATCTTCTGGGGCACAGGAAGGTAATGGTTCATTCCAAACGTAAGACAATTGGTCATGAACCTGCCCAATCTTATGGATGAGACGTTCACATTGCTGTTATCTTGCAATGCCACGAGCAATTTGTATTTTACTAGTGCGCAGGTAAAACCTTTTAACGTGTTTGTGTTCATGTTGGCTCTATAGAATACATCAATATAGCTTTAAAAAAAGAAGGTTGAGGACTTACAACTTGGGTTGAGAAGTTATCTGTGGTTCCAAACATATAAATTGCCTTGACATAGTCTCCCAGTGCATGTAACTTGTATGTCAACATATTAAAGTAGCGCTGATGAGGCCCTTTGACCTCAGATTGGCTATTCTTGACCTTCAAAGCAGCTTTTCTCCATCTACGAGCCATTGTTTCTTTTGGCAGCTTCACAGTTATAAAAGCACTGCATGTGAGATTTTGAAATTGTTGTAAGGCCCGACCAAGTTGTGTGGTTGAATTATTGAGAAAATGGATAGTCCGTTTTGTGTGTAGTCTCAATTTTGCAAGGGAGTGATATGTGGTAAGTTCAAATAAGAGATCTTGTATAATATTATTATGCTTGCCAGGGAAAAGCTTCTCACAGACCGGAATACAACACTGAAAACATCAAATGGAGTGAGTAGATAATGAGAAATAACCTGTAAAATATCTTCATAGTCGCACACTGCAAGCTTAGAGAGGCTTGAAACATTTTTACTGAATTTCCGTGTGGCGTCCCTACCAAATGTAGGTACACAACAAAACCTTGAAAATTTATTAGCTTAGAGATGAGAATAAAATATTTAGGTACTTACCGTGAGTCAAATTACTGCATAATATTGTCAGCAACTGCATACAGAAGCCGGAGTAAATGTGTCAATGTTGCTTTCCATACACCCAACTCAAACTTGTGCATAAAGTCTGGTACAAGCATACTATGTAAATCAAACCCAAATTGCAACAGACATTCTGAAAAGGCATTCTTAAAAATGTAGTGTTAGTTGATGGACATTGGTGAGAGTTGGAAACCCTAGACTCACTTGTGTAGGAACCATTGACGTTGGTCCAAGCCATCTTTTAACAGCTGAGCTGCCTAGACTACGGCCTTTCTCAAAAATCCAAGTCCAAACTCTGTTAATGATAGTCCTTTGCTGCTCTCCATCAATATGGACATCCCTCTTACATCTGAGCCTATCTAGTTTGGATCCAAGTTGTGAAATCTTCTCCTTTGTAATGAAACAGCGTGGGCAAGGACAGTTGCCTAAGAACTTGATACAAGCTAAAAGTACTCTGTAAAAAGAGTAGTTAGTCTTGAATATAATAGATAAACAGTTTTTGAATGATTTCTCTGGATAGTCTGCAGCGTAGAAAAACCGAGGGAAAACTCTGTGAAGAATACCATCTGTAAAACGAATGACTAAGCCATATTCATAAGTGTCTAAGAATTCATCGTCCAAGAGAAGGGCCCAGATACATAAGCTCTTGTTTGCAATGTGTGATGACTTCGCTGGTTGCTGCCTTCCCAAAAAATCCATAGTATATCTCCTGAAACTTATCTGGAAGCTACATCACTTTTTAGCAAGTACAGAATTTATAATAAATAAGAAAAACCTTTGGAATATAAGCTAGATGATGAGCTGCAAATGAAGTTGGTTTATTTCTTGTGTACTTTGACTGGTTACCTAGGAATAAATAGATGGGTCAAAGTGCCGCATTCCCAAAACTTGCCAGATGTGTTGAATCTGACCATAGCATAATTGATGCAACAACTGTTTCCAGGGTGCAGATGGCTTGGAGTGATTTTGCCTTGACACTTTTGTGTTTCTTGAGCATTGCATCTGATGTGTATATCTCAGTTATAATCCTTTCGGGTGGTTCTGTTTCATCTTGATGACAAAAGATCTTGTAAGGTGTGAACTGAAACACTCTTGATAAGACTTCTTCAAGTGCTGATTTTATGACCTTGAGAGGTTTGCAATAGTAGAGTCCAGGAATTTCAAGTTCTGGTGCATCTTGTCCCAAGTTGAATTTCACTTTTTTGGCAGGGAGCTTGATTTTGACGGAGGTCTCAATCCACTTATCTGAGGAGAAAAAACCCGACCCTTTATTATTTGTGTTGTCCATCACCAAAGCTTCATGTGCAGCAGAGAATCCTTTAAGATCTTGACAATTAAAATCTTCAGCTAGAATAACACTATTGGCAAGCCTATCCAAATCTGCGAGTGACTTTGAGCTAGAAGAATTGTAGAACCAGCTCATTAGTCGAAAGGTTGTGGCATTAAGAAATAGAGTGAAAAAATTCTCTTGTAGAAGATTGATGGATGCACCAGATCCTGCAAACCAAGGTTTGCTGATGTCAGTTACTCCATCAGTAGTCTTGAATGTATCAGAGTCGCAAATTTGATCATAATAATTGGTGTCTTTGGGGTTGTACGAAGGCAGATTTCTAGGGTAAACATGAAAAACCCTATACTCGTCCATCTCCATGTGAATCCATGGAATATTTTTGTCCAACTGTGACACGCCCAACTTGGGGCTGGCAGTCAAATCTGGAGGCGCACTGGGTCCATCTTTGTTGTCTGATATTGCCTCATGGACCAGGATAGGCATGGCTGGTAATTCATCACAGTATTGATTTGGTAATCTCATTTACTGGTTTGGAAGGCCTGATGGACGTAAAATAGGCTCATCATGATGTTGGATGGGAACTTGAAAGTCATCCTGATAACATAAAACGTTAGACAAGACAAAAAGTATATATATAACTCACCTCTAGCCCTGGATTATGGGCCTCACTAAGTGCCTTTCTATCATGGTAACCCTCTACAACCATTTCTATGCCACTTTCTCCACCTCCATCAACCGCTGGCTGGGCTTGAGCATCTAGTGCTTCAAGGATTATGTTTGTAGCTCTTGCAATAGCTTTGCACCAACAAATTTGATGAATTGTGAGGCTTCAGTAGTTTTTTGCTTGGAACTGACAACCTGGACAGAAAAAAGACATGGATTTAATGACCCAGACAAAAAAGAGAGGCTGCAGATACATCTCTGAGTCTCTATGATAAAAGCAACTAAGAGATAAGATTTGGTCAGGCCCCGGTAATTAAATATTAAACCTCCAATTTGTGACTGATCCTGCGTTGATTGATCATTGATCCCTCAGGCTTAAGTATAAACTATTATGTTATCTCCACCTCCCTCTCCAAGTTATCCACCTTCTCCTTCAAGTTCATCTTCAAAAAAACAGTCAGAGAGTGAGCTGTTGAATAATTTTACAGCAACTGGGCGCTTGAAAAAATTAAGGTGGATAATAATTCAAAATTGGGTAATTATATGTGTTTTATCTAGATATCCAGACCCAAAGACCCATTTCAAGAGTTCCAGGCTGTAGGTAGAAAAATAGTGGTGTTATGTGATGCCTTTGCTATTCCTATGATTGTATTCCACCATGGGATGTCTGTAAAGAAAGGTCTAATATCTGAAGACAATATGTTAGTATTTATTTTATTATTTTTTGTGGCTGATTTTGCTTGTACAGGTTCAATGTTAAAACAATATTCCAAAGCCTATGACACTATTCTGTTGTTCCTCCCTGGATTTAATACTTCTGAGATGGAATACAAGGAGCTCAATCTTTGTCTGGCTGCTGTAAGTGCATATATGCATTTTAAAATCCACTGACCATTTATTTATTTATTTCCAGATCCACCATCAAGAATGCAATGCTTGAGTATGTCATCTTGAATTGCCAAATACAGACTTTGCAGCCACCTATCCCAAGGAATTCAAGCAAGGTAAATTGAGGTGTCAACCAATTCCCAACTGGCACAAGCTATGTACCCTTTAAAATGGGTAGATGAATTTGACAAAGATCCAGATGTGTAAATTTTTATTGATATTAATTGTTTATTTAGTGGAATGATTAGACTACAGGGTGGTAAATGGCCCCTTATGGCTGTTGACTGGCCATCTATGCTATACAAAGACAGTGCATCATACAATACAGACAATCCACTTGAAGGATTATTTAGAGGCCATTTCGGCATACAAGTATTCAGTTTCCTTGATAGTGCTAATATTATCACTAATTGTTTCATTGGTCTATCAACATCTTTTCCTTGGTCCTTCTGCAGTCAGAACAAAGGACACAGGTGAACAGAGCAAAGGTAGTGGTGGAAAACCATCAAAGAGCAAGATGTATGGTATTACAGAGGTCACACTCGCAAGTTTTGCATGGTCTCTTTGTTGCGTGGGTTTTGCTTTTTTACCGCTTGTATAACTACTAATGTGGTTATATTGGGGCTGGTTCTCTCTCAGCAGTTGCCAGTCGTTCCAAATACAGGTTGGCACATTCAACATTGAAGAGTTTTTTAACATGATTGTTGAAACTCTCAGTGATGGAGATGATGAATGGGCAGTGGAGACTCTTACATGGCTAACAGAGTGAGTGGAATTTATTTTTATTGCTTTCGTCTTATTATGGATAATGTTTACAGGCAAATCTATGGGAAAAAAGCTCAAGATGTTTCGCCCAACTTGCTGGATGAGACAGATTCAGACCTTGCAAAAATGAGGGCTAGATGTGTGGCATAAAAACTAGCGAAGTCACAGGACATCATGCAAGCTGAAAGTGATGGCAAACCAAATGGCACAATGTCCATCACAACAACAAGGCCAATGCAAGGCACTACAAGATCTACCACAATGACAAGGCCAACTCAAGGTACAACAAGGCCAATTCCAGTCACGACAGGAAAGCCTGCTAACCTGGCCACACCGCAACTAGCAAAGAATCTTTCCACCAAAAAAGCACCTGGACGATCAAAAGCATAGCCTACAGAACCACCACCACTCCCTGTTACTTGGTCTCAGGCCCAGACTGTCGGCATTAACAACAATGTGTCTGTGCCACCAAAGTTTGTTGCACGTTCTCAAGAGCCAGTCCAGCAAAGCCAGCTGGTTTAGGTGCCACCTATGGATTTGGACAACGGACCTCTTACAGAGCCTGATTCTGATTAGAGCCGGATGCTCTTGTGGTTACTCACTCCCTTTTCTCATTTTTAGGATTTCTTGTTCATTTTGAGTCTCTTTTCTTGTGCTGTGTACTTGGCTGTGTATGTTTTATTTTCGCTTTTCTTGTTCAAAAGGACTCGTATTGTATTTACTACAAGTGAATACATGATATTGATGACTAATGAATTGAAATGGTTGAACAGGCCTTGAGCGAGTGACCACAATTGACGAGCATTGGAAGTCTAACCAGGTCAATCAAAAGCCAAAAGCCTGAATGCACCTTGTAGCGTGGAGTAGTCCATTGTAAGGCCGGACCAGACTGGATTGATGTGGCCAGGCTGGGAGGTTCCCTGGAATGCGCGGTAACACCCTTGGCAGCACTCCAGAGATGTTCCCATGCACTGACAGACTGGGTTCTTTGATAGGGCAGAACCCATCTATGAGACACCCTCTTGAATGAGGTCTTCCCTTAGTTCCTAGATGAGAATACACTGCTCATGCCTCTCACAAGGGTGTTCTGTGGTTTTATAAGGCTTTCAAAAGGGCTATCAGGTTAGCCTCATTTGAGGCTCGCGCATTTAAAGTGATGTTAGTGTATTGTGAAACCGGGGTTTTATTGCTATGATGGCCTTCTTCCCTGTATGTCCTCCCAATGCCATTTCTCTTTATTTTCTATTCATTTTGTTATCTTGACACTCTTCAGTGATTTCTGGAGACGTGGGATGAGGCTCTTGGTGGTAAATATTTTTTATTTGTTTTGTTATTTCAACACTCTTCAGTGACTTCTGGAGATGCTGGGAAGAGGCTCTCGGCCGTAAAGATTTTTTGAGCTTGAGGTTTCATGGCAGCCTCATCTGAATGATCCAAGCAACAAAATAATCAACAATAACATTATACATTCCATACAACATAACACGGGCTCAACATCTTTTGTTGCAAATGGGTAGGAGGGGATAACTAAAGCTTTCAAGTCCCACAACTATGGTTAATTACAGAAATGACAACAGGACAAAATGGGCACACTGCGAACACCCTTACAGAGCCGGTACATCACCTACAATATCTCCCTTATGATCCCACAACTTATCTGCTTTCATGGGCTGCAGGTCGCACTCTGCTAGAGCCAGGGGAATTGCTTGCTGGGGTGTGGCGCTCAAGTGCATCCGCAGTGTGGAGAGAGCCATCTTGCTGTACCTGGTATGTCTTGGGAGGGCCATAGATTGCGAGAGGTTCTGGGGCACGCATTGGCCCCATATTCATAGCATGTTGTGGCTTGCGGGATGGCCTAGAGGGCACCAGGTGATCCTAATAAGGAGGTGCATGCGCATATGCATCACCTTGTAGCATTGTGCCATGATACATATCCCGACCCTCTGCTGCAGATTGCAGCATGTACCTACTAGGAAAGATCTGGCCATACGTAGGCTCCTCACCACTGGTGTGTTGGGACATATAATTGAGGAGTCAGCGGGTCGAGGTGTTGCTGGGCAAATAGATACCAGGAGGAATGTTGCTTCCATCAAATGGGATGCCTTCTTCAGCTGCAAGCATCCTAGCTGAGGCAGGAGAGAGTTGCAACAGTGGGACAAGGACATGCTGAGGGTATAATAATGGCCTGGTGATATTGACGGGTTGCTGAGAGATGTTAGCAGCGGAAGACATGCGCACTGTTTGGGGCTCGTCAGGCAGTCCAGCAGGATGGATGACTTCGTCTGATCCTCCTACAGCCTCAGCTAGGTCAGAGGTAAGGTGTTGCTGTGCCTCTGCAATGCTCTTGCGAGGCTTCAATGGTGTTATTACGGTGTTCCTGCAAGGCTCCCGGGAGGATTGTAAGATTGCCTGACGGGGCACTGGCATATCTTCCTGAGGGAGAGTCTTATGATGCTTTGAGTGATGGTTGGAGATGTTATGTTGCTGTTGTCTTCAGTGGTAACCTCAATGCGCTGTTTCAGTTTGGGTCTTGTTACATTACAGTGGGTTAGAATTTTAGACACAACAGAAGGGGTTTACTTACCAGTAGTGATTTCCTCTCCAACAAAACTTTCACCCTCTCCATATAGACTATCACAAAGACAGAGTGCAAATTGAGAGTGAGATTATGAACAAGGCAAAAAGGATGATACATACACATACGCGGGCTGCCAGTAGGGAAGACTGGATGTGTGTTCAAGTTGGCATCATTGTCAGTTGTTACTGTCACTGGCGACAGTGACCCTCCTGTGCTAATTGAGGATCCTTTTCCCTTCAACGTTGTCATGGACCAAAGTTGATTGGTAGCATGGACAGGTGTCAAAAATGAAGCAAATATTCAAAAAGACTCGCCTTTGCGCCACACAGGCACAGTGCCACGTGGAATAGTAATTAATATCGCCTTTTTCGAACTTGTGGCTAATCAACACCACCTCTATTAGGCAATTCAGTCGTGCTCACCTTTGCTTTTCCATTTGGTACTTTCTGCATTTTGGCATTTTGGCAAATTTTTGCGTTGCCACCGGCTACACATTGCGCCCTCCCTTTTGTCGCCCTCCCTTACTTTTTTTCTTTACTCAGCCCCACCATGGGACCATTACTCTCTTTCTTATTCTCACCTGACAGTTACTTCTGGATTCCCATTTTAGTTCACCTCCTGGTCACCTCCACCCTCCTCCTCCTCATTTTCTTTGCTCGCCCACCATATCTGATGTCACCACTTTTTATCCACGTCCGTTGACCACCATGTGCCACTGCTGATACCAGCAAAGCCCTGGCGGCCGGTCCAAGTTAGGCAAAAGGTCCATCTTCATGACGTCAATCTTCTATCATATACCATCAAAACATTGGTTGCTCATCTCGCCCGGTTGGAGCATGGGTGGGTAGTTTTTGAGCTGGAGAAGGTTCATCCCCTTGCGTCGCCTATGTACATTGCTGTCCCATTCACTTGGGTACATTTATCTTTTGTTCATTGTCTTCGCTATAGCTACACCTACCACACGCTGCCTGGGACTCACTTGTTCCAAATTGGAACTACTCCCCTCCTTCCCTTGTTTGACCAGGTGGTCCAATATAACCAGTCCATGGGTAAGGCCATGGAACCATCGGATTTGAACTAGGTGGTGGCCAGTGGCTCCAGTTTCTTTTTTTTCAGCAGAACATTTATTTACAGTGCGATTATTTTTGATTTTTGAATCATTTTTATGGACACATATTTTTTTAGAATGCCTGACTGACAATAAAGAAACTGTGTTGATATTGATATTGTTTTTCTTTATCCTTTTTTTACTGCATCTTCCCATGACTTCATGATTTTCTTGCTCTCTTTCTGTTATTGGACTTTATTTTATGGCTGTACAAACCTGTGACATTACTTACACAGCATTCATTGTTCTATCTCTTTCTTTTCCTTATTTTGATGATCTTATCCTGTACTACCTATGCAGGATTTGTCAGCGCACATTCATTCCTTCATGTTCTCTCTCATTCCTTTTGCACAGCTATACTGTGCATAGCTTACCTTTCTTTTACTATATAAACCCCTGTATTTTACCTTGTAAAACAACAAGAACTCCAATCCAGACTTCTTCTCTAATCTCAAGTTCACTACTCTGCTACTTGTGATCCAGTGTGGTCACAACACTTCCCACTGCTACCACTATTAACTGCTGTCATTGTCACTTGTCATTTTTGAAAGTCATAGTCATCCCTTTCAATTAAAGTCCTTCTGAGCACTACAGTCTGTGCATCAGGAGCCTGCTATCACTGGGAACCTTGTCACCTCATCATCTTGTCGTTCTCAAACTACCTTGTGCTACGATTAGCAAGGTAGTGCTTGTCCAAACTCGTCACTAAGCCCTTATTCTCTATAATTCAACTATCCCTCCTCCTCAAAACCCACACCCATACATCTCTGGGTTTTACTTTGAAGGATTGTCATATGTACCACCCCACAAACAACCAGACCACTTCACTGTTCTAGAAGGCAAAACCCATACACAAGTTCGGTGGAATCTGGGAGGATTGTGTGCTAGTTTGTTTTGTGTGTGGTTTTCTAACTACAGTTCTCATCATTGACAACATTGGTTTTGACTTTCTTTCTGCGTGGGGTAACAACACCCTTGTCTTGGGCTTGCCAATGTCTGTGGTGTTTTCATGCTCCAGATGAGTTGTCTTGTTTACCCCACTGGCTATGGGCTTTGCGTGGCTGCTCTCCGTCTCAGACAAGCTGACATTAACCCATGGCTTCTTAAAGGGTCTTGGTGGGGCGACAAGCACCACCTTGACCTTTTTCTTCCCAGCCTTGACTCTACTGCTGGACGCCTTTTTGTGATCCTTTTTACCACCATCCTCAGACTTGTTGTTGCTGACATCAACCCTCTTCCTCTTCCCGGCCTTAATTCTACTGGGAGCCTTTTGGCGAGCCACTTTACCATTAATCCCAGACTCATTGTTGTTGATGGCGACCTTCCTCCTCTTTACAGCCTTGACTCTACTCCCACTGGGAGCCTTGTTGTGGGCCTCTACACTACATTCCCGAGGCTCTTCATTGCTGACACCATAGACAAGTGTGCGGGTTGTTTCCCTTTCTTGACTCGTGTTAAGGCGACTGACATGTCTTCTTGGCATGGCACTCCCTTCCGATTGACCTTCATGTTTGCAAATTCCCTTTGACTAAACAGGTGGGCAGAGTGAGGTGGAGGTGCGGCACCTCTGATGACGGGTTTGATAGAGTTGACAAGCATATCTGTATAGAATATTAGCAATCTTTATAACAAAAGACATGGAGTGTACTACCTTTCTTGTTCTTTTTGAATACAAACTGTAGGCTGTTAGGCGAGAGTCCTTGAGGCTGTTGAGGAGCTTTGTACGCTCAGCAAGGGTGAGGTCAGAAATACCCTTGGATTTAGAACCAGGAGTCCATTGTTGACCTGGCATAAGCATATCTCCAGGCCAGTTGACGGCAATGACACTGTGTGTGGCCATCTTGCTAGGCAAATTCTTCCAAGGGAATAGCTTTCCCAAAAGGAATTTGCAGCCAAGTTTCTCTGCAAAGGGAAGGGCAATGAGCTGTAGGAGAGTCATAGGATGGTGTATGTACCTAGCCTAGACACAATCAATGCTCGGATGCGAGGCAAATCATCTTTACCTTCGTGTATTATTTGGACCTCATCTTAAGCCTCGTGGGATTTGGGAGTGTTGACTTTGTATGAAATGGACAAGCGTGGTGCGTATTCCACGGTGCCATCAAGCCCCTCTGCTATTGCATTGAGCGGAATAATATTACTAACATACACAGAATAAATATCATGAGTTGCCCGCAAGGCAAAATATACTTACTATATATGGGCTTTAAAATGGCCGATGATGTCATTGTTGCTTGCCCGACATCTATCCTGGAAGAACTAAAGGAATATCAGTAAAACTAATGCCCCGAGTATGATGGGGGCCACTTACATTTTCAGCTCCTCGTGTAGTATGGCTAGTTCCAAGAGCCCCGTCTTCCTTTACATTGTTCCCAGCCATGAGTAGTGCAACTTCAAAAATATGGTTTTTTGCAAGAGTTTTGACCTAGTGTTAAGACGCAATAAGTAATTATAAGTGCATGCATAGGGAAAACTACCAGCTCACCAGTTTGACCAAATTCTTCTGGCGCTCCTCGAAATGTTGCACACATTGAGCACCAGCCTGTGGTATGTCCGGATGAACTGGGGCCTGGTCATAAGTTTCCAGGGTTATTTTCCAGGTGTTGGGGTAGACCTCCTTGAAATTTTTGTAATAATGCTGGCAGACGGCAACAGCTAATAATGCAAAGTGAGATGGACAATGGGAAAGTACACGGAGACACCTACATGGGGTGCTATCTGAACTACTGTGTGCCGCAATCCTCAAAAGCTCGCGTTCTTGCTGACTGACAAAGTATCTGTTGTACAGATTCCCGGGCGCCAATGATCAAGGACCTGTGGCACTGGTAATGTAGTTTGACCAACAAGGTCCACAACAACAGCATTGAGGCCTGCAAAATACTTGGCGAAGATAGCATCAACCTTGCCAGAACCCCCAACTACACAAGGCACACATTCTGACAGGGCATCACGGGTATTAGATTCTTGAGAGGAATGGCGTTGAGACATGATTTATAAGATGTCAAGTGAACTCAGCAATACTGAGATAGGGAGAGAACAAAGATTGAGGGCAATGAACGGTTGGGTACAAGGAGAAGATGAACAATGATATAGGTAGCTCACCACAGCGTTTTTTGGTGTTTGAGTAGTGGAAAGTTGAACAGACAAGAGAATAGTGTAGAGGGAAGGAAGAGTGGAGAAAAGTGGGGTGTTTTCCGAGGGCAGATGCTTAGTGCAAAATCTTCATATCAATGAACATGGTCTTCCATATTGGAATGCAATTTGCTGAAGCAAAAAAAAATAGAAGGTAAGAACTAATGATAACAATCAACTTCCTACAATTCACCTTGAGTTGAGAAAAACTGATATGACTTTGAACGGCAGCAGGATTCAAATAAAGCGGTATAACAAGATCTAGTGTAACAGCAATACTGACTACAAGTACAACAACGGCCACTAGGAAACCTAACATGGAGGCCAAATCCCTGGGTTTGCAAACTCCAAGGGCCCCCTATTATCGCCATATTGGGGTGTATGGTCATCAGGAACCCTGGCATTGATAACTTCTGGCGTTTTTGGGCCAGTGGTGGTGTCGTGAGGATTAACAGATAATAGAAGTTATGAAGGGGGTCCAAGGCCCCCTATATTGTGTTGTGGACTTGCGTGGTGAGTACTGATAGTCCCTTGAAGTTGTGCAGTTTCCCTATATCTATCACAATGGCTTTTATGGACTGGACCTGGGGCATAGTAGTAATACCCTTGCTTGGTGTCTGTGCCCTGTGTGGTACCAATTTCCCTGCTGTGGTGTGGCTTGCGGAGTGCTCCGGGGGGTACTTCAGAATCTTGATAGAGTACTAGAGTACGTCCATGTATGTCTTATTGAGGGCGCAGGGTGCTAGTGATGTTGCACATATTTTTGCAACGCACACCCTCATGGCTTGAGAGCACATAACCGCCTGGGGTTATTTGACCATATCCTTGGTCAGGTCTTGCATGGCGTGTATTTTCCGCCAAGGTGCAAGGCTCATTCCATTGTCCCTGATACAACCACCCATTGCTGAACTGCTTGGTCGATAGTCAGTGTACTGGCCTTCCGATAATCTATGTGACGCAATAGCACCACCACCATGGTTTTCTACAAAATCCTGTCCGCAATGACCTACATAGTTGTTGACAGGGGGAGGAGGCTCTTGCGAGCTACCCCTTACAGCTGTCACATTCACTTGCTCCCAATAGTGGCTGGCACCATCTTCAACACAACATGCCCCCTCTCCAGGTGCGCAATACAGGTCTTCAGCACGGCCACTACTTGTGTAGTTGTTGAGAGGCAGTGGAGGCTCTTGCAAGGTTCCCTTTCCAGCTGCCGTATTTACTTGCTCCACAGAATAATGCAAAGGCCCTTGTCCATCACAAAGTGGCCCCTCCCCTGGTGTGTAATATGGGCCTTCAGCACGGCCAGTACCTGATGTAGGTGGGGGATGTGGTGACGCAATGCCACCACTAATGCCAACATAGCTGTCCACAAAATATTGTCTGCAATGACCCATGTAGTCCATAGGAGGGGGGGAGGCTCCTGAGAAGCACCTGCTAAAGCTGTGATATTGTCTTGTTCTCTACTAGTAGCATAGTGGCCATCCACTTGCTCGCCATGAAGTGCTCCCTCCCCTGGCACGCAATACAGGTCTTCTGTAGGAACATCTTGAACAGTAAGGCGGCCATTTCCCGGTGTAACAGAAGGATAGCCCTCCTCAATGCCAGCAAGCCTAGCAGGCATAGACGAATGTTGCACCAATGGATGTTCTGCAGTTGAAGAGGGTAAGGAAGCACTAGCAACAGAAATGAAGGGGGGAGCACTTGTAGTGGGTTGCATAGCGTCGTGAGGCTCTGGTATATTGGCATGAGCTGCAAGCGTCTTGTATGTCAAATAATGTAGATTGAACATCTTGTCCAGGTCAACGCTGCCCTCCTTGGAAACACCACCTGCCTTGTGCAGTGTGGGCTTAGGTTACACTTCACATAGATAGATATTAGCAGAGCCCAACAATAGATATTTATGCTTACTTTTCACATTTAGCTGTTCTCCACACTCATTGTGTAGGGCTAGGATTATACAAGAGTTGGGTGAGCCTCCGCAGGCACTCAAAGGTTGAGAATGGGGCGAACCTACTCCTGCGTCCTTCTGGGACTTGTTTACTGATGAGGGTTCAGTCAGTGGCAATGACTGGCCAACCATAAGGCTGGTACTCTGTCCTTTTGTGGTTGGGAGGCTCTCGGTATGGGATGATTTTTGTGACTCTTTGACCGTTGCCAATGCCTTCTTGGCCTTCTGTGGTTTGTTGGTAGTGTTCTCCTGCTGCAAATGTGTGGAGTGTGCGTCTTGCTTTGCTAAGTGTTTGGATGCCTTGGCACTGATTTTTCGCTTTTGAGCTGGCAAGGTGTCTTCATATCCTGTGTCAGGATCAGACTGTGTGTCATGATCTTCATTTTTGTCCGGTGCCTCAGCCTCTGACATCAACTCCGTATTGCTTGATTAATCAAACCTGACCTTTGACTTCAATAGTTTTGATTGAGGGGGCACAACTTTAACAACCTCAACTTTCTTGCCACCCTTGGCACCAGTCCTTGCAGGAGGCTCTGCGGGAGGCTCATCCTCATCAAAGGTTCCATCTTGGTGAGCGGCTTGACTGGGATGTCCTTGATCCTTTCCTTTCCTTGTTCCCCTGGCTGATATATATTTTGCACGTGGCAAGCCGCAATTATCAATGCCATTGTTGGCAAATTTCCTCCGCCCAAAAGAATCTGAAGAGCCGTGTGGGGGGGCAGCGCCAACAATGACAGGCTCGGTAGAATTGATTAATTAAGCTACAGGAAGCCGCCGGTGTTAGCTTGTACATAATACAAAAAAATAATAGTACTTACATTGTAACTTTGGCACAGATTTGAAGAGTAATTGTTGAGGGCCTTGGTGCAAACAGCTTTGAGCGCTCAGAGAGCGTCAAGTCAGATATACTTTTTGGTTTGGCTGTAGAAGACTGCTCTTCTCCTGGGAGAAGCACACCATGGGGCCAGTTGACACAGACAATACCTTGGGATGCAAGTTCCTTTGCCATACCAAGGGGAAAATTTTCCAGATGCAAATTTGTGGCCAAGGGCCTCTGCATATATTGCATGTGTGAGGACTATCTGGTTGAGAATGCAAACAATTTACGAAGCTGAGTCAAAACTAGCTTTGTAAAGAGGGTCAAATCACTTTTTTCTTCTACAATAGCCTCATCGTCAACCTTGTTAGAGCCTTCAAAAATTATTTCCCACTCAGGAGCAACATTTTCTTTGTTGCTGTGATCATCAAATGCTTCTCCTATTGCATTCAGTGAAACACGGTTGCTGTGGGTGTAGATGAGTGCATGTAAACCAGTATGTCAAATAACCTACTATATGTGAGAGGGTTGAGCTGACGGTGGAGATGGAACTTGTTGATGGGACACATGAGTGCGCAATTGGGGAGGCTGGGGACACCATCCCCGACGAGTCCAGGAATCACAATATACTGACATTTTTTTCTTCTTTTAGAGGTTCGGAGGCCCATCACTCGTGTCTGACAAATGCGGGTCTGAGTGATTAGATGTAGACAAGAAGTGGTCATTATGGCTCTCTGAAGATAGATCATCTTGTGACTGGATTAGTTTAGCCCTACAAGTTTGGGCATTGTAAGGACCATTTATATTTTCTTATTTTCTTATCTTTTTGTTCCATGTCTTTGTAACAACCAAGAGTTAGTTACTCTGGTGCACAACTCAGACAAGCTGTAAAGATAGTGATGAGGGAGTGGTTAACCCTTAGGTAGGACCAAGTTAGTTGTGGGAACAGGAGGACTTGCTGAGGAGTCTCCTTGATCTATTAGGGTATATATACTACTATAGGGTTGTTTGTACATGTGTACTGTACAGTTGATAGAGGCAGTGGCTGATGATGTCATGGGGCACAGCCCGTGTGACCAGCTCCACTGCGTGAGAGAGTTGTATGTAAAAATAAGGAAAAAACAATGTAGCGCGAGAAAGAGGAGTTTGAACAAAAGGGAAAGTGCCACTGGCACAGTGTGTGAAAACTACAGAAAAAGGTTAAAGAGGAGAATGAAAATTAAAGGTCCGGAAATTATGTTATCGTAACAGTCTTGGTTCTCAGATGCTTTTCCCATCACACCTCTGCTTCTAGGGCTACAGGTACCATTTGCTATTTTGCTTCTCATAGCCCTCACAGGCTTTCTCAACCATTGTTACCACTTCATATCGCAGATCAGAGACTGGGTAACACTCCCAGCCAGCCAGCACAATGGGTAAGGACTGGTGGTAGACATCTCTCCAACCAGCTCCAAGCCCCATCAGTGCCTGGAGATATGCACTTTAGTCATGATTGTACCTCACCATGAGGATATGGTTCCTGAACACGCATAACAATACTTATTATTACATTCTCTCACCTGCTAATTAATCTTTAAAAGTCGTACAATAGTTATTGTTTTTCTCATTGGTTGATTTCTTTGTCAGACCACTTTTCTTTTATTCCTCTTCCGGTCTGAGGGATCGACAATTAGCTATATAAGCCCTACACATCCATGTATAGTTCTTTAGCTTTTTATTACTTGAATTACCCACTTTACTCCTCACCAGAAACCCTTGAGTTTACTCCCAAGTCCTCTACTTGCTATATTTGTTAGCATCTGTTGACCTCAAGCTCTTTGTACCTCTTACTCCCTGCAAGTGCAGTTGGAGATGGGTATCGTTTCTGTTATAGTTTATCATTGCCCCACAGGCATTACGGACGAGTCCAGAATTACGTTGTGTAGCTTTGATGTGTATACGCAGCCGTGTAGGAGTCACCTCACCCTCGCATATGTCACGCCCTCCGCCCACTTGTGCCGCAATGAAATCACCATCATCATCCTGTAAATCATCAGAGACAGTCAAGGGGTGGAGATTTGGTGTGGAATTTTGAATTGTGAAGTACATGGAGACATGTTCTATAGGACAGACATCAGTTTTGCCTTGATAGGTGAGTCTGTACTTACCAATAGAGGACAAAAAACTGATTATAAGAGGGGTAGTGTATAATCAGGCAAGGTTTACAATATGTGACGGATGACCAGCCTTTTGTAGGTCACAAAGCAGAAGCCAAAAACAAAACCAAAAAAAGGCAATACTGTATATGGATGATATAGTTTGAGTGCAGGTAAGATCGGAACAGTAAAAAACACGTGTTCCAACGCTAGAGGACACAACTATAGAGGCAGTAATACAGAATATTGAGTGGGAAAGGACTCTACGGTTGTAGGTTTAATAAACTCTTATAGAGTGGTACTGAGGAACCTACCAAAAGCAAAAGCTTGAGAGGAGCTCTTTTGTCGGTCAAAAATATGTCGGGGAGGAGATGTTTTTGACACAAGGATGTGGGAGACAGGTGGGGAGTTTTTGCATTGTTGGTTTCTCTTTGAGGCTTTCATACCTTGTAGGACTCTGGTCTGAAAAGGATAGATAGAATGGATCCGCTGGAGGTGAAAAAAATAGAAAAGCAGAAGGGATCATCGCTGGGAAACTTGGGATAAATGTCTTGATGATGAGGCTTTTAAAATATGCCGAGGCTACAAGGAGGCACTGGCAGATAGTGGTGGACACAAAGACGACAAGAAGAGCAGAAAAATAGACAAATATGGTAAGTCACACCAGAGGGTTCCTGCCAATCACAAGGTGTATATCTATCCTACTAGTTTTAAAACATATCCCTAGGGTGCATTTTGAGCTATTATATCACCGGAATTAGTCAAAAAAAATAGAGGAAAGGAGCCCCATCAAAATGGTATCAGTTTTCAGAGTATCTTCCTATGTGATAATGCTTCTGGGTAGAGAAATTGCAACAGGTGGGATACAGATTTTGACTATGCATTAGTCTCATGTTCCTTCCTTTAGGCTATATGGGTCAAAAAGCAAAATACCTTACTGAAGACACTAGACAGGCTGCAGTCCAACAAAACAGGGTCAGATATGCTCATTCAAACAAGTAGGTGCTATAGAGCCTCCGAGACTAAGCAAACTAATATATCTAGAGGAAAGGATGCATAATGGGAACAGAATACTCGCTTATATGCCAAATGCCATAGACGACAAAGCCGTGTCTCCTCTCAGCTAGAACAGAGAAACCCAGATGCTGCAATTTCACATTCTTTACCCCACCAGCTAATTGACTTCGCTGCAAAAGCTCTTCCTGACTCCTATCTGTTCCATGAAGCCTCGCAAAGTGCTGATAACCTCGACGAATCAAACCTGGAGCAATGGGATTCTATTCCACCTTACAATGCACCAGAACCTACTGATACAGTGGAGGAGGCTCGTTTCACCTCCAATCTCGTAGATGTGATGCATAGACAGTGCTGGCAACAGGAGAAAGAGAGAATGGAACTTTGTACCACTATGTACAGAGACAGAGACTTCAGTGGGCTAAAGAATGTACTGCGTACAGATATATCTGGGCTGCTAGTTCAGTGGAAGTCTCTTCAGAGATCAATAGGTCTTGTGAAGGGTTGTTGAAGGCATCAAGAAATGGCTGACAACCTCTTATTTTGGTGGGCCTGGGCCATATGTTGCCAGCAGGCCAAATTACTGATGTTAGCAGAGGGCAGGAATCCTTACATTATGGAATAGGGACTATGCTACTGGTATGGAGAGCACAAGTATATGTAGGTGGCATCGGAAAGCAACCATGTCACTCTCTTGTAGATTAGTTATGTCTGACCCTCGCAATACACCTGCAATCATTGCTAATACCCATACTCCACAATCATATATGTTGCTCTGCAATGGCGTGCACTAAGGGGAGGTTGAGTTTGTAGTGTTGTTAATAAGAGTATGTTAAGGCTTACTACTATAGGTTTTGAAAGTCAGCCCTGCAAGTCCACTTGGCAAGGCTTACAGTATTGACTTGCAAGGCTATGTAACTATGTTATTAATGTCATAATATCCTGTCATCAAGCTCAAACTGAGTGATGAGAACCAGGAGCAACAAAGACTGACCCTGACATCTGCTTTCCATCCCTCCTTGTCCGCAAAGCTGTCAAAAAGATGTAGCTCTTTAGTTGAGAAACAAGCAATACACAACACTCAGTGGCCAACAGGGGATGGTTGATGAATTGGTATTATCCATATATCTTTGTCCCAGCACAATGTCCATGACATGTTTCTCCACACAGCATCATTGGATGCTTTATAGATGCTTTATATTGTATGCGCAGAAGATCATGGGTTGAAAGAAGGGCACATTGACAGGCATGAAGAGACTTGAATTCCAAGTACATGAGCACTGCACAGCCATTGATACACACATCATTGAAACGAGCAGTGGAGGATGAGAGCCTATTGATATCGCTGGGGTTGAATATCTGCTGAGGAAATCTGTTTTGAGGCTCTCGCACTCTTCTGGCAACAGTACCGGCAACAATTACAGTATTATTATGATGCACAATAGGAAAATTGTTGATACGAAGGTTCTAGTTATCATATGTGAGTATATGTGTAGGGAGTCAACCAAGAGAATGTTCAATTGAGAACTTCTGGGAAGTGTCTAGCCACTTGCTGAGAGCTAACAGGGACAGAACTAGAGTCCAGTATGAGTAACTATATTATCAGAGAGTACAGAATGTGTACAGTACCTAGAGTCCAGTATGAGTAACTAAAGAATAGAAATAGTGGACTCTGCAATACTAATCCGAAGTTTTGTAAACATTGGTAAACAAATCAGCCACAAAGGCGAAATTATAGAATGCTCAGTGAATACTGAACAATAGAGCAAAAGGAATAAAGAGGAAAGTGATTTAGAAAGAAGGGAAAATAGATAGCACAACTAGGTGCAGAATCACCAAAACTAACAGAGAACACTACTGTACCTCTGGAATGTCCCATCTCAATTCTACATCTGCTACTGCAGGTTCCTCATTTTCATCATCATCTACATCCCCAATAGATTCTGCTGTAATTATATCACCCAGTGTAATTTGTTCCAGTCCAAGCGGGACCTCATTTTCACAATATTCCAGTGGGTCCACATCAATGTTGTTGGGGGGCAAATCAGGACTGGACGACGAGGTATATTGAATCCAGTGGTAAGTGGTGGGAATAAAGCCTCCTGAGAGGGTTGTTGCAAGCCTAAGAGCTTCGCTAGCTTGGCTGTCGTAGCGGGCTTGAGATGCAAGTGGGTTCTTGAGTTTTTTTTGAAGATGACGCAAGTGGTTACAATGCTGCTGTAGTGCCAGACTGAATGTGTTGTCTGTGAAGAGCAATTAAAAATCAACACACAGGGCTTAATAAAAATAAACATACGGGCTGGCAGGTGAAGAGCAAGTTCAATTGCTGCTAGTTCCCGCCCAAACCATCGACACACGTCGACGGCTTCCAAGCCCAGGCAACGTTGTTCCTCTCTACATCTGTCCTGCTTTAGGGCAGCATGAATGTTGTCACGCACATCTGGGTCTTCCAACCATGGTGAAATCTCACCAGCAGATGGAGATATCCACACGTCTTCTGTGAGGCTTTGATCACTCCATAGGTCCTTAAGTTTTGTTGGGAGGGGCATTGGAAGAGGGACAGCCAAGGATGGACCATAGAGTATATGCAACTGCTGGCAGTACATATGGAACTTTTGCAATGCAGCCATAAGAGTGGGCTGCCTCTTGGAAATATCCTGCCATGTTTGCTGGTGGAGCTTTGTACCTAATATACCAAGTTAAACATGCCAGATTACCTTAGAAAGGAATGTCACCAAGTGCTTGCTGTGCCCCTCCAACTGCACAATCAAGTTTATCCCACTTAAAGAAGCTCCCAATTGCCCATTTGCAAATATTAATTTTGAGGTCCCGGGCCATCAAGAGAATCTGCACAAACTCCAAGTCTATGCCTTTAAGTCCAGGGAACTTGTCATGTACATTGAGAGACGCGTATAAAACATCAACTTTGTTCATCAGATGCTTGTGGCCCTGCTTGAGGCTTCCAAGAGCCTCCAGTGTCTCCTCTGATGCAGAGTCCTTTTTTATGTGTTACCTGTAAAGCCTTGTCTGAAATATCTAAACCAGCCTGTAGTGATATAACTGTGTCTAGTTCTCTTTTAAGTCATGCAGGAGTATCTTCAAATACTGTCAGCAATACCTAAGTTTCAAGAGCCTCATAAGTACTTACAAGCACAAATTGAAAGCTGGGACTCTTGTTCTACTACCCAGTGTTTTTTGAAGCTCGGATATGGACACACCACAAGCATCTAGCACATCCTGTGCAGCCAAATCTTGTTTGTCTACACCTCGTTTGAGACGCCACTTGAGCCAGGTTCCTAAAATGTTTTGCATATCTTGTCCAATCACTGCAGCTTGATGATCAATCAGCCAGAGTCGTTGTTGCCACTGGACGGTGATGGTTATTCTTGTATCTGATCATAGACTTGGCATCAATTACGCACCGATGATGATTGCTGAATCCCTATAAGTCTGATGAACCTGGACCAGAGCCTCTCAGTCCCTTTGCCATCAGAGAGGCCGAGTCCATTAGCCATTTGAGGGTTATACATGAGCTGGCAAGCCCATTCATGACCATATGCATGCATTGCAGTAGTTGCAAACCGCAGACGTGATACAATACTGTCTGGAAGAATGTCATACTACAAATGTTAAAGTAGTGTAAATAAATAAAGAAGAAAAAACTTACTTATGCTGGTGAGCGAGAGAAAATGCACCCAATGTCATACAAAAGAATCACATTGGTTTGAAGTGGTAGTAATAAGTACAGATGTTGAATGAGTGCTACAGCATATTTCTGCTGTTCACTGTGAGTGTCAATATTGGCAAAAAAAAAAGGGGAATATCATGTCGGCAGATAAGTGCCATCACTCCTGTATCATCAAAGCTATCCATCACGGCTTTTTGTTTCTTACCATCTGCAGCTTGGTATGAGCTCTGGCAATTGTCAATGGCTTCATCAGGCACCAGGGCTTTGACTACCCTAGGTATCTGCTTTTGGACCTTGTCAATTTGGCAGCCAACAGCATTGACTTCTAACTTCAGGAGAAAATATGCAGGTTCATAAAACTTCGGGCTGCAAAGCGTCTATGGCGATGATTGTTACGAACTGTGACTCATACGGACTTTATTTCTTCTTTGAGTAGCTACCTACCGTTAATCATTACTATTTCCCACACTGGTTACTCGTTATAGTTCTCACCCGTTGTCGTTTGTTCAACACAAACACCTACCCTAAAGTAGGACAGTATATATAGCCACTTGTATTGTAGTTAACATCTCCAATACGATTGTACGCTTCAACAGTACAACTTGGTATTCATATTAAAACCCTTCAGCTATTTCAGAATACGTCTCAAACCCGTTGTCCATGGGCTTATCAGAAACCACTTCCGCATCCAGAAACCCTCTTGTTACCAAGCTTGTACATCACAAGCGTAACAATGATGGAAATTGCCATCAGTAGCGACGTGGATATCACCACCTTCATCTAGAGGCCTCCCAAAGACAGTACCTCCGATGCAAGCAGGGCAGTATTGGATGAGAATAGAGGCACAATGTCCTGTTGTCAAAGGCTCCGACATAGTCGGTAATAAAACTAAGTGAAACTCAGCCGCTGCCCGAGAGGCTATAGAAACGACTTTGTTATTTACCTAAGTGAAACTACAATAGATGTTAGTTTAAGGTGATCTCTAATAAATGTAATGTAACATACCTCAGCCGCTGCCCGAGAGGCTATAGAAACAACTGAGGTATTCCTATACTAAACCCCCTACTACTTATAGTCGGAGGTGCTACTCGCTACAGTATAATGACTCCTAGGAGTACAATTGTGCTCCTAGGAGAACAATGGTTACTCCATGGAGTGGTGGCTATGCTCCATGGAGAACAATGGCTGCTTTGGCAGAGACCGGGTTTATCTGGTTTTGTCACCAAGGCCCAACATAGCTAAGGATTGCTCAAATTGTACATCAGACTTGTGGTCGTTCTGGACGTTATATTTGGGGCCGGTACTCTTGCGTCGAAAGTTTCATCATCACAAATACTATGATCACTTTGTTGATCTCATGCGATTGTTGCATCTGTGCCTTTGGTTTGAGCTATCAAGGCAAGATATTGAAACGATCCACACTGGTTTTTATGAGGAGTAAGTATACGGGCATCAGAAGTGAAATCAATCACTGACTACACATAATACTTACAGATACTACTATCAATTTAAGTACGAGCGCCTGTGTGCATGTCCAATAACTATACACGCGCTGCTGCACATAACCAACAGCATGGAATGGACAGGACCGGTATGGACAACCTGGACATTTCCCACTGAGAGGATCTGCGCGCGATTGCAAAGGGAAATTAGGAGCAGACGACACCCGTATGCTTCTATGGCTGCATACCTAGTCAACGACGCGAGGCTCACGCATATCGAGCTTGTTTATAGCCTCGAGTCGGAGCTAAGCCTCAGATCTGGTAACCGGATTGCTGGACATTTTAGTGTCGACACTTGTGAGTTGGAATTCCCTCCTTCTGAGCTGAAAGCTGAAATCACTTACAGACCCAACTTGTGTGCTGTTACCCCCTCATCGTAAAGGTGTAGTAGACTTGTCTTTGCAAAAAAAAAAACAAAAAAAAAAATCGCCGCGTTGGCCACACGATTCAACACAAATTCATCCGAGATTAAACGAGTTTATCCTGTGGGGGGAGAGTAAAGTGTCTGGAAGGTGGGGATACAATGGTGGCGGCGGCAATGACAAAACCGCGGCCAGACATGCGGGATGCCTCTTTCATTCGAGTGAGTTCAATTCTATGGGTAAAGTATACATCAGCTAAAGTAAAGCAGTATGAAGCTTTGGCAGACATATTTGCTCGCCGACGACGGCGATCTCCTGAATACGAACTTATTTTGGGCAGCTCCAGTATATTGTTACAATGACCTTTCCTGCGGTTGAGGCACTGCAAGTCCGGAGATCTGAAAGCATATTACTTGCGGCTGTTAAGACGTGCATTATAGAAGCAACAGATTCATTGGATGTGCCGTATTACTCGAACCTTAGCGCGATGGAAGTCGTGGACATGACATGCGTTCAATGCGTTGTTCGGAGGGCGAAGATTAACAATAGATGGGCAATAATCGACAGGAGTGGGAACTTAGCTCGAGCCATCTATGATGGTGACACATCTGTTGACTGATTTATTATAGAGTCGCACAGCTTTCTATCAATATTGATGTATTGGTAGCGTTCGTTTGGTTCATATTGCTAGCGATGAAATACATACCTTGAACAGTGTATTTTCACCACAGATTAAAAAATATGGTACAGGATTTCGGCGTAGTGATTTGACAGGTTTATGTGTAGTGTTTTCACTTGGTAAGTGCACAGGAATCGACGGGAATATTCCCGTCGAACAATGGGGTGAATATTCCATTTTGAGAAGGTGACTCATAATCACTGGGTATTTACTCCGTACCCAATCAACACCGACTTACATAGTGAAAGTCACATTTCACAATATTTTCAAGGACTTATCACTTGATTTGGGCCTGACAGTGTACATTGCTGAACGTGGGGTTATGACAACCACATTGAAGATAATGTGTTAGTGGTGGTGGTTACGATGTACAAAATTCAGAACTTATCATCCTAACGAGTGATTCATTGCACTCTGGCCGGAAAGATATCATATATATATTTCACATTGAGTAATTTTCACAATACAATCCTATTCAAAGCTCTGCGAAGTTATAGGGACACAGAGACTGGGAGATGCTATTGCATTATAATGATCAAGAGTTAGTGAATGTATTTGCTACAGGTAAAATCATAATATCCGACGACTCACACTGGCGAAAGGTCATTGATACGAAGAAAAGATAGGTGACTCCGAAGAGCTTGAGCTATTATTGAGGTAGCTCATGGCACCAGTGCGAAACATGTGTTGAGTTTTTGCTGAAACTCTAAGATTGGCTCCTAGTTCTTCATCGTGACATTTCATGGGGGTGACTCTAAAAGGTGTTTCGCCAAAACTGTCCGTATTGCTGCGTGCATTTAGAAGGGCGATGAATGAGTTGACATAGACTACAGACCATTCAGTAATAACCAAAAAAAACACAATGAAGATCATACGCTTTGCTAACAAGAACTCTATTGCCAAGAATATGGAGTTGTGTGGCATCACCGCACACTGTTTGAAACATCATCAGTAATTCTGGAACACAATCAACTAGACGAACCGTAATCATTGCAGCCAATGAGCAGAAGCTGGTGAAAGGCATTATAATTATAATGATCATTATATGACATTATAATTATAATGATCATTATATGACATTATAACAATCACCTTGTCAAGCACCCGGTGCTGCACACATAAATGACGACTTTCTTTATTCTTGTGCGGGTCCTATATCACCAAGAAGTGAGCATGAAATGGTTGGAAATACAGTAAATCAGAGGCTTACTTCGAGAATCCTGTTCGAGATAAACCCAGGAGACAGCACATAGATATCGCAATAATCAAGTCATTGGTGGCAATCACAGCTAGCACGGTCAAAGAGGCCCACTGACAACAAAAACACACAGAGAAAATAACCGACAACGAGGACAATGAAGGGCAGTCCAAGAAATGTTTGTACTCAGTCAGCCAGCTTAAGGGTTTCTTAATGGTAGATACGTACTTCGATTTTTATTAAATCTGTGTAGAGCTGGCACCGGAATCTAGACAATGTTCATCAGTGTTCATAATAGATGAGGTATAGGCTGATGATACTGCAAAACTCACACAACATAGCACAGAACTTCCGAAAACAGTTTTAGTTAGTTCAGGAAATGCCAAATAATGAATATTTCAAATATACTCACGTATTGCGAGACCTAGAAGCATATCTAGTGAGTTAATCTTGAGTCTTAGAATTGCCGCAAAACACACCTGAACCAAGAGTTATAATGGTAACCTTACATTGTATAGAAAATTGAGTGATGTATAAGTCGAGGGCTGCTTTGAGATACATACTTGTATCATAGAGAATATACGGTTTCTATCCTTGCCCACTGGCATCAGCGTAGGCAGTCAGCAAAGAACACAAATAAATGGAACCGCTCGTCTGATAGACATAACTCACAAATCCAAAGACGGTGAGCATAGAAGCTAAAATGACATAAGAAAGAGTTAGGAGCTGATACAGAGAGAAACACTGCGAGTATATACCTGTGGACAGAGAGCACAACTAAAACCTGGAATATGCTTTGTCACAAAAAGCATTGAACTGCTACAGGGATTGCCTACTAACATCAACCACAATCTGCGCCTATGAATAAATAAATTAGCACAAAAATAAGGAATATATTCTGTGGCGAGAATTTTACTTTGAAACTCCAAACTATGACTAAGAGGACCAGAGGGTTACCAAAATTTGTTATGAGGTGGTGGTACAACATATGCGAAACGAAAATAAAATGGGTCGTGTCAAGTAGCCTGTGAATAAAGACTTGTCAACACCACAACATGGTACAAGATAGAGCCTTACCAGAGCCAGCCAACCTTATTATGGCCGCACTACGATCAGTGGATGATACTAGTCAGTTAATTCAACGTACCGCTATTCTATAGACAGTACGATCGTGCTTCCATTGTGTCTGCAAATACATAACGACTTGCAGATTTGTGACACCGAAAAGGCTATCAATATGCGCAGAGTTTATGAGCAAGGAAACCACAAAATGTTTATTTCTTACACAGCAGATGCCAAAAGTCCGATGAAAAGGGCACCATACGTGTTGTCAAGGGCAGCCAGCTGAGGAAAAGCTGGAAGTCCGCCATCGATATCTGCCATTGCGAGAAAAAGGTCCCTGCAGGCAACTTGTGTAATGAGTAAATCATTACAGCGTCGAGACTTGCTCATTATATAACAGCTGTGGGAATTTCTGTTTAATGCGAAGAAGCAAGAACAGGGATACACATCACAGCCTAAGAATACATGATGGGCTATGTCCATGCTCGGTGATAATCAACGGCTGATATGAACTTCATTGGGTGATGGCATGTACAAGAACCAACACTGGTCCATTGCATAAACAATCAGAGGAATGTGTTTACAGTGATCTGATCTCTATCTTTGGTTATAGTTTCATTGTTCGAGAAGTACCTATCAAAGTGGGTTGGGTTAAACGTTCAAAGATACCAGTGTATCGAGGAACGTACATTATATCTCGGGATGGGCGATGTCCAGTAGCCATGTTGACGAATCAACTCGGATAAATAGATGCTATCACTAAAACGGTCTCGATCCATCACACCAAGGTCCGTCCGGCAAGAAAGAAGTGTTTGATACGGCCTCTGAATATAAACCTGCTTGTTAACAAGTACTTATGCAAATACAATAAAGCGACAAGCAGGATACCAGAACGTACAATGAAGAGACGACTTTGAAAAAGCTTTGGCCATCAGAAACAGTAGAGTGGATATCACGACATTACAACAGAGCCTTTAACAGGTGCTCCATGTTGGATATGGAAAGGTCGAGAAGTTAAGCCCGGGCGATTGTCCAAGGTACCAAATTCATTAATAGGCCATCGCTTCCCGCACTAGCAAATATGAACGCGGACAGCCTTGGAGTTGGACTGATTGATGTAATCGATGGTAGCCCGGAACTGGCGAGAATGTGAACATTGACTAAGTTGCGACATTACCGACCTGGCCAGGTTGCTGTATACATACATACTGAGATACTCTATTCAAAGACGCACAAAGTGCCCGGCGTGTCAGTCACCCAGCCCTCCCATGTTGAATGCGGAGAAACGCGTTACTTGTAGTCATAGATATCCTGAGAAGAATCGCGAGTCGTAGCTCTGATATCATCATTCTACATGGTCAATCGACATGTTGCCATACGACTTAGCCATGAAGTTACTTGGATGTGGCACGGCGTATATGCATATTATGTAAGCCAGTATGTGTTGTACTACGGTCGGCGTTACGGTCCATCTGGGTTTCTGTACCAACACTGGTCGATAACGACGATGGCGACTATAACGCATCACATATACTCTCATTACGATCCAAAGGACCGTGAAGAAGTAGAAAGAGAGACAGGACAAGACAATGACGATCCTTGGCAGACCGAATCATCCTTTTCAGCTCATCGCCGTCTTGCAGCAGCACCAAATTTCGTACCTGCGACAATAGCATATAGCGAATGGGAAAGGGAGGACAATGTTGGTAGAACACTCGCGCATCCTGAGAATACTGTATCGCAGAATGATTTAGCGGGGTGGTACAGATCTTTGACTGCTGGAGGTACTAGACCCGTGTTGGACAACTCTTCAGCAGACCCGATTCTTCTCCCTCCTCCGCCAAGATCTTCTAGTATTCCCCGAGAACTTCCCAGTGCAAAAAAGGAGAAGAGAAATAAGAACAATTGGTTCATAATACGGGCAATACAATCGGAGCTTTCTACTACGCCTAGCACACCACCCCCTACACTAGCTGATATACTCGCTCGAGACCCACCTCCAACCTCTACCGAAAGACGTTACACTCCTCCAGTTTGGCTGGCGTTGGGGCCGTCCAATAGGGGCTTTTCAATGCTGCAGCGCAGTGGATGGAGGGAAGGTGAAGGTGTGGGGGCTCATGTTCATCGACATTCCCTGGAGCGGTTACCAGTTACCGAGGAGCTAGAGACGAGATTGCCCTCCGGGAGACGAACAATTGAAGCTAGACCAACTGCATTAAAGCAGGAAGAAGCCACGAGCGAGCTGCTCGATGAAGTTCAGGAGCTTAGTAAAACGGAAATCATTGACCTGACTCTGTCCGATTCTGATGTCGACGACTCTGGCTCTGAAGATGACTTCAACTTTGTCTCATGTGTGACATCTCAAAATACCTCGTTGAATTCCAGAGAGCCTTCATTGACCGAAGTGCAGTCCCCTTATTCCCAGAAATCGTTGCTGACGCCACTACCCACCATACTGAAATCCGATCGTCTTGGTATTGGTCTGAAGGCCAAGACCATGGGACCCTACAAAGAATCCAGGAAACGTGTAACTCATGGAGCTGCAGCTATGGCAGCCCATGTGAAAGCTGCGGAAGAGTTGCGCAGAAAGAAGGCCGAGGTTGGAAGAGGCAAAAGAGGCTTTGAGAGAATTCGAAAGAAAGAGGAAGATAAACGGAAACAACTTCTGGCATACTTGAACCAATGAACCAACAGATTCGTGTTATACTAGACGAATGTCACAATATACATACACCCTAAATACTTGCAGTGATAACATTCTTCCAACATATAAGTAACAATCTTAAAATCATCAGTGTCGTGGGGGGCACAACTGTGCATGTACACAAATGAGAAATACGAAAACCTTTTACAGTAAACCAAAGTCTAAAATATGAGATGATACAACTAACAGACCAACCTGGTCTGCCTTCAGGGTAAAACCGGTTCACCCCATACACCCTTCGCTGGCTCACACTTGACATCGCTGACATACATCCTAAGCCACTGCACCATCTCTTTACCGATTTGGTGGCAGCGTGTTACATCGATTGATCTCAGGCGATACGGTGATGATAAAGGCACGGGACTATTGGCCCGACTGAATGCAAGGGCATGGATGTGTGCAGATGCAGATGCGGTAGATGTAGATCGAGGAACCGAAGTCGGTGACAAAGAAGCATGCTGGTATCGGGTGGAAGATCGTCCTGATAAGCGAGATTCGATAAAACCACGTAGTGCGTCCCACTCGAGACCAGTACAACCGTCTAAATTCAGTGTTTCTAGCTTAGGGCAAATCCAAGGATGAGCGGTAGGCGGAGTTGAAAGATTCTGCAAGGACTGAGCGACATATCAAGAATGATAAGGGAAAGCACTAGTACCTTCAAGAGATAACACGATACGTCCTCCATGTCAATCAGTTCTAGATTGACCAGGGACGTGAGGCGTCGTAGGAGAATCACGAATTTCTGTTCATTGAAAAAGCTGGACTCCACTCGAAGGTAGCGGAGAGGAAGCGATGTCAACGATTGCTGTCTGAGGTGCTCGAGTACAGGGGTAAGATTGTCCAGGTAACAGAAATCCAGCGACTCGAGCATAGGGAAGGATATCTGGCTGAGTAACATACGCGTTCGCATTATGCCCGCGTAGTAGAAAGAAGCTTTCTTCAGTCGGGGAAGTTGTAATACTTTAGTCGTGGCGAATTCCTGCTCAAAAGGCAAGCTCTCCTGTTCGATATCGGACATGTTGCGAAGGGCAAGTTCCTCTAAACCTGGACATCCTCGGAGGATGTCAAGGATAATCTCCACTGATGGAGAAAATCGATTCCAATACCCGCAAAGCTGCAATACTCGCAATCCCGATACAACTCTCGTATCCCATCCAAAGTTAAACGATGTGAATGAGCACGAACGAAGTCGAGGGGTATGACCGTTGAAAAGAGGAAGGCGAGGGCTGGAATAATGGTCTTCCTGCATTGAGTGAAATATACGAATAGACAATGACTCGAGAAGTGGCGCATCCTCCTGGCAGCGCAAGAGTGCAGCATGCGCTTGAGGCCTGTTGGGTACGCTGAGGCGAAGAGACCGTGCGCGCCAGAGAGCGGGGCGTATAAGGTCCATAGCGTGGATGACATTCTCAGTAACCCCGCTAGCATGCTCGGCTCTGGGGCTGAAGTTGATGGTGATATCAAGGGGAACGGATTTTGATCGCGCCAGCTTTCGACTTGCCTTCTCCAAGGAATCATGAGTACTGACTGCAACATTAGACCATAACTCCGGGGTATTGACAACGACATCCTTCCAATAGCGACAAACAAGCATCAATGTTGACACCAGTAATGGCTCCTCGTCCTCCGTATCGCAAACGCCGACCACAAATATACACGAGAGTAGTTCTCCTGGAAGGCGGTGTACTGGGGCTTGTAAACGAACAGCCTGTTCTAAATGAGTTTCCAACTCATGCCGCTGGCTCATCAACGAAGCCATCTTTGTATCCAAACTATTCAACGCCTCTCTTAAGTGGGGTATATAGGTATTTGTCACTTCGTGTGGTGAGTAACTACCTTGTTCAGAGGTGCGGTTTCGCCCTAATAAAGACAAGTCTGGTACGCTGCTCCGGCCATCTGATAACAAGCGAGGAGGGGATTCAGGCACATCATCAGTGCTGAATGATGAAGCTGTAAACTGCAGAGCCTCATAGGGTGGAGGCGGCGATGATGGAGAATCAGCTGTGGTCGAGGACAACGCACTCGGCGATGTGGACAGAAAGGGGGACGCTGTATCCGCGATCTTAGTACCACGGCGGTTGATTGAGATGGCACTGTCGTCCCGAGACGAGTGAGATAGATGGGGCCAATGCATGATTGGAGTGGAGAGGGATCGATGGAATGGATCCTGGTCCCGTTGTAGCTCTTTATGTAGAACAAGGTGGTCCATTCCAGCGTCAACTAAAACGTTGATTTATAAAAGAGTAGCAAAACGCGGCGTTCAAGCCGGATACGTGTTTGATCTCAAACACTGTCTGTCCATTATAATAGGCGCATTATATACGCAGAAGCATGGCCGCGATGACAAGTAAACACACCTTCGTCGCCAGTCATTATCCGGGAGCCCAAGAGCAGGAGACGAGGGGGATTCCAGGAGAACAAAACACCGTTGTTGTGTAGGGTTTTAATTGATCAGGCGATCGCACGGATAAGAATGTACCTGTGAAACCCATTGCGAAACAAATTTGCCCTGGTGTTCGTCAGATGCACGAGGCCGGGTGCATGTCGAAAAGTTACTCCAGCAGGACAAATCGTTCAAGATTGCTTGATGCAAGTCTGCAACGTGGGGCGGTAAAATAGCAATTTGAACACGAGGGGGACAACGAGGCAGCTGAAAAGCAAAGTGCCACATAGAAGATTCCCACAGCACCGGCAAGAACCCTGTTGTCCAGCCAGCCGGGTCAAAAGCACCATAGCGAACGTGGCCCAGTGAGCAAACAATGTACATTTTATCTAGGTGCTGGGACAACTCCGGTATACAGCATAAAACGCAGTCCTATAAGCTGATAGCTTCTCTAATTCATAAGCAAAACGTCACACCTCGCCCCTGCATTCTCGACAGATAAGTTATGGGGTCATTCTAGTCATGATCTAAGTGCTTTCAGTGGACATAACGCCCCCTGACAAAGCCTCCGTGTTCTTGGGAAACAAGCCATAATAGAAAAACTGGCCGAGGACCTGGAAATAAAAAAGATCGAATTGGTTCAGTTTGGAGTAATGTGACCACGAAGAAAAAGTGCAAATACCAGGATATCGAGAAAGACCGTCAATGCACTTCCTATTTCCATTGCGAATGGTCATGTGCTCAGAAGCCGCATCGGTGCTATTGAAAACTTCAGTCCGACTCACCCGCTAGCCAGCTTGCATTCTTGATTAGGTACTCCCGATCGGTAGATGCAACACATATTGATAAGGCATAGGTGATGTTTCCCATTATTGCGAACAGAAACAACGCTGGGGAGAGACCTTCACATCGGGTCTTCAAATTCTTGACTGCACGTCTATCAGGAAGAGACCTCACTACAAGCTGACGACAGAACTTACGAATCTGTGGGATCCGAGCACCCACTTCCAACAGTACTCAGCCACATGATAAAACTGGGCAGCTCCACGACTCACGGTACGATACGGCACTCGTCCAACCAATGATTTGAATCTTCCAATCTAAGGCCTCCTTTTTCTGTGAATGCGGAGACTCGGTGCCATTTGATAACGAGTCACTGATAAAATATGCCATGACGCCAGCGCCAATGACGAATATAACCGCGGCAGCATATCGCAAAGTTCGCTTCTTCATGGAATCCAATCTACTGGCATGATTCGAAATCGCACTAGTGTCTAATAGATGCGAAGCTTCAGTTGGGAAATCTTCTGTATCCAGTGATGATATTGCGGTAGCTCTTCGCCTTTTCGCACGATAGTAGTAAACTTGCAGCAATAGTATCGAATCGCAAACAGTGTACTAGAGGTATCAAGAGAAAAAGTGTAAGAACGTGGAAATGGAAAGATGATTGTGCGCCCAACAAAAAATAAGACAAAAGCTTACATATAATCCTAGAAGGATGACAGTGGGCAGTAGTTCGCCCATCACCGCACCTACCAGGTTGCAAAGATCTCCGAGTAGCCAGACATACACGAATAGTAAGGATAATCCTTCTCCACTTTGTAATTGATAGTTCTCTAGGATCTGGGGAGAATAGACAATTATCCTAAAGTGATGTGGTTATTCCAAATTCTGACGTAAAGACTATCAAGAAACTGTGCGCACGCACACTCACCAGCAAGCAATGGAGATCCAGCCGAGCTTTGCCCGTTAACCTTGTATATTAGCACATGTTAATCACAGCAAATGCAGAATGCGTACAACGCTGCTGGCTACTTCACTCTCTGCAGCCATTTTGATTTCCTGAGTGATGGGAGAAAGTAAAAGAGGGCGCTTTCCAGATTACAGAGCAGATACTGGACCCCTGCAGAGAAAAATAAAACAAATAGGGAGAGCAATCTCCAAGGCTTCAGAAAGCGGAACGCTTTCCAAATAAGGATGTTGTCATGTGACCTCCTGCTCTTGCCGTCTTGCCGATTTCACGCACGTCTCCTTTGACCACAAGCGCCTTTCTGTTCAACTCCTCAAAATGAACGGACAAGAAGCTTTCAGAAGGTTCGCACAACAGCTGCAAAGAGCTAGTCAAGGTGGAGGTGGAGGTGGTATTCCTGGCGGACCAGGGAAATTCTTTGCTGGAAGTGGCCTTTTGATTGCTCTGGTTGGTGGTGGAATAGCTTTGAATGCGAGCTTATTCAACGGTACAGATTACTTCTCTGTCCTTCACAACTCGTTGCTAAATGTAGATTTAAAGTCGATGGTGGTCACAGAGCGATAAAGTATACACGGTGAGTATTTTCATAACAACCTTACACGTCAGATTCACTAAGGCGGATCGTCGTCTGTTCTGCAGTTTACACGGTGTATCAGATGAAATATATCAAGAAGGAACCCATCTCATGGTAGGTTCTATACTATAGGGACTCGGACTTGGTTGAATTTTCCCGAAAGTTGCCCTGGTTTGAAACCCCAATAGTTTTTGATATTCGTGCCAAACCCCGGAGTATAGCCAGTTTAACCGGAACCAAAGGTTCGGCATTGTCAATTGCTACAACGTATGATATCTAACGAGCGACGGTCAGATTTACAAATGGTTAACATCACTTGCCGTGTACTTTCAAGACCATCCACCCAAGCCCTACCCAAAATTTATCGCGAGCTCGGCAAAGATTTTGACGAGAGAGTATTACCTTCCATTGTCAACGAAGTGCTCAAAAGTGTGGTCGCACAATTCAACGCCAGTCAGTTGATAACGCAGCGTGAGATGGTCAGTTATTATGTTTTTGCTATTGTTATGCTAGCGTTGATATTATTGTATGTAACAGGTGTCTCGACTCGTTCGCGAAAATTTAACGCTTCGTGCCTTGCGCTTTGACCTTGTTTTGGATGACGTCTCTATCACGCATGTAGCCTTCTCTCCTGAATTCACCCATGCAGTCGAAGCAAAACAGGTTAGGTTCATTACACAAATGCCGTTCATATAATTTACTTATGCTCTCACGTGCAAGGTTGCTCAACAAACAGCTCTACGTGCCGCGTTTTTGGTAGACCAGGCTATCCAAGAGAAGCAGGTACGCTGATCTCTTACATATTGTTTTTAGCGTTCGGCTTGCTGAAATGATGTGAAAATAGTCCATCATCGTGCGAGCTCAGGGTGAGGCTCGCAGTGCCGAGCTTATTGGCGAGGCCATGCGTCAAAATAAAGGTTTCCTCGAGCTGCGAAGACTGGAAGCCGCCCGTGATATTGCCAACGTGCTTGCTACCTCTGGAAATCGGGTTATGCTTGATGCGCAGAGCCTTCTGTTAAACGGTACGTGTGCTTCGTCCTATCGGTAAAGCATACACAATTAGCTCACAAACGTCTTTAGTCGCAGGTGATGATGCAAAAGAGTTACTCAAGGTAAAGAAGTAACAGTGTCGGGTCTAGACGGATCCTATTATCTGTGCATGGCTTTATTACTAATACAATAAAGTGATCAACCCTGTGGTAACACGTAGCTCAACAAACATTGAATAGAGCTGTTGGATTGCAGTTGCACCTCATAAAATGCCCTGTTTTGCTGCGACTTACCAGTCATTGCATTCTGTTTAGTGCCCTGTCCAAGTCGATTCATCCCAGGTCACATGGTAATGTGTGACTATCACCTGACTGCAACGCGCGTTACTGCCGTCGCCCTACCGTTGACGCGCTCAAGCTCATCACATCATACTATCATTCCGAGTCGCTGTCGACCAAAGATTATCTTCAAGAGCTTTTATATTTCGTTAACTTCGTGGCCTGCACCCATATAGATCGGCAACTTTAGCAGGATGTCACGTAAATCTGGATTGAAACGCATGAGATCTTTGCCAGGTTCTCGACCAAAGGTTCGCTGTGATCAAACACCTCGTTCACGACAAGACACCTCTTGTGACGATGACGAGGTAAACAGTGAGGAATCTCATATACCAAAGAAGCAAGTGAGATGGGATGGTGCCGCGGAGTCACATGTAGACGAATTTTACCAAGGCGAGGAAGACAAGCAGGAGAGCGAAGAAACATCTGACACCAAGGTACAGTATATTTTCCTTCCTTTCTAACAGGCGATTAAACAAAGCACAGATATGCTTTACTGTTTTATGCCAGAAGTGAGTCACTCCACTATTTTGGGGGCCATGACCGAACTTGAATGCAGCGGCCGCATTGGATGCTCATACTATGATCCCGTCAAATGTTTTGTATATGTGCTCGAAGATACGCAGGAGAGTCTACACTTTGATTTGACGACGATGCGTTAAGTTATGGATGTTACTTCGCATACTGTACTCTGAAACTCCATTCAGTACTAGAGCAATGCAACCCAGACATCGTGTTGACGAGCTCACGGGCTGATGACAAGTTTATCAATATCCTTCAAAATTACAGTGCGTCGCATCATTATATTTAACTCTGCTTTGATGCTGAGACTACATACAGTGGAAGCTTCAGGTGGTATTTTTCAGATCAGACCACATAAGGAGTTTACACCAAATAAGGGACGAGATAGGCTTCTCTCCTTACGGTTACTTACAGAGTTGGACATGCAAAGCGACATCCAGGCCCTTTCCGAAGCGGACTCAAACTCGGACTCAAGGAACGCTTATGATTTCATGAACAAAAGGAGAGAAATCACCGGAGATCCTGTAGCAAAACGATGGAACGCAGCGATACGATTGTCAAATTTTACATCCCTTGATTCTGCACCCCTCTGCGTCAGTAGACTTATCGTAACGAAGACCCTTCACAGCTAATGTCTTTGAGCTGCAGATATCGTCTATTGGAGCTTTACTCGATCATTTAAATCGAGAACGTGCCGTAGTAGAGTTGAATGACCTTGGGATAGATGGTCTGGAAGTCCGTGGCATTGAAGGATTGACCTTGTCAGTCTGTGCCAGCATTTCTATATATCCACCTGACATGCGCCCAGAGATCAAGCTATGCAAATAAATGCTGATGCGTTATTGTATGCTAAAGTATAACTTCGTCTTCAGTTAACCTAACGTTGGAAATTACAGTTCCCTTCAGGTATTCGAAGACGAGAATCATGCTTCAATACATTCCGATAAAACCAAAGAGGGATTATCATTATTTGGTTGTTTTCATATCACAATTATATGACTAAGTGTCTGCTTTTCTCAACATTCTTTTCGTACAGGCACTTTGGATAACACTCAAACGACTTTAGGTCGCTCTCTTCTTAAGACCTGGCTTCTTCGCCCATCGCTGTCCCTTTCTATTATAAATGCGCGCCACGATGCAGTGGAATGCTTTATTAGGCCTGAGAACCTTGTTCCTGTTAATGCCATGCAGGTTCATCTAAAAGGAATCAAGAACGTTCCTAGGATACTAGGGAACATAAGAATGGGAAAGGCAGGAATCACTGAATGGCAGGGGCTTGTGAAGGTATTTTGAACCGTTTTAATAATTCACACGTATAATCTCTAGTCATAATCATGTAGTTCACCTTTCATTCTGCTATGCTTCGAGATGCATTGGCGGAGGTCAATGAGGCAGGCGATGTAGAGATCGTAAACAAAGTACATCTCCATTTACTATCGTAATATGCTTCATTCTGATACTCCTTGCTAGCTAATCGCTGTATTAGATGTTGCAAGCTTCAAGGAGATAGGGAACACAATCAACGAAACTGTAGACTTTTTACCATATTGCCGAAGTCCACTCCATGACTTATACATGATATAGATTGATTGGGAAGAATCAGCGCAAGTTGGTCAAGTTTGTGTCAGACCGCATATAGACGAAGAGCTCGATCAGCGGAAACATGTTTACAATGGCATAGATACAATCCTCGTTCGTATATAGGGTACGCTCCGTGCTTTCTACGAACTTACCTCCATTTTGCTAGTCCAAAGTCGCAGAGCAGATCTCGCAGACAACACCGGCAGAGTATGCGTCCTCTCTCAATGTTGTCTATTTCCCACAGCTTGGTTGGCACACAAAAACAAGTTATCAAGCTCAAGATCATTTTCTAACATTCATGTCTTGTGCTAGGCTTCCTACTTTGCGTACCCATGCAGGAACTTTGGCAGACCGAAGGAATCAAGGTTCTAGACGGATGGAGTTTTCAAGTAAGCCATTGCACATACCCGACTTCACGGTTGATTGAGTCTGAAACCTGTCATCTAGTTTTCTTCAGAGTAAGTTCCATGGATATACTCTCTCCAAACCCCTTAACAACTCTCCTCTTTATTGGAGATCTTACGTCTACTTCAAGTCCCAAGAAATGCGTGGTACATATATATACCTTCGTGGTCGTAATCCGCACTGAGTTAATCATATTAGATATGGATACTCACATAGGCGATATACACCCTTCCATAGTTGGTATGCACAGCCCTTCATCTTTCACTGTATTGTTGTCATTTTGGAACATAGACAGGGAATTGGAGATCGTGCAAGCACTACAAGAGGAGGTACTGGTTTATGATCAAGTTATGGGACAAACATGCGACGTCTGCGCGGAGCTAGACTGTTTGCTTTCTTTTGCTGCTGCTACTAGGGCATTTGATTATCGAAAGCCGCGCATTGTCGAACGATCTGTCATTCATATCAAGCAAGGCAGGTAAGATATTCTTCCTTGCTCCCTGTATTCGGTCGTGACAATGGTGTCCAAGGCATCCCCTTCAAGAACAAGTGGTCGATATCTTTGTTCGCAATGACGCACATCTTGTTGCTGGTGCAGGTTTCGATTTTGCTGAGTCGAGCTGTGAGTATGATGGCGATCCATCAGAACACCAGACTTGTAGTAGCATCATACTATGCACAGGTGCGAATGCGTGCGGCAAGGTCACACATTTTTTTCTGCTTAATATATTAACTCTGAATTGGAGACATTTGGCAGAGTGTATACCTCAAACAGGTACTCCGATCAGCCAATAACATCTCACATCATGATCGCTGATGCTTCATCCATACTAAGGTGGCTTTGATTCAGTACATGGCCCAGGTATAGTGCCGTGCAATCCGAAGGTTACTCTCAACTGCTCATGGTGTTCATCACTTGCAGATTGGATGGCAGGTGTCCTTCTAAAGTACCTATACGATTATTTACTCCTTTGCAGTTATGTTCCTGCTGAAGCAGCTACCCTCGGAATCGTTGACAAGAGTATGTGTTTCCTCAAATACGTCGAGATGCTTGCTAATAGTTTCTTATTTTAAAAAGTCTTCACTCGAGTGCAAACTAGGGAGTCAGTATCCAAGGTGACATATACGCCATATCTATTATTTTCCTTAAATATAGAGCTAACTCTTGTTATGCAGGTGCAATCTGCCTTCATGATCGATTTAAATCAAGTATCTTTGGCTTTGCGTAATTGCACCGCCAGGTCCTTGATACTATTGGATGAATTCGGCAAGGGAACTGTGTCAACAGGCTCGTCAATTTCCCTTGTCTATTGGCCATGATGTATTTGACTGTGTCTCCATTCGTGCTACGTTTTACTTTTCGATCTATTACCTTGTCTTTGATAGATGGCGCTGGTCTCTTTTGCGGAGTACTGAAGCACCTTCTCGACCGAGGCGTCAACTGTCCCATGGTTCTGGCTGCCACGCACTTTCATGAAGTGTTCAGGAAGGATCTTTTAGACGCTCAATCACTGCCGATTACGCTCCTCCACATGCAAGTTCTTTTCGCTTCCAACCCTAGACAGCTTGTCGAAAATCCTTCTTCTACGCGGGCATCGAGCCCCGTCTATGATGGCATCGAGGACGAGTCCATGGAAGACGGAGACAGCGATCACAAGATCATACCAGGGAAAAGACTGACTTATCTTTATCGGTTAATGATCTTTCTATGCTCCATGCCATTGATAGGTTCACGCTGATGATTGCACCGCTAGTGTCGCACCGGGACTTTCCCTCAACTCCCATGCAGCACAGTGCGCAGCTATCTTTGGGGTTCCGCGTCGTATCGTCCAAAGAGCCCAATATGTCAGGTGCGCGAGATAGTGTGCTCACAACCATTTAGAGCTTGTCGACGCCTCGTTTGCTCGTTATTGTTATTGTTGACCATCTCCCTCCAACTCATAGCCAGTTACTTTCTTCGTACGAACTTGGAAAATTGCTAGATGAAGATATGACGGAGGATGAACGATGCGATCTCCAAAATGCCGAAGACATCTGTCGAAAATTTCTAGAATGGGATCTTCAGTCAGATGAAGCTACGAGACAGTTTGAAGTTAAAGGTAAGCTGGCCGAAGTACTGGGCAGAGAATTGCAAGAAGAATAATCGTTATGGATCGCTTGAGACTTTGGACAACTGAGCGCTGGAGGGTTTTACTGCGTTGCTCGAAAAGTTCTTTTTACCTGGCCTGTTAACGATGCTACAGTATATTCTAGCTTACAAGTGAGAATGTAATAATATATTTCATCGTCATTATATCGTTTATGGATTAATGCGCAGCACTAGAAGCAAGGCTGTCCTCTTTGTGTATTTCCAATCCTGGAGGAGCACCCAGTGCTAGATAGATGGGAATACATCAGCGAATATAGGAAATGGACTTAGGGGCGCTACAAACCTTCCTTAATAACCCCATAAAGTAAGAACTGGCCTGACACCAGCCCGGCGGTCATGATCATTCTCGGACCCAGTCCAGCGAATAAACCACGGAATCCGGCTTCACGAGCAAGTACGGCAAGGCGATGAGGCATCGAACCAGTGGGCCCATGGCCTTTGTTGATCTGACTCAAGAGCGTGTCCGCTGGCTTGGAGACATCATCCGTCAATCAAATCTCCACAAATCAAAGACCACGATGCCCACCTGACTCAACACTGCAGCCGCGAAACCGGCAACAATACCACTACCCAAAGCAATACCGAATTTATTGGTGGGCGAGAGGTTGCGCCGCGTTTCTTCTGACATGGAGCGAAAAGCCATCTCATGACAAAATTCGTTGACAGTGAATTGACCGATAGCGTATGGAATTTGCCTACAGGGAAGATAACATGAATAAGAGAAGGGTGGACTGAAAATTTTTATGTACTTACTTGCAAAGAATGGGAAGGAACCCGGCGTAGAGTTCGCGTATACCCCCTTCGCGAGCTAACCGCGTAAAACCAGTTACCAGACCTGTAGCATAATTACGCTCTGAGACCAGGCGTATACGGGTAGCTTCAAGAGGAGTCAGCAAGATATCTGCAAAGAATCTGACCGCACAGTCCGTCACAGTGAATCTAAACATAATGGATGGTTCGGATAAGCTTACTCTGCGATACTTGCGGAACCGAGATATATCGCGGTGCGGTACTTGACAGCAGTTTCCTGATCTCCAGCGAGTTCCACACACTTCTTCTTCCAGAATTCGTAACCTGCAAATTTTGCACCACCCTGCACAAGGTATCCTACTGCGGTGGGTCCGAAGCCCGTCAACAGCGCTCTGGGACCTTCGTTGGCGATAACCTGACGTGTCCCAGAGAGGAATGTTGCGTGTTTGAATGCAGGGTCTATCTGAATGCGCGTTTTGACGACATCAATGGCTGTGGATCAAGACGTTATAAATATTAATGGGGCACAGAACAAGGACTCACGAGTCATTGCTCCATGTGTTACACTAATATGATGATGGTTTGGTCACAAATCAATGGAACAAGAAGTGAGTTGAGCGCTGAACACTAAGATAAAGTTGATATCAACACTCACGTGCAGCATAACGCCCCTACAAACGTTGATAGAGTCAGATGCAAGATATACTATCACGTAAAGTGCTAGTGTGCGTATAACGAACTCACCTGCTAAGAAAAATGAAGAATAGTCCTTTGCAGTGAATTGAGGGACACTGAAGGCGTTATCAGACGTTTTGCCCGCCATAGTGGTTGATGGATAAGATGCGGGTTGGTCTCACATTGGGACAGCCTTTACAGACGGAGAACAACGGCAATGATGGGTGCAAAAGGAAGTGACGTCAGGGAAATTGGCTAGTCTTATTTGGCTTGACCATGTTTGGCAATAGCAGGCCGGTCCGTTTCTCTTAAGGATTTGGACATGTTCTCATATGACCAGACCTTACAGTGGGAAGTTGAGCTAAAATCATCATGAGAAACAGACCTGTCGCTCATATCTCTTTCTCCTCTCACCATGTCGTTCCCAGTCCCAGAAATCGCTGTATTCAAGGCCTCTGACGCCTACAAGGCAGATCCATCGTCTCTCCATGGTCTTTTCGACACTCTCGCCACCACGGAGGGCATGTCAGGGTATCTACTTCTCCGATCTTGATTTGATGCTGTTGGGCGCTCACATCAGATCCATCAATCAAGCACTTACTATGGTTTCGAGACAGAAGACCCCTCCAACCTGTTCACTGTTCACGGTATCACAACCTTTTTAGTTATCTCCTCGCCCTTTCTAATATGGTCTTCCATTCCAGTTTGGGATACCAAGGAGGCTAGCTTAGCATTCCGCAACAGAAAGGACTTTGATGATGTGGTCGCTGCCTCTCTTCCGGCATTCGGCTCACAGCCAGACGTTAGCCATGTGCAATTCACATCAGACGTTATCAGGCCTTTAGCCGCTCCAGCCACAGAATTTGTTACCTTCACCTTAAAGGAAGGTCAATCCGTGGAAAATCTCCTTCCTCTGGTAAAACAGCTATACGAAGGAGTAGCCATAACACCGACCGCTCATGGCTCGAGCTGGGGTCCTGTCATTGGCAAACCTGATGTATACTATGGAATCCTTGGCTGGGATACTGTTCAGGTGAGTTACCATGTACAGCCTCTCGAATTTCGTTTTCTGACCTCACATTTCTCCAGGCTCACTGGGATGCAGTTTCAGCTGGTCCGCTGAAAGTTATCATTGACAACGTCAAAGAGATTGCTGCCATCTCTCTTGTTCATGCCCTTTTAAAGAAATACACCAAGTAATCAAGGGAAAAGAGAAGATATATATATCTTGTAACGTTTATGTATGTGGTATCGAAGGAAATTTATGGTCAGCTGTTATAAAACCAGTTTGAACTGAACAGCACAGGAAAGCTTTTGTTATCATCATTATCGGTGATGGGTGCTTGCTGTCTTGAGCATTGGCTGTTCCACTCATCGCATGCTTAACTTAGACGTTTTGCGCCTTCTGTCGCCATACAAAATCCACATGTAAGCATGCTTAAATATACAACGGTTATCATGTTATTGACCTCGAGATGCCATATCAGGCATACTTTGTAATGCAGCATAGTTTGGACTTTGTAATGCAGCATAGTTTGGACCATGGAGCTTTTAGGTAAGAAGAATGGTGGGGTAGTTCTCTTCTTTCTCAGCGTCTCATCAGCGCTTTTTTGGACTGGCTTCGAAGGCCACTAGCATGCAGTGTTGTGATGCTGATATCTTTGTCGTCCTAGTAAAGGCAAAATTTCCAAGCCGATGTAACGGATAAAAGCTTAATGCCATCCACTAGTAAGTTTTCTTGTATTTCCCCTCTCTAGAGTTTCACTAACCAGTCCTTCGTGAGCAAGACGCAATTCATAAAAATGGTCAACAGCACAACCAATACGTCTCCGTTGTCGAATCTTGATTATACATTCGGCGCTCTATATATTGGAGTCTTATTTTCCGCAATGTGAGAAGCCTTTCATAAGTGCCATCGTCTTCTCACTCGCGCCCATAACATACAGCCTGTTTGGTTTCTCGTGTATACAGGTCTTCATCTACTTCCAGACGCATTGGCACGATGCATGGCTCGGTCGCAAAGCAATAGTATGCCGTGGTTTTCTGTTGATATATGGAGCTGACGCTTTATTCATAGTGCTTATACCTTTGGTCGGTGACCTCTATATTAGCGCACGGCTTTACCGACATTTTTTGGCAGGGTTGTTGATGCTTTCCATCTTGCCATCATCTCCCAAGGATTATACTACTACCTAGTGACCAGTTACAATAATCCCTCAGCGCTCAATGTAGTCGTATGGGAATATCAGGTAATTCGTCATTGTATTTTATAACATGCGTCTTACTGATTGGTCGCTTCAATTATAGTTACAAATTGTTATTACTGTTAGTAGAATGATTTTGTTCAACCCTTTATACCCAATCTGATGTGCGATGCTCAGGTACTTGCTATGTTGAGCGTTCATTGGTGCGTTTTTATTATTCTCCCTTTCTACATTTCCTTTGAAACTATTTTTTCCCGCTGGTCAATCTACTGATTGTATACATTGGTATATACAGTCTCTACGTCCACTACATTTGGATCTGTAAGTTGTCCATGCCTGGATTCCTTTCTACCATGTAAGAGAATGTCGTGCTCAAAGCCATCACTACAGTGAGCTACAGAAGGAAAAGGTCTATATTTACAGTGGTGGTAGGTTTTGATATCATTTATAGGTACCACCTGATGATTGTACCGGGATTGATTTAGTCCGTTGTGATAATTATCACTACAGGTGAGATAAGCATACATGATTTTGTCCAGTTCCCCTGATACCGATACATTTCATAGGCATTTCACTCTGTAAGCTTGTCCCCGCATAATCCTCATATACATGAATAATAATGGCGGTTTGATAGACCTTTGCTATGATAGGTGGGTTTATCTCCTTCATGATCCAGGACTTGTTCTGGTGTCGCGTCAACGATTCTACATGTGACCTGCAGTTATGCAAATTCGTCAACTTTCATAAATACTAGTAATTCAGGAGAGGTGAGTGCACAAATTCATGAACATGCTAGCTGATTGCTCATGAATGCACGGTGCCGTCAATTTAGTTTGCATTGCCGTTAGCGGTAGGCTCTGTAGCTCTCACGGACTTCCTTATTGCTATGTCTATGTGCTACCTTTTGACTACTTCTATGACTGGATTCACAAGGTATAGTATAGTACCTTGCTGTTATGATATTTATTACCACTTCATGTCGCTCACATGTTTTTCATAGCACGGATAAAAAACTCAGAGCGATTTCGATCTATGTTATAAGTTCTGGTTGTCTCACTAGGTTTGTGTCACAACTTTGTCGACGATCATATTGGCTAACCATCATAATGAAGCCTCGTCTCCATCGTTGTGTTTGTCACCGTATGCGTTGATGCTTTTGATATCGCCTTCCACCACTCAACCATACATTCAGTATGTAGCGATGCATAACATGATTTATTTAGCGTCCGTGGTTTTGCTCACGAGACGTGAGTTACTTTTTATCTAATCTCATCATATCTCTTGATCTAACTATCAAGTCCACTCCAAAAAGTCTACGTCAACTCCTTTATGGCAATGATGAACGCGGAATATTATCAAAATGGAAGGGAAGAATCCACTTCTACGGTGGCAAGGCAAAGTACGTTTGGAGGCGCCCTCCACCACCGAGTGGCGTTCATAGGAGGAGATGCGAACGACTCGAAAGAAAGTCAATCTGAGGAAGCATCGAGCAGCGTGCCCAGTCGCTACCCTAGGATTCCATCGATTATATTTCCTCGGGGTATCCCGCAGAACGTGAGTGGTTTGCTTTCTCTCCCGCCTCGTTGACGAAGCTCACTTTGTCGGCAAGGCTCGTCGGGAACCTGTTGAAGTCACGATAGCACTCGAACACATATCACGACAGATTTGAGTTGGATGTGCTGGCTTTGTAGCCCTAGGAAATGTGGATTACAGTAACGATACTCTTATGCACGCTTAATGTTCTCGATGACTGCCGCCCTGGTGGCTTTGGATGTCTCAGTTAGCTTGCTAGTACAAGCCTGCTCCGATGAACGACGTTTGTTGCCCAAAATGTACTTACGTTGAATAATACTTATGGTGTAAAGCATATCCATATTAGAGGCTGTGTGCATAGCTATACTATCACATTGGCTGTAACGCTAAAACCGAGATTGAGTCGTCCTGTGTTGTTACTCGAGTTAAACGCACGGCCTTGACCAATTGAGAGTTGGAATACTTCCCTGAGTAAGTATGGAGATAGTGTTTCAAGGTAACAGCGCCATTAGCAATTGAATGAATACTACACGAACGGGATTACAGATTCACAAATTTCCGGAATTTTGGGCCTTTAGACGCACAGACTGTTCACGAGCACAGGAACATACAAAGCAGAGCAATAGTCACTTTTCGTGTTAAGCGCCTGTAGGTTCTGCGGCATGCTATTAATCTCGTTACCCTTGACAGCGAAATGATGAGCAGTAACGGGGTGAGGATGCCGATATCCTCTCATGTTTCTCATGATCGCCAGTGTCAAGCCACTATTCGTTGGTGGATAAAGATTTTAGTGGAGAGGGGCTGCAGGAAGAGGAGAACGTAGATGTGCGATCCAGAAGACCTTCGAATTCTCTGCGAGACGAAACAAATTCGGGCCTTGATGTTAATACTATGATGCTTATGCGGCAATTCTTAATCAAGGTACCGCGGAGGCAAAGGACGATAGCAGCGATCGGGTGGCAACGGTGGAAGTTGAACACCTGGAAACGAAACAATGAACAAGCGCGAGGATTTAACATGGCAAAAGCAATGGTTCTGCACGACAAAAACCGGTTCCAGTACCCAGATGCTCTAAACCCAGAGTAGACTCAGTAGAGATAATCTTGAGCTTGAGCCTGTGCTTGGGAGATTTGCGAGCAGCATGCTTATCATGCGCGTACGACCTGCAAGCTCCATGCTGGATATGAAATGTATGAGAGCCTCGCGATGGAGTGATTTTAGTGTAGTAAGGATGGCAGAGACATGCATAGGACACGCGTTTGAACCTTGTGTTATCCTCGCAGTGAACAGAATAAAATACCACAGCGTGGCTCGAACTCCGCTCCAAAGTACCCGCGCCCGTGCCATCCCTCATATCATCGTCTCCTTCTGCATACGTATTACCTTGCCTCGTTGTGCCTCTCATCCTCAAAAATGTCGGTCCACTTGACCCCAAACAACGCATTGGGCTTTAACAGTACGTTTGCCAGCGGGATGGGGCCTCATTCTCTCCTAAAAATTGCTTATGTTGCTCTACAGGGCCTTTCACGCAACTCGTTAAGCGCTTTCTGACAGTAACAAACAACAATGCGCAACCCATAGCCTTCAAAGTCAAAACAACGGCCCCCAAGGTGCGCAATGATGTGATGAGCAGGTTTTTTGGTATTCAGACTATCTTTTAGCTGTATTGTGTAAGGCCAAATTCGGGGAGAATCGAGCCTGGCGAAAGTGTGGATGTTTCTGGTAAGCTACTCGTGCAATGTCACACTGCTAATATCCCTTCTAACCTCGTGCTCTCAGTTATGCTTCAACCAATGAAAGAGGAGCCACCGTTGTCGTTGAAGTGCAAGGATAAATTTCTCATTCAGAGCACACTCATAACCCCTGAAAAGGAGACCAAAGGATTGCAAGATATCGTAAGCTCTTGTCATCTACCATTCGTATATCTATCTTATTATTTTGTAGTGGAATGTTACGGATGCGACAGAAGAGTGGAAAGTATACCAGCAAAAGCTGCGGGTTGTTTTTCTCCCTCCTGAAGGCCAGACGGTTGAAGAGGAGGATGAAACCCAGCTTCACCAAATTCACCAGATAGCAAATTTGAGTCAAGGGGATTCGGTAAATAGCAATATTGTTTCAAGTAGAAACCTACCTAACCAATCTCATCAGCAGCGATACGACACCGTCAGGCAACATCCCAGCAACGGACATGTCGTTGAACCTACTCCACAATACTCATTCGACGAAGACCGCATGCCATCGCAGTCAGAACCCGAACGCCCAAGAACGCCACCAGCTGTGGACTATACCGTAGCCCGTGAAGAATCCCAAGAATCCCAGCCTTACGAGCGCTCAAACAGCGGGGGAGTGGGCGTTGTCAACGTCAATGTACATTCTGCTTCACCACCACCCTCACCTCCTACCGCACCTGCACCTCAGGTTGATCCCGAATTGGAAGCCAGATTTGCTGCAGCGCAGGCTGAGATACAGCGATTGCGCAGTTTGTTGGCTGCGGTACCTGACCCTAGCTCGATAGCCCCGGAATCTACCGTGGCTCCTACAGAGCTCAGGAGAAGATATACTTCTGCACTATCTGATGATGGTAGTACATATGCTGGAACCGATACTGGCACCATGGTAGATGAGCCCATCATACACCAAGAGGGTGTCCCATTACAGGTGGTTATTATCGTCGCGCTAGGCGTGTTCATCACAACCTATTTATTTTTCTGAGTTATCCAAGCAGACCATTCTCTACGTTCCTTTCCTTTCCCGATCTCTCCGGGCGCGTTGAACTAGCACACACGCCTTTATTGCATATTCTGTCTGTGCCCGCTATGTCTGTTGATGTGGATCACCTAGTGGGTTTGCAGCAGGAGCAAAGCCCATAATCTCCGTGTCTTTTTTATGTTGCAGTACAGTCTTGTGCGGTTAAATATGATAGCAATTCTATCCGTTTTGTCCAGACTTTTGTCCATGATATTATTTTTTTGTACTCCAGTACATAGATATATATTGAAATTAACACACTTTGTCACTATATTAATACAAGCATTATGAAGACGCTTCGCGCAGCTGTTGTTCGATCGCTCCCGCAAGAAGCCGGTGAGTGTGGTCAGTGGGATGTCCAGTATCTTTGGAGAAAACATGAGCCAGATCGATTAGGAAGCTCAGGCAACAATACGTACTGTACCAGAAGTAACCGGGATCCGTACATTCGCAGTAGCTGTAAAGGGAAAGGTCTCAGCCCACGAATGGGCCTGATGAATGAACTATTTACCCAGTGATGTTCGTAAAACCGTAGTGATCCGCGTTGTCGAGAACGTGGTTGAACCAAGTATGGGCGTCAAATGTGAGCACGATGGATCCAGGATTGGTATGTGCGAAGCTGTTGATGTGATTTGTAAGAGCAGTATTGTATTGGTCGATGTGCTCCTTTAAAATTGGACCCCACGTAGCGTCATTTACGAATCCAGGAGAACGTTCTTCTGGAGGAACGTTGATGAATAACTGCGGGCCACTCAGACCTCCATCATATGCCATTTGCTTAGAGGGAAAGGGACATATGAACATCAGGTCAACGAAAGAAGATATGGAAGCACCTACCACAGCTTGGAAGTAAGCCCCCATTTCTGTTTCCCAGAATGCGGGAAAATCTGTAATCTACATTATAAACAAACGTACGTGTCGGTGGTGGGATGATCGTCTCCACTCACTGATGCATTTTGCAATGTGTCGCCTGTATCGTTGATACCTATCCACCAAGCCGTCATCGTTTCCTCTGGAGGGTGTGGGATGACATCAACAGCATAAGTAGCCCATTGTTTCACTTGATCAACCATTTGGACGGAAAAATTGTGGTGCTGAGGCAAGCTACATAACGGTTTTTCATTCGTCGCTTCTTAAAAAAGAGAGAAGACGCATACAGTGCCAAGCTGATGTCAGCACCTGCGAATGCGAAATCCCAGAGTTGACGCGAACAAGCCGAGGGAAGGCCTCCAAAGCATCCTGTCAAGTATTCGAGCTACATAATGGACGATATTTAGTCTGTCAAGCAAAACAACACGGATTTCATTACCCAGTTGGAGGCATCTGAACTTGTCTATCGAGAGTGCTGTGCGTTTGCTTTGAGAATAACAAGGTGGAAAGAATATAGCGTACGTTTCTTGGAATGATGTGATCAGACAGCAGTTGGCCTGGAGAAAATGCAAGATTAAAGGAATCTCCTATGAAGCTGGGGGATTATTAAGTTACGGTATGCGTGGACAGTGTGAGAGTAGAAGGACTCATACCTATAGTTGGCGTATCCTTCTGTTCCTTGGACGAACGAATAAGAGTCTCCGAACGCATAGACATATTTAATAGCATCCCAGTTGAAAGAGATCGGACTGGGAACATTGGAGGCCAACGCGATCGAGCTGGCAGAAAACCAAAGCAGCCAGGAGACAAGGCGGAGAAAGTTCGACCGTTCAGCCATGCAAATGCTGAAATGAATAGAAATCGAGGTCTTAAGTATGCTGTAATGATAGTCAGCTGATCCTTTTCTACACTCTCCCTGCCCATTCATCCATTGCATACGGCCCGGGAATATATTGTGCTGAGAGATTTGAACATGGCACCTTTGCTCATGAGGACACGACGAGCGGACCGTTCAGTAAACATGGAATATTTATGCTCCTGTACGGCGTGGTTGTTTCAAGCCTCCGTGGTATCAGTAAGGGTGTCCATTGACGCATCAGAATTCAACGAAGTTCCAGATATATGGACTGCATGGAAGTGCAAGACAAAAGCCATTTTACTGTACATTGAATGACCGAACTGGTTCATTTCTTGACTTGGCTTAGTTTCTGCTTTCAATGTTCTCTCGGGGGCCGCCGAAGCAGCCAAAATGGCGCAATAGGGAAAGGATGTCATGATGATCGAGCCTGGACAGGACAAGCTCAGGCGCTCAGTCTGCATCTAACCGACTAGCACCCGCTATTTATTCTTGTTCTCCAACCATCATCATCCAACCATGGATCCATACCAGAAACAATCCAAAAGGCCCGTGTTCTACACTGCAGCTATCACCACTGCTCTCCTCTTCATCCTCTATACCTTGTTCCTCAAGTCAGAAAATGTCAAACTCACGACAAAGGTACTGAGAATTCACACATGGTTATCTCAAGATCCTCATTGGCTGGTTCCCAGGCAATCGTTGTCTTGAAGGGCGACTCTCCCGTTACTGGTTCAGTCGTCTTCGAACAGTCCATCAAGGATGGTCCAGTCACAGTTTCTGGAACAATTTCCAACCTCGATCCTTCCTCAAAACGTGGTTTCCATGTCCAGTATGTCTTCTCTCGTTTATTATCACACAGGCCAGACCTCGCTAAACATCCGAAAGTCAAGCGGGCGACCTCACCAATGGCTGCCTATCCGCTGCATCTCACTTCAACCCTTTTGGTGCCAACCACGGTGCTCCCACCGACTCTGAGCGCCATGTAGGTGACCTAGGAAATATCGAGAGCGACGAATTTGGCACTGCCATATTCTCGTTTGAAGATTCGTTGATCTCACTCAACGGTCCTCGGAGCATTATTGGGTACGCTGCTTTTCATACTCCTTGCAGCACAAATTTGATACTAACATATATTTCGTCTCCAGGCGTGGAGTCGTCGTTCATGCCGTGCGTTTCCATTAATTCATTTATTAGCGGCCATTCTTACCGTGTCCAGGGTACCGATGATCTCGGAAGAGGTAATAACGAGGAATCGCTCAAGACTGGTAACGCTGGTGGAAGAGCAGCCTGCGGTGTCATCGGTATGTTCACTTGTGGTCATTACATCCAAGAATTCACATAACACTACTGATACTTATGCTATGACAGGCCTTGCAGCTTGAGCATCTATAATGTTTCCCAAACGAGTCGCGTTCATAGCATTTCTTGATTTGAATGGAACATTTTACGATTTGTGATACGCGAGGATACATAACTAATTTCTCTTGACGATACCTCGTGTACTGTATGTACTGCAGCATTCCCTGAAACTCCAGTTTGTGATTGCAAACCGCCATCATTGGCACTGTGGCATTCAGTCAGTCATTTCTCGCGCCCTTGAAACTCTGGTAAACCTACCTGTGAGTAGTACGGCGGTGAGACAGGTACACAGGTAAATGGACTGGCACACATTGTGGGGCCTGTCCAGCCAGTACCTTTAAACAACATAATTTCGTTAGCGCAAGTCAGATCGTCACACACATATCATAAACGACCCACCTCCGCATTGCCCGTACTGTGTCTGTGTAGGACCGGCAACACTAGTTGTGCTGATCGGCGATACAGACGCAGTTGAGCTCGAGACAGACGTTGAGCTCGCCGTGATCGAAGAAGACGATACTCCCCCACTGCTGCCACTACCGACGCTAGTAGTCACCGGCCCGCTCTCGATGTACACCCCCGAGAAGTACCAATCTTCCGTATCGCTCCCCTGGACGAGACGCAAAACGCCAAGGTGCCAATCTTCCGAGTTTGTAGAAGTCGACGCGGCGGTGTTGGGCATGACCCTCGTCAGCGGGTCTGAGCCGGTTGACGCCCACAGGCCTACAGTGCCTGCGGAAAACTGTTGCGCAAAAGTGAGTCGTGTGGTTATGGTAGGGTAAGTCTACGAGGAACGTGGGGGGATGAACTTACGTCAATGTCGTATGCGAAGTTGTACCAAGTGCCTGGCGTGAAGGGTGTGCCCCATTGCGGTTGGCTTTGAATCATCCATTCCAGGTAAGTCGCATTGGGACTGACGCCATACTTCAACTTAGCGTTGAAGACACAGTTAACGGCGGCGTTGTTCTCATATAAGTTGACCTTACCTCCGTGAAATGTGATTCAAAAAATGTGATTTGATGCTCATAGGCAGACTGAAAACGAGATACCGTCAGAAAGGACAAGGTGGGAAGGGCGTACGACATCGACGCACATTAGGTGGGTTCGTCGCGGAATGCATCACTGAAAAATGATAGTACAATTCCCCAGTTCCTAGGTTGGCAGTCGTTTGGGGAATAAGCTCGGTCCTTTCCATATCCGAGTTCCACGTAGCGGTAGAGTCGATAGTCAGTTTCAGGCCGTTGGCTTCGGTGGTGTCTGCTGGATTCTTGTACCTGAAGCATCGCAATGAGCTGCGTGTTACAGTCCAGATAATGCGCGTACTTACGAAGGATCCAGTGCGAGATAATGGGATGTTGGTTGGCTTCCGTGAATGTACTATAACCGAAACATAAGCCACGGAAAGAATATGATGACCTGTCAAAGGTATTCACCCACTGGTACTCGCCAACTTCGTTAGACCAGGACCCTGGACCAAAAGAGTTTTCAGCATTTCAAACAGCACAGTGGTAGAGAACGTACATTCATCGAAAACAGATACATTTGGGTATGCATTGAAGGATCCTGACCATATTGTGGTCCCTGCATGCGCAGAACGGTAAAGTAACGTCGAGAGAAGGATTGCGGTAAGTGAGATCATAATGAAAAACCTGTATCAAGACGATACCATTCACATGCTCTACAGGATGGCCTTATAAGTGTTAAAAAGCATCAGCGATACATAAAGTGTCAGCGAAGTTTGACCGCTTCAATTACAGGATAAACGTCGGAAACAACGAGACGCGATAAAATGGCGAAAATCAACCAGGAGCATAATTTCTTTGTATTATCGGCGAAGTAATAAACGACCACGGGGTGCGAAGGAGAAGCTGGAGGTCTACAGCGGAAGGAGCTGGTATATTTACAATGCAAGGGTATCAAAATTATCAAAATATGATATCGAGAAAATCATACAAGTCATCATAATATCACAATTCAATGCACTTTGGAATATAACCAAGACGTCATCCAGGTATGTGACTTGGCTACTTGAGTTTCGTCTGCCTCGGCTTGTTCATACTTCATGCGTTCTTCTACCACTAACTGCTCCTCCACAATAACCTCATTAACGACAGCTTCTTGTGTACTTATATTGCTTGGGTGCGCAAGCGTCCCCCGTGAGTTTGCGTGTCCACCGAGTGACAAAGTGGACCTCGCGAACTCAGCTTGAGCATGGAGATCAGGTCGTGCGCTAGGGTCTCCATTACGGAAAGCAGATGGAGGAGGCTGATTGCGACTAAAGGGGGAAAGCAACGAAGAAGTCCTTGGGCGTCTCTGTGTTGCCACGTCTGACGAGGACCTATGATTCAGGGTAGGGGGACTATCTACTGTATTGAACCGGCTGGGTGTCGGTCCTCGGGTACTCCAAATGGCACTGCGACCACTTCCACTTCCACTTGACATGCGGCGGCCAAAGAGCGAAGGTCGACTTTCCATCGCTGATTCCACTTCCTCTTCATTCTCGAGAGTCATGACGCGTCTTCTGATACCTGAAGGTAAATCTATGTCCTCGGCACCACTGTACTGTTTCGTAGGACCAGGGACGGAGAGATGGCTGCCATGATTAACAACGGGGGAATCAGGTACGGGAGAACCAACTGATCCCGTTGTTCCAAGCCAGGTGCCTAGATGTCCCGCGCCAAGTTCGCTAGTCAACGATCGCCGTAAATCCACGGTGTCGTCCAAGTCAAGTATCCCAAAGGGATTTCGTGGCAACCAAAGGACGTTATTAATTGGACGGGTGTAATAGGGATTATCATATGGGAGGTCAGTATGAGATTCATCGTCCCATGCAGGGTGAGGCGCATGGCGCTGGACGACAGTGGACTGGGGCGACTTAACATCGGGGGGATATTCTTGTGCTGGAGATAAATGGAGAGGCCCCTTCAAAATAGCCCCTACAGGTTGCTCATGAGGTGAACTACGCGCTGCATGTCGAGGATTATCCATGGAGGAAAGTCTAGAGAAACTCTGGTTCTGAGGTGTGAATGGAATGGGCTGACGCCGTTGTGGAACACGTCCTCGTTTGGGAACAGTCGAATACGAGAAGTTTACCCAACCCGGTATACGCCAGGTCCAGAATTTTGCAGAAGAGTGGCCACGTAAGGGCCTGTTCGACGAGACGAACTCCCCGTTTTGCATAAACTCGCTGTCAGTGATAGGTTCTGAGAGACCGTCAGATACATTGTTTCCGATTCTGCATATCACATCAGCTTCCGAGGCATTGTCCTTCTCGTACTGGGCGCGACACAATCGAGTCAGCCTGGGACACATTATAAGAAAACAGGTCAAACAATAATACGAGTACAACCCTCACCAGATCTTGAAGGCAGCAGTAAAAACAATCAAGACGGCAGAAAGTGCTACGTTGACAGTTTTCTTGAGGACGACCATATAGGCTAAGAATACAACCTACACCCGTTTTCAATATGGTTAGTAGTGATTGAACAAGCATCGAAAGACGCTGACCTGTGATAATATAAGCCCTATGAAAATGTATTAAAGTCTGTGCAACATAACTGCTTGCGAAATACTTACCATCCAGAGAATAGCGAACCATCCGTATGAGCAAGAGCTGTCCATTCCCCTCGTAGTTCTTTGCGTACACATGAAGCATCTAGATATAAAACACCACAGTATTATTAGGGATCGAGAGCATCAATAAAAGGGAAAAAACACACCTGATTCTTTATAACAACTTACAGAGGGAAGGGTCATTGTGTGAATCGGAAGGTCTCATAAAAGAACAAAAAATTGGACATACTTGCTTCAACACTGAAATACAATAGTCCGAAGGGAATCACGAGAGGATTGAGTATAGCGAACAGCAGTAGTACATGAATGACTAGCAAGTGATTTGGAAGCCAATCTGTTCCATGAGTGCGAATCAACATCTAAACGCAGAGGTATTCACTAGACCACACTAGACACCCACAATAGTAGTTAAATGTGCGAGGGCGGATGCCAACAGCTCGTTTCCGTGGGGTGACTTGCCTTTTGGTTGAAGGGTATAGCATAAGTGGTAACTTTGGGGAAGCATTAGATAGTAAAGAGTTCGCGTATCCGTTTGACATACCCCAACTTCCACACCAAACACAGCCATTAGTCTTGTCATAAACAGGAAGGAATTGCTTATACTCACATAATGAAATCTCAAAAGAAGCATGCAAAGCAGTGGTAAATATCACTTTGGACGAATCGTTAAATACGTGCTCATCAAATCAGTTCGCATTTGCTTACACCATCCAACGTAGAACGGGCCAGCAGTAGGAAAACTGTCCGCAACAACTTGCAGCACATTGTTACCCGAGACGGCTTTGAAAGACGATAGAAATGACTGGAGCGCAGCAGTTCCTACGCAAAAGAAGACTAAGACATTCACGATCAAGAACTTGTAATACCGCGTCATGATTCTGTCATGCAGGGCAGAAAGAGTCGTTATGGTGTGCGCCTTCTTGGCGAGAAGAAGGAGGATAAGTGGGATCAAGAGAGCCAGGAGAGAGACCAGGAGGGTTGGTACGAAGGACTGGATGATTTCTTCCTCCCAAGGGTGATGGTCAAGGTATGCTTTCTATACGATATTTTATTAGCATATGAGATTGGACCTTCTTTCATGCGCTTACCAAGCCGGGCCAGAACGTTGATATGTTCTGAATTGAGACCAAACCGACTAGAAGGGATACCGGGAAAATCCAAAATACCGTGAATCCCCTGGAACATACCATGTTAAACTGCAGAAATAAAAGTCATAAAATCCACCAACCATACACCTAAACTGACCACCCAATCCTTGACAAACTAAGGAACATGATCAGAAAGGCCTAGACATACGCATTCTTATGATAACAAATTACCTCAGCTCGAAAAGTAGTCTTCATAACCCGAATCCAATCCACGTCTTCATACTGGGGCGCCATGGTCACAACACAAGCGAGCGGATTGCTTGGGTGGACTGCGAGATACTTGCACGCCCTCCTTGCGTCCTTCGGATCAGCAAATGTCACAAATGCCGTCGAGACAGGGTCATAGTCTTGTATGGCTCTCGCGCGATTCTGAGTAATCAAGGACGTGAGGAGATTGAGTTTTGCAGTATAGTAATCAATGCTTGGGACCGTTTTCCCACGGAAGAGGACAGAGAGATGAATGAGGGGTTGATATGAATCTAGAGAGCTTCGTGGAAGACTGAGGAGAGCGTCCCATATAGTCTTGTCATTCGATGCTTTCCTTGGAGCAGGTGGCGGCGGCGAAAGTGTAAGATCGTGAGCAGAATCATGGACAGATGATCGTTTTAAACGATGTACGACTCGCCCCAGCTTGAGGACTGATTTTTTTGCTGAAGACATTGATGCATTGGCAACATCAAATTCAGCAACAAAAGGGGAGAGTGTTTGTATTAGTAAATCCGTGGTATCTTTGCTATCTGTGGCATTTTCATGACCAGGTTGACCACGCTCCAGATCTATTGACTTGGACACCTTCTTGCTATCATGTGGACTGGAGTCGTGTGAGCTGTCTTGCTGGGCTCCTTGCCGAGACTCCGACATCCGGAACGCAGCTAACAACGTTTTCTTTGCGAGTTTGATATGTGCAGTTTCCAGCCGTCGCAAGATATCCTCGCGCCTTTCAAGCAGTGACGCGAGTTCTGTCATCTTGCGAGCAATAACAATACGATCTATAACTGGAATGTCATCTGTATTAACATTAGATGGCTCCTGCGGAGGTGAATCGTCTCTCCTATCAGGTGAACTAGAGGTATCACGTTGCTGAACTAGGCTAATGGTATTTGGAAGCTGTTGAGGTAGGCGCTTTGCACGATTGAAAAACCACGCGAAGAGCTTGTTCGCAAAGCCTGGCTGCGTCGAATCTGAGAGACCCACAGAAGGTCTATCAATGTTACGCGACATGTAGTATTCGAAGTATTCTTTGAGTTCTTTCTCCGAGCGAAGCTGAGGGGGTATATTGGAAACCATGACCGTGCGGAGACGAAGACCGCGATTAGAATGATCAGAATCGAGAGATGGTATATCTTGAAAGGGGTATTGGGGATGTGGATGTGGGTGGTATTGCGCATCCTTCTCGGCCATAGCGTCCGATTCGGCGTGTCTTGCGGCTGCCTCGATTTTTGCAGCGCGCAGCTTGAATGCACTATTGCAGATATATGCCAAGTTTCCCATCCATGTCAATGTTAGCCAGAAAAGAAGACAAATGTGTATCCAGAGCAACGACGAGCCTTCCGAAGTAAGCACCAGGGATGCGATCGAGGCTCGCGTCATAGACCTAGGAGAAACAGTTCCGGATGAGAAATGGAGATGTATGGGAAATAATATGGGTAACGTAGTAAACGTATGCAGCAAAATGAAATAGACTGGGGTTTATATGCTGAGTGAACGCGTTATGCATTTAATGGATCATGCGACTTACAACATCCACGCAGAAAGCGGACATATAATGCAGCGTCGATGCCTCTGAGTTCGTTCAGTTTGAATACGGGGAAATTGATACACTCTTTGACCCAGGACAAGGGCCATCCTTTGGGAGTCGGCGGTGAAGGATTCCTGCATTTGGTATTAGCACTTAAATAGGAATGGACTTGAGCGCATATACCTGGCCCAAGAGCGACCTTGATATAGGCTAATGGGGGTCAGGGACTCTGCGTTCAAGGCGATGGAAAGGCCACTCACTATCCAAACTTCCAGGACTCAACACTTCCTAGGCTTTCATGACGATGCTGACCGCGCCTTCTCCTTTTCATAATCTCGTGTGAAGTGATACATAGTACACTGAGACCTACAGCAATGACCGATTGATTGGTGAGGCCACTGTGTGAAAAGACACGGTTTCCAGTTATGAGTGGAAGCAAGGTCTGAAGTCAGGTAGCACACCTGTAGTTCTTGGAGAATGGCCTATTCTGAATGTCACCCATTGTCTTCCGAGCCCAAGTACCGATCTTGTATGGTGAAATTCAAGCCGTTGCAAGGAGGACGTGGATGTACATGAGGAAGAAGGAAGATCATGGTCTCGAGAAGACTCGCACCACTGAACAAGAAATAATCGAGTCGCGTGGTCTTCGTCATTTTCATGGCGCATGGTTCGGTTTGATTCGCGTGTTCGCCGAATTACGCGTGGTTCATTTCGATGCACCTCACCAGCACAACGATGTGGAGAACGTTGTAGCTATTATGGCATCGCAGGAGACATGAAAGTAACCTTTAACAGTGTTGGCTTGTTGGGCGTCAATCACAAGAAACGTATATAGTGAAGCTATGCGTTAGTGTCAAGTTGTCTTACGACAGCTACTCATTGAGCTACTCCGAGTCTTGACACTTTAGATGTCCATCTCAGAACTTGCTCTCCAAAGAACTGCCAGGTCTATCCTCAGAACAAGCCTGTCTGATGTTAAACCTGTGCTCCCAAATAATGCAATCCATTGAATAGATAGTAGGATACAGATCTACTTCGTGCGCATTATCCGTAACTTGTTGGGTTTGTAAACGTAGTTTTCCGAGTAGTTCTTGGGAGGAATCCTCTTGATGGAAGGAGTTTGTCTGAAATCAAGTGATGTTTCATATTATGTGTGCGAACACGAAGAAAGGAACTTACACGTAATAATCCCAGCCTAGATGGTAAACTCTGTGAGCAATTACAATTTTGGATATCTTAGAAGCAACGCACCTTGTTTTTCGGCAAAATGTACAGCATCTTCTTTGCTCCTAAAGGAGAGTCGCGTTCCCTGCATGTAATCGGCACTACGTCGACATTAGCAATGACCCCGCCCTTAAAGGTGCGGATCGGTAACTTACGAACTAGCCCAGCCCATCAAAGGGTTCTCCCACCGACCAGCTCCCTGCAAAATCTCCCAGTCAATCCGCCAACGCTCCGTCTTCCCGGAACCACTTTGCATGGTGTTGCGTGTAGGCTGGAATATCCGCACTGCACGGTGACGCAACTCGGCTTTATGGATTGTAAGCCCAATGTGTAACGAGCATGCATGAAAGGGAAGTTAAAACGCACCTGGAGCACCGCTGATAACGTCTGCAGTCAAGACGTCGGTGTTGATGGGTTCGGAAATTTGTGTACTTTCCTTCTCACTTTGGTCTCGGGTTTGAACAGGTTGGGCTGGTGTGTCCGATGCCAACCCACGAGAATGTAATGCCAATGGTCGATTGAGGGCATGCTTGGACAAGCCCTGCTGGCATGCGCGAAGTAGCGACATCCTTGTTATCGTGCTCGGAATTCGTTGGAGGTAAGAAACGGTGACCGCCACTGACCGCCACCACTCGATTGTTCAAACTCCGATCCGACGCTCTCGCCACTCTCACTCTTTGAGTTGGACTAAGTACTACTACAGATTATCTAAGAACATTTTTTCTTTGTGAACCGCCATCTGCTTCAGCCTTTTTGTATTCATTATTCACACAAAAATGATATATAAATGCAGCTTTCTCGGTGTCTATAGCCTCGTCAAACGGTGGCGACCTCATGCAACTTTGGAGATGAGCGCGGTAAGTCTTGGTAAATGATGGATGCTAACCAGCGATTTGGTGTATTGACACTCAGGTACGTTTTTGGTTCGAGGAACCTCTCTACATCCATATTCGGTGCCAAAGTCACCTGTGAAGGAAGTGTCAGCGTGGGTGGAGGTCATGTGTATCCTTAGACTGATAACACCTTTTACGACACCAAAAGCACTTCCCATGCTATTTATTATATTTCCAGCCGAGTTCAGATACCCTCTTGTGAGCTTTCATTGTGAGCTCGTTATCAGTGGATTTCTCGTTGTGAGTGACTATCATGTCGTCGAAACCTACGGTCGTCATCATCGGGGCTGAGTAAGTCCTCTGAGATACCACCTATTGGTCACTATCGCTTACAACATTTACTGTAACGAGGGTTGGGGGATTGGCATTTGCGATTACACTCAAGCGCCGACTTGGCTTTGAACAATTTACAGTAAGATTTCTCCTCCTGCACATATTTTTGTCCTACGTGACTTCTCTGGCTTTAGATATTCGAGAAGGCGTCTGAAATTGGAGGGACATGGAGGGTGAGTACAGCGCATAGTACGGATTTTAATGTCATCTCACCATCTAGACTTGCTATCCAGGCTAATATATACCCAGTACGTTTTTTTCTCCGATGATCTCCGCAAATATGAGTTAACTTGTGAACAGGGAAGTTCATCGGATGTTCCTATTCATTGGTATAGTCTCTCTACGGAACTGAGGCCTTCTTGGAAGAAGTCGCATGGTTTACAGCCCGAGATTCAAGCATACTGGATCGAACTTGCGGAGAAGCATGACCTATACTCTCATATCATGCTAAGCACCAAGGTTGTTTCTGCAACTTGGGACCCGGCCAAGCAGCTATACGAAGTACTGTACGAAGAAATAGCATCGGGAACTAGACATTCCACCACAGCTCATATCGTCATCTCGGCAGTCGGCATCCTAGAAATACCTAAAATCCCTTACGAAATCGAAGGTGTTTCTACTTTCAAAGGGGAATCGTTCCACTCCGCAGATTGGCGAAACGATGTTGAGTTTCACAATAAGCGTGTCGCCGTGGTCGGCAACGCGTCTTCTGCGTACAATCTCCTCTTTTCTTGCGTGAAAATTGGATGAAGTTAATACTTGTACAGGGCTCAATTTGTTCCCGCCATATCTGAGGACTCAACCACTGAAGTAGTCAATTTTATTCGTACACCCTCCTGGTTCAATACACGAGTGAGATGAGCTTGACTTCGAAAAATCATAACCTTCTCAACACGCATACAGCCCCATATACCCTACACAGATACACAGAAATGGGTTTTTGCTAATGTTCCCTTTGCCATGAAACTTCACCGTAGTTTAATCGCATTTGAGGTATGTCGAAGATGTCCCTGCTACAGAAATTTCCTGATTGTTCGTGCCTTAGATGGACGCCCCGGTTTTACTTCCTCGAAGTGAACGAGCACGAAAGGCTCGCGTTGAGGTAAATGAGCTTATCAGTGGCCTTAGATCCTATATAAATTGACATGAAATCAGAATATGACAAAGTATATTCTGGATCATACTCCCAGAAAATACCACGACAAAATCATACCCACTTACCGTAAGTCCCAGTCCTTTTTTATCCGTACAATTTCTCCAAGGTTTGTGCGATCATGCTAGCCCCTGGTTGCAAACGGATTATCGCCGACAGTGGTTACCTGGCGAGTTTTTACCGTCCCAATGTCAACCTGAACTTCGACGGTATTGCAAAGATACTGGAAAACGGAATTCTGACGACGAAAGGTGCGTCATCAGCTGTGATCCTGCGCTGCGGAATACAAGGGTTAAATATTTCGTAGGCGAGGTAATCCCCTTCGACGTTATTATCTATGCAACTGGCTTCATAGGTGTTCGTATATCTAAATCTACGAGTTGACGAACTGAGGGTTGGACATATCACTTTAGGATAATTATCCAGTTGATGTTCGAGGAATGGATGGGACATCTATTCGCGAGTACTACGATAGAATGGGCGGCCCCACAGCTTACCTTGGAACTGCGCTACCCGGCTTCCCAAATTTCTATATGATGACCGGTAAGTTTGGAGAAATAAACTATCGATGTTGATGTCAGACCATCTCTTCAGGTCCTAATACTGGCACCCACGCGTCTACGCTTTTTGTTGAAGAAGTCCAGGTACGTCCAGAAATCGCACTCCAAGTCTTCCTTGTAAATCGCAATGAACCATTCCCGTTGCCAGATCGATTACTGTCTACAGCTGATCAAGCCTGTACTAGACGGTCTGGTATCATCATTTCAAGTCACGTCTGAAGCGACATATATCTATAACAAACGACTAGAAAAGAGGCTCACTGATTCCGTTTATTCTCAATGCTCTTCCTGGCAAAGGGTCGACGGAACTGGCAAGATCTATAATCCATTTCCGGGACCAACCTTCTTGTACTGGTGGTGGCTTCGTCAACCGAACTGGGATCATTATAAAGCTGTAAACGCTGGACGCTGGTTAAGACAGCGGTACCTTCACATGCTTTATGGTACAATCAAGGCGTTTGGACTAATTGTCTGCTTATGGGCCTATCGGATGCAGCGGCGCGCTCTTCTGAAGGTATTAGAGACTTACTACAGAAAGGTTTGTTCCTTCAAGATGCTTTGCATTTCTTCTGACTTCATCGGATGCAGCTCTTGACGAAAATTCAGCCTATTCTTCTTGGAGTCAAGCGCTAGTAAGCTTCACGAGTGTCAAGAACAATGCATCGATATATCAATTGAGAAGAACAAGAAGCTGTCTTTACGACAGTTGTCAAAGATATAGTAAAAGAAGATTTGATAGATTTACAAGTGAGGGATATCGAGTGGTGAACAATGAAACATGTCAGTATTGTACATATGATGAAACTAGGTACATATGAAGAAGTTGTCTGTCCGTGATGATAAGAATCAACACATTTCGAGTACTTACTAGCACTGAAGTCCTTAACTGTCGAAACCTATGATCCTGCTGACTGGTCGCAGGGTGATCACAGGTTTCTTTTCTACTACGAATTCCTTTTCATCCCCTACGTTCATGTCGTCCTCGTCGTCTTCCTCGTCGCTTTCCGATGATCCACGTGTACGCCCTACACCAAACATGCTGACCACCCGACTTTTCTGAGCTTCCGGCTGCTTAAAGGAAGGAGGTGCACGAAGAGAGATCGCACTGTCTGCAAGTGCGTTCACTACATCATTGTCGAGCTCAATATTGAACAAATCAAAGATGTATCTTCGAACTGGCAACCTATATCGTTGTGTGGAGATTATATGAAGCGCACGGAAAAAGACTGCTGGAGATGAAAACACAGATTTGTACTCGGGTCGAGATTTCATCCTGTTCATAGCTGTGGTAAGGCTGTCTCGAAGATAAAGAGCCTGACATACCTGGCTAACGACCGTGAAGCAGCGTTAGCTATAACGGTATTACTGAGATTTTCGACTGCTGTGATTACTTCCACCTCTGTCTGCACCGTGGGAGGCAATAGCCGAGAATCGTCATCTACTTTCATGTTTACTGGGTTCCAGAGAGGTATCTGAAAACTGCTCAAGATAACCACTATTTCTCGTGAAGAAAATCACATACCGATATGAACTTTTCTAGATCTACAGGTATACATAAACCAGTCGGAATTCCCAGCGGTGATAGCGTGGCTTCCCAATGGTAGTCATCGAGAATCTCGGCCCCTTGGGATGTAGACGAAATCAAGCCAAGCACAAAGAAACAAGTCCTAGGTCGAATCTTAAGAATCAAATTTACAAATAGATATTATGGAAAGCATACCCTCGCACAGAAGGTACAGGAGAGTGCTCCGCGATATCCAAGATAGATGGTACTATTTCTTCCTCTTCAAGGAATGGCAGACCTCCTTCTGTGGCACCGACGTTACCCTGGGCAATGGTGTTAGCTAAAGTCAAATAACTCAGTACAAAACAACGCACAACCGCCCATAAGATACTCTTCATTTTCATTATCACCTCCGGATCGTCACTTTCAAGGCCATGTTGTTTTATGAACTGCGCGAACTCAATAAAATGTCCCTTCTCATGTAAGATCTGACAGCCAAGCTCCGTCTTTGACATCTCCCCGTAAAAATGTGGGGGGACAACGCCATCAAAAGCCCTGAAGTTGTGTAAAAAAAAATGGGTTTCACATGTGATAACCAATAATCCAAACTTACAAAATATCCTCCTCATCTTCAGCCGGATCAGAACTGAAGACTTTTGCGAGGAATATCTCGACCTGCACAACATAATACACATTGCGCTCCTAAAAGAAATTAAAGCTCAGTTTTACTTGAAATCACAGAAGAATGGAGCATACATGAAACCACATCTCCATCTCACGATCGATGTACCCTACCTCGTGCAGATAGCGGAAACCCATTGGAGTGGACATAAACCTAGAGATTTATTGGATTCATATTCGATTTGGCAGCTTAGGTCCACGACTTACTTGAGTAGTAAGGGATGTCCAATTTCTCCCAAATGATCCATATTAGGTTGCATTTCCACAACCAGTTGCAATGTTTCCATCGCCTCACATGCTTCTTCTAGAAAATGTATTGCCATCTCGCATACCTCGGGGGCGGGATCATACAATTGTGTGAGAAGTAGACGTAAAGTCCACGAGTTTGGTTTGACAGAGCCACGGATCAGATCCCCCAGATGATTTGTAGCAAACAATCGGATGTGCTGTAAAGCCACCTATGAAAACTATGCGCAACTAAGACGAGAAGCGAGGACGAACCATATCACTTGAAGTGAGCGCTTTCGAAAGCACCACTCGAGGGTGACCGTTTCTATCATCTTATCTTAACCAAGTCATATCAAGGACTCTGAGATACTCACATGCTATAATCTAGATTCGTGATGATACCTGTAATTAAATCCTCGCGACCGCGTAATTCACTAAGATGGTAAAAGGCAGTGAATATCTTCGCTTTTTCCATAAGTCTGCGGATGTTCTGCTCGTTAGCACGCTTGATATATATTTCTAACATCGGGAGGCTACTCACTCTATACCCTCAGGATGTTTGCTCAATACCCCAAGCATCTCAAGATATCCATAGGTCAAAGTTTCCGCTATCCGTGTTTTGGAAAAAATCGGATCTGATTCAGGAGTACCATTAAACTGTTGGTTTATAGTCAGACTATGAGAACCATGAGATAACGGTACACTTTACGGGATCCAACTGTGCAAAACTTTTGACTATCTGCTTCAAGAAATCATCTTCTGAGGCAAGGAAACGGATTCCGTCTGGGATTGCCAAAAGTGTTGTTAGCAGGGAACATCCTAGGCGAATCCAACGTATATTCGGCTACGTATGATCGCACATTTCAGAAATATATCGTACAAGACAAACAACTATGCTCACCTGTTTCCTTGGCATGTCCGAAAACCGATGAGAAAAAGGATGGAAGAATGACATCAGGCGACGCATAAACCTGGATGCCTTGATAGCTTCTTCTAGGCGTTTCGGGTTCAGTAGGGGTCCCTCAATGAGGTCGTGAAGCATCTCAAAATTCCATTTTGTATGGTCTTTCGTCAGCGTGACCTACCAGAGCTAGTAAGATCAAGAAATCCCTTATAGTAAGACATACATTACCTGAGCTTCCAGCAAAGAGGATTGGAACGTTTTATCGTCCATCTGCATGCCCATTTTGACCTTGACTTGTTCCACCTGTCTTTGCCCACGTCGTACTGCATCTTCTGCAGAATTCGCTCTTAAGGATGTATAAGCTATAAGTGCACACAAAAGCGTCTACTTGGTCTTACCTTGGCCGGGAATTCTTCATACTCGAGGGCTGTAACCTAGCACGATTACGGTTGAAACTATCAATCGCGAGCAATGCAGAAGTTCCAACAATTCGATGCTCTCCGTTGTTATATTCGGAGGCCAAGTTAAAAACTCTGGGAACGGCCTATTTCCAATGTTAGCTCATTACCAGTAATACTGCTGGCTAACCCACCTGTATTCTGGCTGCCATAGACAGGGGAAGGACCTTGTTAGCCATCTGCATGACCTCAGCCATCAGCAGCGTAGCCTTTCGCGAAAGATTAGATCCAGTTGTGCATTCTTCCAACATGGACGTCAACGCCTTAAATGGGATCATCAGAAGGGACTTGATTTGTGATAAGCACAATCTCACATCTAACAAACCAGCATTTGTGAATACGAGCACTAAAAGAGCGATATATTGATCAGTGAGTTTCAATGTTTCTTGAGTGCGCTCAAGTGTTCCTCCCAACTCGTTCAAAGGATTTGGAGGTCCGCGAGCTTTACGATACACTATACAAATGATGAGGAAGGGTTACGACTGACTTGCATTGAGAAAGCTCACTTGTCAACCTTCGACCGTCGATGAATGTCTTGTACCACTCTGGGGCTTTAATATTCAACAAGTCGAAAAACATGTCAAGAACGATTTCCTGATTTACATATTAGCGTGTAAATAAATCAATAGCAGAGAAATATTACCCTTGTCTCAAGGGACGGTATCCGAAGAGTATCCACGATGGATTTGATAGCAAGCTGATCATCCATGCAAAAATACATCAAACCTGCAGGATTTCAGCTAAGGTTATGGAACAGAGCTTGATCAGCCTTACCACTCCAAGTGCGTAGCATCAGCTGTATTACCCTAGCGCACCCTCTCATGCGATCAGCATGATCAGGGCCTTTACCATAGGCATCCGTCACAGCGGATAGTGCAATCTGTGTATATGATCAAAGGTCTACTAGGAGGATATATAAATAAGCTCATACCTCTAAATCAGTACCCAGATGTAAATATGCTCGTGTCCGAGGCGAATCAATGATGTGTAAGAAGGTGGCTGCAAGTATGGGTCCCATCTCAATAGGCCCTTCACCAAGGGCATGTAGAAGGAACCGTATGCCCCCAGTCCTAGCTACAAGGTCGATGTCAATGAGGACTAATAAACCAAAACACAGTCAACTATGCACGATAATTTAGCTTTAATAACCCATCTCTTACCCATTTCGGCGAGAGTTTGGACGCAGATGGGTCTGAAAGGATCTTCTGTGTGCTCTGCAACAGCAATGAAAGCACGCATTACCGGTTCTGAAAGGGGTATCATCCCTGTACCCGTGATACCACGTCGTTCAGAACGCTCAGAGCCTATTTCAACGATGGCGCGAATGAGTTTGATGACTTGTTCTTTTTCGATGGCATGCTTGTTGTCGCGTGCTAGAGATCTTTTGAATTAAATGTGAATATAGTGGCCATAACAATAGCAGTACTGAATTTATTACTTTACGATATACCATTCGAGCGGCTGTTGTTGTAATCGCTCCACCGATGCAGAATCAACTAACGCGTGGCGTAAAAGCCGGTAAGCCGCAGCTCGACAATGCATGGAACATCGATCGGATAGCGAGGGTATGATGCTGTGGGATGATATGCTGCTCTTAACTTTGTACCATATCCACCATAGTTAAGGTAACTCACGCTTGAACAAGCTCTGACAAATGCAACTCGTATCGAACGCGCAAGTTCCGCTGCAATATACCAACAAGTCTATTCATAATTTCTATCCTGGTTCGATCAGCATCCTGTCCGTTTATTCCTATGATTCCATTTGATGATGAAGGCGAGGTTGATGCGGGAGGAGACGTTATTGGTCGAGAGAGAGATGATAATGACTTGATGCACGTAATTGCATGGTGCAAGGCAGTACGGAAGTCCTCTGTAACAATCGGTCAATCCCACGAACGTCGATCGACTTGAAAGAAGTTACGTGCCCCTCTCTCTGTCGTGCCTGTCATCAGAGTCCACACTGACTCTTATCCCCACTGTTGGAGATTGGCCGGCAAATTTGCGCTTATTAGTTGTAGGTGCACTAGTGCGGCCAACCTTTCTTCGCTTTCCGTGAAATGACTCTGATTATGATTGTATCTATGCATGAGAATCGTTGAAGGGGTCGAAAGATAACTATGACACATACCTAATTCGATTTTCTTTGTCAACGACTCGATCTCATTCATTGCCATGTCCAGCTCTGACTCTACTTGTGATCGCAAGGCATCCTAGAAAAGAGGTCAGATTTACGTGAGTCAGAGAGCAACGATCGGATAGACTCGCAGGTAGTGGCAGTTTGAGGAATTTCTCAGCGCCTTCCCTGATACGATTCTCTTTTTCAAGCTGGTGATTAAGTGACTCTATCTATATCAAAGTAAATGGGCATCAAGAATCACAAGTTGAACAAGACGCGAAGGGGAGCTCACTGAGTCTTCGAAAGCCCTCGTCTCAGCTTCGAGTGATGTTCCGTGTGAGCTCGCGACGACGGTGAAGGAAGAGGTAAAGTTCGTATTTGTAGCAGATCCCTCATCTTCAGGAGTGGTTATCGGCATTTGCCAAGGTCACTGTCGATGGTCAAGGGTACCTGTCTCTGCAGAAACACGACTGTTGCGGCGTCGAGCCGTATTGTGTTCACGGTACGGTCAGGACGAAGTGACCGCTTTACGTCACGGTAAATACCGGAACTCATCATTTACTCCCATTTCCGTATTTACCTAACAATGCAAATCCGTAGTATACTAGTAACAGGACTTGGACTAACACTCTTGTCAAAATACAGATACTCATGGCCTTCAATCGAATTTCCTCATGACGAGCAGTGATGTATTTACAGCGATAATTATATTTACAATATGGGAGAATTTCATAATGGCAGTGCGGTGCATATGGAGGTGTTAATTTTACAACAAGAACACTCACCGGAAGACCGTAATTAATATGCACAATGACACCATAACTAAGGAATTCTCAAATGGGATCGGACGATGAGGCAGAGGGGGAAGATATGTTACCCATCTCGACGTTAACGTCCGCCATGTCTCAAAACCATACATTGTAGGTGTCATGATGATAAAATTATGGTAAACGTACCTCACCAGCTCTTGTAAGACCTCCACGAAAAACAATGGTACCTCAAGGTCGCTGCTCCTGCGACAATGTGTGCTCTGGCCCTGCTGAATATAAGGATATCTTTCACGTACAGCACTTAACGACGAAGAGAGATAACCCGATAATAGCCCTAACCCGAGACACGATCCCCCGGCAACTTCCGTGCTACTGTATCATCAAAGTTCAAGCCACCCGTTTCTCTCAATTACCAAAGAAAGTACTCGCCAGTGCGCTCGATAGCTTCAAGATTTTTCAAGATGGGTGAGTACTGCTTGTCTCTGCAATATTTGGGATATAACTCAATATCTCAATGTAGTTCGTTACGCTGCTGCCGCCCTCGCTACCAACCCAGAAAAAAGTCCGTGCAAAAAGCTTGAATATCTGGCCAACAAAGTGCTGATCTTGTGTCTTATCCAGCCTCCCGCGCTCGCGGCGAGTACCTCCGCACGCACTTCAAGAACATGCGTGAAGTTGCTGCTGCTCTGACTGGTAAGTACCATAGAAGGGACACCTCAAAATCGCGTGGAGCTGAAGTGATATACAAGGCCTCAAACTTACCAAGGCTTACTCTTACCTAAGTGATGTCTCGGACCACAAACAAATCATTCCTTTCCGTCGGTTTGCTGGGGGTGTTGGTCGCGCAAGCCAAGCCAAGCAATTCAAAGCAACTCAAGGTGGGCTTTCCGGAGTTTATCAATCGTATGCTTAGAGGACTTATCACCAATATGGGAAAATAGGTCGTTGGCCAGAGAAATCTGTCAAGTTCATCACCCGTCTGTTGAAGAACGCTGAATCAAATGCTGATGCCAAAAACATCGAGTTGGAGGACCTTTACATCAAAAACATCGTTGTCCAGCAAGCTCCTGTACGTTCAGTTCTGCAGTGCTTTGATATTTTCAAATTCTACAACTCAAATTAACCTCGATAGAAAACCCGTCGTCGTACGTACCGTGCCCACGGTCGTATCAATCCTTACCAGGGCCACCCCACGCATGTCGAAATCATCCTCTCGGTGAACGAAGCTGAAGTTGAACGGAGCAAGGACAAGGATGTCGTCTCGCCCCTCTCATCACTGAACCGGCGACAGGTCGCAAGGAAGCGGATCGAGGCAGCGCGCGCTTAGATGTTTATGATGGGTTGGCGGTCCTATGATTAACATCTATGTCAGTTGGGAGGGCGATGCGTTAGTCTTAATTGCTATGTATACGAGTATGCCTCATGCCATGACTTAAAATGCTTACTCTCACGTTCAGAGCTCTCACTATTGTGTCTTAGTGTGAATAGTCTCTTAGAACTCAATTCAGATGATATATAGTTCGCCAATTGATATATTTCGTCAACGAACTTCAAAGTACGGGCCAACGATGCAATGAGAGTAAAGTCTCTACGTAGTGAGTATGTAACCAAAAGAGTGTGATGTACTAATGCTGGAGAAAATGAAAGAATAAGGGTCAGTCAGGTTAAATGAGTGTAAGTTGAAATGAGTGTAAGTAATAAATGCTGATCAGCAGATATAAGGGTATAGTAAAAGAGTGTGAGTGTGACTCGAAGTCAGCGAGATAATGATACAAAGAAAAGGTAACGGTTGAGAGTAACAGAGAAAGAGATAGAGAAGAGAGCGTGAGACGTTATCGATATAAACTCCAGTGATACAGAGATAAAAAAGAGAACGTAAAATATTATCGATATAAATTCCGGTGATGCAGAGATAGAAAGAGGGTGTGGAAAGATGCGAATGCTAGTGAAACAATGAACAAGGAAACTGAAAATTGCGAGATGCAAAATGCAGAGTGCAAAATGTGATGGAAAGTGAGCATAAGTAGGCAGGAAAATAAAAGAAGAAAGAAAGTGTGAAATGCGCACATATGGCTGAGTGCGATCATTGTAAGTAGGTAGTATTGTGAAAGAGAAGAAGAAAAAGAGTGTGAGCCCTGAATGTGATCAAGAGCGGTTGTAGGCAGTAAAAGAAAAGGAAAACGTGTAATGTGCGCAGATGACTGTGTGCGATCATTGTAAATATGCAAATATTGTGATAGAAAAAGAAGAGGAAGAGCACGAAACGCGATTGAATATAAGCAGCAGATATCTCGGCGAGATAAAAAAAAAGATATCAAGAAACATTACGGCGGTGAGCACGCGAGAAGGAAAATAAAAGCGAAAAACAGAGCAGATAACTTGAATCATTTCCTGGGAAGGAACTCATGGACCCAAATGTCCAGCATACGCTGCCAGCTTCTGTGAGGAGGCTTGGCACCTTTGGGTTCGATTTCACGCCTAGATAAAAGGGGGAAAAACAAAAGTCAGCATAGTGAATAATTGAGAATGAGGGAAAACTTACGTTTTTGCGTAAAACGCATCGACCATACGATTCTCTTCCGCCAAGTCAGCGCGAATGAAAGGGCCCAGTTCAGCGTTGAGCCATTTTTGAATGGAATTGACACGTTGTAGCTTGTAGGGTACATGGGATTTTTCCATCGCTAGAATAATAATAAAAACAATTAGTAAATGTGAATGAGATGATAACGAAAACAGAAACTTACCTTGGATGACTTTGACGACATTGCGATAACGGTGAACATTGATGAGTTGGCAACCCGAGCCTTTGGGATATTCGCGCGTTGACGGATGACTGAACGCAATCTGTATTTCGCCAATGAATATACCTGTTAAAAAAATACGTTAGCTCAGTGAATAACATTGAATAAAAGAAAAATACTTACTCATGATAGGCACCGTAGGCAAAATTTCATCCCCTAGAGCATTCCAATAGGACTTTCTCTGCATATCGAGGGGGATGACGTCACCCACGACGCGCAGCAGCTTGTTATGATCTTCGAATATTTCCTGCATAAAAAAGAAGGTCAGCAATCATGTTTCAAAGATAAGGAAGAGTAAAACTTACACTGCGAGTAGCTTTCAAACGATCCAACACCCGCATAATCCCAGTGTAGATGGCCGCAGATGCACCAAAGTTTCGGATAGCCATGCATTTCTGTTGAGAAAAAGTTATTAGTATCATGTTAAAGACAATTAGAAAAGAAAAGACATACCGTTGAGATTTGCAGGAGACAACCGATGACAGCTGCGCGAGACCTTGCAATTGGGCTGGATAAGATGACCGAAGTCGTCCAATTACTCAGCGCTCTCTCGTAAACCACGATAGCAGTGATTTTACGCCCAACGTCTTGATCCAAGCCATCTTTCCAAAACTTCACCGCATCTTCAGGCCTGAAGTCGAGATACAACTCCGAGAGTGCCAAAGATAATTGGCGCGCGAGCTCCTCGTGACCAGAAGTGCAATCAAATGACAGGATATCGACCTCACTAAAGTCGCCGGCTTCCATGGCTTTCCTCTTCGACGGGAGCCAGCCCGTCGCAGGAATAGGCTTAGTGGGTAAGTGAGATTCGCCAATAGCGGTGGTGCATTCCAAACGGCGACCACGGAAGTTGCTTTTGTCGCAAGCGTATCGGTGTAGCGTATCGATAACTCGTTTGGATACGGGGCGGGGCAGGTCAGGAGTGAGTCGGCAGAATGCGAATTGGAGGAGCGCGTTGAATGCGGGTTCATCCTCCTCAGGCCTCCAATGCTTGTCCGTCCACAGATAGAGCACTTTGGCGACGCGTAGCTTGATTTGATATGCTTCTCTCTCCCAGGTAGGGAGCTGGAGCGGTGTCAAATTTTCAGGCGTCTTCTCGTGGTAACGGTCGATGAGCGCAGCGAGTGCCTCCTCGGGGGTCGTGAAGTAGCGGAAGCTCAGCAAAAAGAAATCCGTGAAGTTGCAGTCGGGAAGCCCATCCTTGCTGGTTAAGATCCGAACCAAGGCCTTCAAAGAAGCACCTCCAAGAATGTCGCCCGTGGCATTAAAGCACAACTCGCTAGCATCATCTGGGTGAGGTGGAAGGGTAGCGTCGTCACCGTCGAGGAAGAAGTCGTCGGGGAACTGAGCGATCGAGTTCCTGATACAGTCGACGACATTGTCGCTGATAGTATTGAGTGTGGAAGAGGCGTCTTGCGACTTCTTAGTATCACTATCAGAATCGGTGCGAACTAGTGTGGAGGAAGAGTCGTTCGTGGAGGAAGCGAGGCGCTCGGTGGACTGCTTCCCGCATTTGACGAGAACGGATAGTGGTTTAAGCATGGCATTGATTTTACTCTTCTTGCGACGGACGACGCGCTCACGTTTCTCTCGGGGTGTCGCGTGAAAATTGGGGTCTACCCCTTGAGATGGGTGGGTGGCATTAGCGACGGCTGCGGGGGAGAATACATTGAGGACTTTACCTTCTTCGATATCGACCAGAACAGCATCATCAGTATCGCACTCCGGAGTGGGTGGAAGTGGTTTACTATCAATCAACTCGCGCTCAGCTGCCCTTAGTAGTCCCTTAAGACCACTCATCATCACTTCTAATAGTCGTAAGGAGGTTTGAATGGCTCCGTTACGCTCTCTACCAACTAAATTTGGATCAATGGTTTCAGCATGGGACAGGAACATGTCCTTTGAGAAAAGCAGGTCGCTCTTCGCTAGCTGGTAAGAAGATGAAGCGCGGACTCCTTCAGGCAACTGGGCCATGGAGTCTAAGATGGTGGAAAGACAGTTGGTAATGATGGGGGCGAGGGATCTGACGGCGTCGAGGTTCTGGGTTAAGGGAACGCGACGAAGGATGGTGATGGGAGCAATGATAGCAGGGAATGTGCATTCTAAGTTGATAGTTGGCTGAGTGGGTGAGAAGACCCTTGGAGAGGAGGGTGATTGATCGTGGGTCATGATGCTGGCTGTCTTCAGAGACACAGCATCGAGCTCTTGGGAGGAGCTTTTCAATTGTACAGAACGTGAGTCGCTGGAATGAAGGCTAGGCATCGTCTTTTTTCGAGTCAAAGGTCGAGGCTTGCCGACAGTAACAGAGGCTGTCGAATGAGCCATGGTGAGGATAGAAGGTAATTGTTAGATGGTTGATATCAAGCGTGTAGTAGATGGTAGATGGTGTAACGGTGGTAAACGCGCGAAGAGGGGCTCGTCTCTTATATACTCTGGGCTTGTGGACGTATTTGTGCAAATAACCACATACCGCGTCCACAAATCCAGCTGCGTCCACAAGTCCCGCTAGCCCGAGGTGCCGGGTGGCCACTTCGTCCACCTTTGTCCAAAATAGCTTGGAGGTCAAAGAGTCGCTTAATCACAGAGAAGTTGGGGTTTACCGCATATTTCTTTCTCAAGTTCTTAATGAGAAAGCTTTTCGGGACAGGGCCGTTCAACTGACCACACGTTCCGCTATATTCATGATATGAAGGCACTCCATACTGCCATCCTCAAACCGAGAACTTCACAGTTATGTGGTTCTGGACTAGGATATTTATACTAAATCGCAGATAAATGTCAGATCAAATAGATATCAGAAATTTGGAAGGCTGTACTCAGCAACTTTCGCCAACAAAAGCCTTGCAGACGAATAACTGTCGTCATTTTGAGCATCTCTGGGTTCTTTAGCATGGAGGGACTGGTATCTGCGTTTTCAGTTTCATACTTACTTGTCAGTTGACTTTTATGAATGTTTAGGTGTAACGGTCACCGTGACGGTGTGCGCGGACTTGGATTATATTATATTTGCCAAAACCAATGAGAGGCGGGATAAATGCGAGTGAGAAATATGGTGGCTGTGCGTAGCACCCGCAGTGAGAACAGCCGATACGGTCACGGTTTTACCTTGTTGTATCCTTGCGTCGGTCATCGTCTGTATCGACCGCCGCAGTCCCTCTCTTGCTTTCCTCCAACATCCTCTTCACGGGTAACCATCGCCTCTCTGGCTATATGCGTGCTGAACTCCATTCTAATACGTTCCATACCCCACAGGTTCCAGTCTAGGCCAGTGATTACTCATCGAACGAGCTCCAGCAGACGACCACTCAACGACATATTGTATTTTCTTATTTGTTTGTAGCTGGTAGGATCTCCTTTCTGCAGCTGGCGTCTTTATAAACGTTGTAAAGCATACAGACGCTACTAAGAGACGCTCGCTACTCTACATGGCTTCAGAAGATCTACCACAGGAAGTCCGGATAACTGGTGCATATGGATCACACCACGAACTGTCATTTGAATACATTCTAATCTTTATTCTACAATCTATAGTACTTGCTGCAAACTCTCTCGCGAAACGTGATGTATTCAGTCTACCAGACCCTTTCGCAGTAGTTTCCGTAGGCGCAGACCAAACGTATACCACTGCTACCATCAAGAGGTCCCTCAGTCCAACATGGAATCAGTATTTTGACATGTGAGAACAACCATCTTTTTCTTATCTACTGTGTGTACTTCGGATATTGACGATTATCTGTCCCCTGTCTCCAGCACAGTCCGACCATCATCTTCTGTAACTATACAAATATTCGACCAGCGTAGGTTTAGGCGGCGTGATCAAGGGTTTCTTGGACTGGTGAAGCTGGAGGGACAGGAAGTCATTGATCATTCTTTGAGTGGGCACGGTGTGTATAATTCTCGTTCTTTGTATCTGACCATCACTCATCTTCTCTATGAGCAGCTTTGATTAGTAGAAATCTTACTACATCGTCCGGTGGTGCGGTTGTATACGGAAAGATGCTGTTTTCGTTCTCGATTCCACTAGTTCAGAGCGTTCAGCAAGACATCGATGATGCCATAAATAGTTCACTCCCAGCTCTGCAGTTGTCCGACCTTACTCCACAGGCACCAAATCAGAGAGCCAGTACTCTGTCGTCCCGCAGCGATTCCTCTTCACGGCAACCCACCATACCTCGTATAGCGTCTTCCGTCTCTCCCCTCAACAGTAATCTAGCACACGCTTCATCGAGCAACTCTGGGTCTACACATCTTCGGTCAGCTTCTGTTACCCCATCAATCCCTCATTCTCCATTGGATAATACGGCACCTTTGGTGCCGAGAGTGTCTTCCAGATCCACACTTTCCAGCCCGACTTCTCTCGGCCCTCAGGCAGGTCCCGAGGCTAACAGAGAACCTGTTGCCGACACAGAGAATGCAGCCCCCCTACCTCCAGGTTGGGAACGTCGTCTTGATGAGCGGAGTAGGCCGTATTATGTTGATCATAACACACGCACGACATCGTGGATCCGACCTGCAGGTGTGCAGCCTCAACCTCAGCAGCCTATTCCTACCACACCATCGAATAGCTTTATTCAGCCCTTCAACATTCCTAGCAATGATGGGAGCCAAACCTACGTAGACATACCACTACCGCAGGGATGGGAGGAACGTCGCACACCGGAGGGTAGACCGTACTTCGTCGATCATCGTACACGATCCACTACGTGGACGGACCCGCGTACAGCACATGTCAACCCTGCTGTAACCGCCTCAACTAATGCTAATCTGGGCCTCCTCCCATCTGGATGGGAAATGCGCATGACCTCCACAGGCAGAGTATACTACGTTGATCACAACACTCGTACAACGACGTGGGATGATCCAAGACTCCCATCAAACGTTGACTCCAATGCACCACAGTACAAACGCGATTATCGTAGGAAGGTCGTATATTTCCGCAGCCAGCCAGCCATGAGAGTGAAGGAGGGTAAATGCGAAATGAAACTCAGACGAGGGAGGATACTGGAAGACAGTTTCTCAGCAGTCATGAAGATGAGCGGGAATGACTTGAAGAAGAGGCTTGTTATCAAATTTGAGGGAGAAGATGGTCTGGACTACGGAGGTGTCTCAAGGTAACATGTCTGCTAAAGTGGATGCATTTATCGAACGCTCACATGTTGCAACAGAGAATGGTTCTTCCTGCTCTCGCATGAAATATTCAACCCATCTTACGGTCTTTTTGAATACTCCGCGCATGATAATTATACATTGCAGATCAACTGGTCATCAGGAATTAACCCTGAACACTTGACATACTTCAAATTTATTGGAAGATGTCTGGGTATGGCCATATTCCACCGGCGTTTCTTGGACGCCTACTTCGTCTCTAGCTTCTATAAGATGATTCTTGCTAAGAAAGCTACTCTTGCGGATCTGGAGGGTGTGGACGCGGACTTGCACAGGGGTCTAGTCTGGATGCTGTAAGTTTTCTCTACATATTGTTTTGGTACTCTAATAACTCATATAATTCTCAGTGATAATGATATTACCGATGTCTTAGACGAAACATTCAGTACTACCGAAGATCGATTTGGAGAAATTGTGACCGTGGAACTCAAGCCAGGCGGAGCGGATATACCCGTTACAGAAGATAACAAGAAGGAATATGTTGAAGCAGTAGTGCTGTACAGAACGATGACCAGAGTCAAAGAACAGTTCGATGCTTTCTCAGAAGGTTTCAAGGAACTCATCCCTCAGGAGTTGATTGATGTCTTTGATGAACGTGAACTAGAGTTGCTTATAGGTGGAATGTCTGAGATAGACATGTATGTTTTTATTTCTTTTCTTGCAGTTCTTACAGCTCAAATATTGGTTTTTCAGGGATGACTGGACAAAGTTCACAGATTATCGTGGTTACGAGAAGTCAGATCAGGTGATCGAGTGGTTCTGGCAATGCATTCGCAGCTGGCCAGCTGAGCGCAAGTCACGGTTACTTCAATTCGCTACTGGTACCTCGAGGGTACCTGTCAATGGTTTCAAAGATTTGCAAGGCTCGGATGGCCCCCGAAGATTTACTATCGAGAAGTTCGGCGATGCTTCACAACTACCTAGGAGTCATACTTGTTTCAACAGGATTGATCTTCCACCGTACGAGGATTATGAGAGTTTAGAACAGAAGCTCACATTTGCAATCGAGTAAGTCATTAATCATCTTCGTGCTAATTTTATCTCATCCATTTATCTTCGTATAGGGAAACTGAAGGATTTGGTGTGGAGTAAATGTCTGGTGGTTATTTAAATGGTTTATTGGTGCATTGTCATATGTTGTGCTTCTACGATCTTTTGGTGTATTCATATATGTCTATCAACTGTGTGTGTTTCCTTAGGTTTTCGTTATTTTTACTATTACTCTGGTAGCATAGCTCTCGAGCTATTTTGAAGTTCAACAGTTTCTTTAATAATATAGCAATGGGCTAGAGTGACAGGTCAGGTTCTTAGTACCAGTATCTATTGGCTAAGTGTGACAAGATGAAATTGAAAGTAATTGAACGATGATGTATGTTGTTCGGTCTGTCCAATATTCTCGAGCCTATCAGATATCTCAGGCTTGATATACACGGTTCATGTAAGTCCCATCTATAGTTCAGTCCGCCGGTGGAGGCATGAGAAACATGTAAGGGGGAGGCCGTGCGACTAGCTCTTCCCCTCCACTGCCACTGTGAGGAATAAGATAAGGAGGTGGTGCGTGCCCATGTGACGGTGTGGTACCTTGCATAGCCATGTCGGAAGATATGGTATGAGATGGTTCAGAGTTGTGAGGATAGGTGGGATGAAGTTGCGAGAAAGCAGTATTTGGGGTAGACGGGTGGGCTACTGGAGACCTAAAATCGGAATCGATGGAGGGAGGTGGATCAGAAGGATCATCCAGCGCAGGTGGCGGGGGAGGCAATTCAGCTGTTGCATCTGGGTCTTCATGCTCCGATACCAGGCCATCATGGTTAGGCTGACCTATCTCAATTAGGTCGGACAAGTTCCTATCATGTGTTGCCATTTCAAGGGTAGGTGGAGGTGAAATGGGATCGCGCGTATCGTCTGAGTAACCATCAAACTGATGTGAAGAAGAAAACCCAAATAACGAGCCTTCGCCTTCAATCACATGGTCCAGTGCAGCGACAAGTGCTGAATGTTCTTCGGTATCAAAACGGGCATACAACTGAGATTCTGATTCTAGGAAGTTGGGTAATCCAGAACTCGATGGTTCTGGAGAGAAAAAAGGAGGTGGCGGAATGTCACGCTCTTCGAAAGGCGGAGGCGCACCACTAGGAGCATAGCTGGGCCCTGCTTCTCCTTCTTGATAACGGGGGGCAGACACTTCAATGCTCTCCGGCCTCCGAGTTACTGCAATTGGATAATCACGTTTCTTGGGATGCGTAGTGTCAAAATCAGAGAAGGGAGCAGGTGGAGGGACGATTGAAACAGGGATGGAGACGGTGAAGACACGTTCGGTGCGGCTAGATACGTCGACGAATGATACATGGACAGCGATGTGAAATGTTACAGAATGCAGAAGAGTCGTCTGGGATATAGAAACACATTGGGTGTCGTTATCTTGTAGCGCATATCCTCCTTCCAGCAAAGGCTGGTCATTATTTGGGGGAGAGGCGGAAGGAGAGGGCTGATGTAAAACAAATCGAAGTCGTATAGATCTTGATGAATGGAACCGACAAGATCCGCCAGAGCGACAGATTGTTGTTTGATATGATGATGGTCTATCTTCGGTACTTGGCGCAGCAGTGCAAGAAGGACCATCATGACTGGAGCCATTAAGCGCAGAAAGATCTTGTTGTTCTGATGGTAACCCTCCATAAAATTCATAAGGTATATCTTCTTCGTGCTCTTTCTTTACCTTGACGGTGCGAACGAGTTCCGCCTTGACATTGCGAATTCTCCAGCCTTTGTCTACGACGAGTTCCCGCGTAGGCGGAGGAATGGTGACGTAAATAGGAATAGGCTCCCCAACTTTGAAGGCTGTACGAGGCACCTCAACGTCGACACGTGTTGGATATTCCAGCACATAAGTCTCAGGCAATGTCTCCAATGTATATGTCGGAGATGCATAGCGTCTAGTGTGTACGGTCACCGTTTTCGATATAGGCTGCCCAAGGGGATCCAGAGGGTGCAATGTGGCCATCAAAGCATGAGAGATCGAAGATTGTGGAGTATGCACACACTGAGGTGTATCCGGAGTCAGAGGAATGGCGAAAGGAAAAGAAGATGGTATGATGCTAGTATCCAACGGGTTAGGAAACAAGTCGATCTCTGAATGAAATAGCTCGATTTCTCGTGAATAAGCAGCTTCTACGACGCGAAAAGACATCGTGCTTAAGATTGGTCGATTAATATAAGACATTATTAAGAACACAAATAATAAGATCTACTGACACTTTTTTCCATTGTCTAGGCTCAGCGCCTTTAATCTGCAGTTCTCCTTCGATTGCAGCTCGCTCCCCGTCGGCTCCTAAGTATCCCCTCTGAAAATTGATGGCGTCCGTCGTTGGTACGATGATTATTTGAGGATCTGCAGCGCAGATTTCACTGTCAGAAGAAGTGTCATTTGGACACTCTTGAGAGTATATGGGTGGAGGACCACTGTCGGATGGCATGCAAAAAGTACTGGATTCCTCAATAGGATTGCGAATAAGATGTATATACTTATTCATGCATGTACTCCCAGCGTCACATGATGCTAATTCCTGTACACACGTGATCGAGTCAACCCGGCCGCACTGGAAACAACACCACAGGATTACTATCATTGCGACCATGTCGAGGCATCCAGAAGCGAAAACATAGCTACCCTATCATCACCCCCAATACCTCTTCATCTTGAGCGTTTATATATTTTTTCATCGTTTGATCTCGCCGTCAACCTTTGCATCTTGTGTTCGTTATGTACTATGTCCCGTATATAGGTCTTAGTACTTATGGCTGTTTGGATCAGAAGGCTTTGCCAAACAAACCTCAGCCCTGATTCCGACCATCATGACAGCTCAGCTTGACGACCTCAATGGAGATCCAGAATTTCTTGACAGCGTCCAAGGAGAGATATCATTTTTTCGTTCGGTCATGAGGGCACGGCCAGTTGGTCTGCATCGCCATTTTCATGCACTCGCTATACGCAATGCTATCCACAACGACACCGGTCGTATGGTCCCCATCGACAGAATCTGGGCAAAATTAAGAACATGTTACGATCTCGATGCTCTTGAAGGTCTTGTAAGGACTTTCTGTATGTATTATGCTGCTCGGTAATAAAAAGTATCAGGAAATAGACGGATACGACTCCCCTGGATCCAGTCAATCTACTCCTCGTGTAATTGCTTCACCTTCGCCGTCCGAAAATCTCTCAAGACATCCATATTTTCGTGCAGAATACACCATTCCATGTGACCATACCTATGAGTCAATTATTGCTGCACGTCGACTAAGAGCGACAGCATCCTTGCCCTCTACACCGCTTGCACCATCGCCTCAACAACCTACAAAAAGTCGTCGAACTCGTGTTTCCAAACGTGGAAGAAGTAAGCTCGACATGGCTGGCCTAGTAGGAGGTGATAGTGACAGTAGCGCATTGACGCAGGAGAGCGGTGATGAAGCTATCGCGTTCACACCAAGAGACAGCGTAATAACAGCAACTGATGGTGGGACCGAATTTGCAGAAGAAGAGGAGTCAGAGATACAAGAACTATCACCTGGTGCGTATCGTCTGAAACATTTGATGATGTCTGATGGAACAATTACGCAGCATCCTTCTCAAAAAGTGGGCGAGGTAGAATATCTAAACCCAATAGAGGGGGTATATCTGGAAGAGTTAGAGCTGGAATTACTAGCACAAGCCGTAGTAATAAGAAGAGAAAAAAATGATGTTAAAGCAAATACATCTTTCCTTTGCTGCTACTGCATTGGCTAGTGGAAGCACCTGAAGCTGAAGGTTGATCTTAATTGCAACATTCCATCAAGTTTCTCAAGTCGCATTAATTTGAGAGTAGTTGCCAGAATTCTATATGGCGAAATACTAAATGGTTTCATATAGATTTTATAGCCAAAATGCTTTGTTATGTGGATAGTAATACAGCTAAGTTGTTAATTTCAGTCCATTGATACATCCATGTTTACAATTTCTGCCTCTGGTTTGTCTAATGCTGTACTCTTGTTGCGACGATCTGCCAAAAACGCATCTATTCTTGCTTTCAGTTCAGGGTCTGTGTATACTTAATCAATAGCAGAAAATCTATGTGACTAGCAAATGCTTACCAGGAACTACATCATCAATCGTTAAAGGTGCTCGGTTGAAAGGGTCCTTCGAGTCAGAAAGCAAGTGTGACTTGATGGTGGAGCGATCGATAATTGTGCGTGAAGATGGCAATGTAACAGGATCTCTCATGACTGTGAACATCAAGGGATCTATAAAATTGGCATAATTAGCCATACTCCGACATACGCCATCGACATGCAACTACTGACCTAAGAATTCGTCGGGAATTTCGCCGAGGTCTTCTTCAGCTTCAATTGTGGCCTTGGCTTCTTCTACTTTAACCACGAACAGTCGCAGTTGCTCCAACTCGGTTTCGGTTTTCAGTGGAACTCTCCTAGCTGTTGCAGCAGCCAATTCAAACAGTTCCTTCCGATAACTACGACCGTCCCCAGCAACGGCCCGAACAAAATCTCCCTGGTCGCTAAGGTTGAGATAGACTTGTAAAATATCACTTAGCAGCTGCCTTGGGCTGAATTTGTATTTTTCTGGATCTTTGACGGTTAGCTCCTTGCATTTGGGACCGACCAGGGCGTCCAAGTTGTAATCCAACATGGCAGCTAATTTGTCCACTATCTCTGGCATCATGAAAGGCGCCTTGGTCTCCCCTGTAAAGTCTTTCAGAAGTCCTACGGTGGATTTACCCAGTGTGGTGTAGCCTGAAGCGTGCCTCTCTAATTGCCGAAGGGTGCCCTCACGTTCCCGGCGATATTGGGCGGATTTAGTTGCCCAAGTAGCTTCGTCCTTCATTTCAGTTTGGATGTTGTGAATTTGCGTGAGTTCGCTCAACGACTCGTCCATGAGATAAGTGACATCGTTGATCATGAGGTTAACAAAGCGAACAAATTTTTCGACATTGCTGTTTGCAAGATATGAGTAATATGTAACATTTGCAAAGGTTGATAGGACTAACTGAGTTTCATTTTTGAGGGCTTGTCGATGTGTCGGATTGTCCCATATTGCTTTCAAAATATATGCGATATTTCGTCTGCAGCTATGTCAGGAAAGAGTACTTTACGCGGAAATATCACAACAAACCTAGCATCTTTGATGAAATAGTATAGGGTGCTTGATTAGTCTCAGACCATAACAGGAGACGAAGAACTTACTAAATTTATCATAGAACTGAGAGCTTGCTCCTGTCTGCTCAACTTCTGCTCGAGAAATATGACTAAACTGAAACGGACTTGGTGAGAAAGTACGAACCGATATAGAAATGCATCAAAGCGGGCATCAGATGCCTCAGCGCAAGTGGATGAGTGTTCAGAGTACCGCCGAGTATGCCGTGGCGCTCGTTACCGTAAGGTAAAATACCGTAAAATATGGTCTAGAACATAGGGTAGTAGATGCCAGATGTCGATATCACGACTTGACATACCTCGTTGACCTTGGCTTTCAAGAAAGGGTTTTTGATATACCACGTAGAAGTCAAGAATGTCAGCGCAAATATAACGAGCTCGTTCTTCCCGGACAAATCAAAGCTCTCAGGGGAATGGCTAGAAATTGGATGAGTTATGTATATCTCTGGTATGAATGAATTCACAAACCGAACGACGAAGAGTAGATAGTCCACGACATCTTCGAGGATATATTCCGGGAGCACTCTAAAAGACATCGGCACGTCTACAGGTAGTGGTAACCTATTGACATGGTCAGTGCGGTAGAAGTGGAATGCTGCGAGATGACATACTCTACGATAGGACTGGGATGAGACTTCTTAGGATCGATGCTGCGAATCAACCAAGTCGAAACAAAGTTCATGAAGCCAATTGATCGGAAAACAAGCTCGGGATCTAGTAACTGTACACGGAAGGCGAGCTGTTGGGCTTGAATCTTGGCCATATCGGCCTGATAAAAGGAGTCATGATCTGATGGTGTAAATACAAGATAACTGCGGTACCTTTACTTGGTTTATAGCTGCCTCTGTCCGAGCTTGGAATGGAGACTAAGGTAACGGTTAATTAACAAGCATGCCTAGAACAGATGGACACATACACCCATCCAGGAACCGTCGCCACTGATCATATCGAGATGCCGCTGTAATTCATCTACATGTTTGGCAAAATCTTCATACGTTTGAATCGTCTTCAAGTATCCGTAGTGGCTCAAGGCCAAGCTCAGATAGAATATATCAGAGATGAAATTAGGTGCCGAAGCTGTGAACCAATGAGTCATGTACATAGCTTTGTGGAATTCACTTTACCATTATCTCGATTCTCTTCTACCCACTTTGCCGCTTCGTCGCTGGTTGCTTTAATTCTTGTCTCTTCTTTCAAATCAAGACGTTGGGACACCGCATAATACAATGTGTCGATACGATCGATCTGTCCGTCATCAGCAACTATACGTGTGGAATTCGTGTGCGCAAGCTTACCTTGGTATACCTGGCATCCATGAAAGGCTCCGCGAAACGAAGAAGAACACTCTGCAGATTAACCATGAAACTGTCCGATGCGACTGTTTCAGCTTCAACCTGCATTCCACTACGCCTTTTGTTCAAGTTCACAGCAGTAGCAAAGTACTGCAGAACAGCTTCCCTGGATTCGGGCGAGGCTCGTACAAGGGTATTAAAGATTTGAAATAGTGAAGACTAATGAATCCTGTCAGTATGTATGCATGGCAAGGGAAAAAAATTACGGACCTGCAGGCTCTTGAGCGTCCCTCTTAGACTAGCGTAAGACGATTCAACGTCGGCTTTGGTGCGCTTCGTAGGGTCAGAGAAATACGTTTGAGCGATAATCGGCTGCGAGAGATGACGGTCAATGGCTCAGATAACATACCAAAGTGGCCCGTACTCACCCATTCTACGCTAAAGACATTCAGGCGACAAAGCGGACCCATTAACGTCATTTTCTCGAAACTGGCTGCCGTTGCCGAAGGAGTATTCCACTCAGGTAGTCTAGTTATCATAACAGCAATGCTCTTGACAGACACTAATGCCTCCAGGCCGCTCACTATACCCCGCCAGCTGGAGTCACCGCCACTCAAACCCTCAGGCCGCCATAATGACTGGTGGAACAACAGCTGACGTACGACAGGACCAAGAACATCATCTATCTCGTGATCTGGTTCAAAACGGAGCGCGAGATCTTGCAAGAAGCTCTCTATTTCAGAAGCATCGAGGGAACCCGGCGGCGATACTGATGATGAAAGAGGAGTAGAAAGGGCAGACAGCGATAACAGAGAAGCAACAAGTTCCGGAGGCCCAAGAAGTCGCCTGGACAAAGAATTAGAATTTTACATTGAAGCGTAGAAAAAAGAATATGCACCCTTGGGGTTGAGGAAACATCTCAGGCTCCTGAAGAGTGAGACCCGTGTAACTGATTATCAAGTCACGAAGCTTCTCCAAGATTAGCGAGGCTTGCTGTATCTCGTTAACGGGAGGCTGAGCCAACTACTGTTTAATCATACTGACTAAAATCCATACGAAAAAATGCGAACCTTTTTCAGTAGTGTAGCTCTGATGGACCTCAGGCGCTTCCAGCAGCCTACCAGATACTCGAATACCGACATCTGAGGTGGGAGGGACGCTAGCACGGCGACATATTCAAAATCATCTCTAAAGTCATGTTTGTCAGTAGGCCTAGGAGTGATCCGGGATGCAATCGCGCTTACGACATAGCCTGAGGATCAAGTTCAAGTCTGGCGATCAGTAAGCGGTCTATGATATCTCCACTCAAGCGTATTGGTTTCGTCTGACCTGCAAGACGATCAGGCCGACTGATTGTGTCAGAAACCGAGATAACGTACTGTAATCCTCGGCCTCTAACTCAGCTGCGAGGTTCTTCAGCCAAACGATATCATAGCCACTCTTCTCGGCGACCGATTTCTACATATATAATATAGTCACAATATGAAGACGGCAGTATGGAAGGTCCTTGCTTACATCGAGGGTAACTTTGAGAACATGGCTCAGTGTATCGTCTTGCCAGGATAGAATATCGACTTTGAGAGGCGTAACCGCTGGTTTCCTCTTCAGCAGTACGGATGGGCTAGCAAGTGGCTCAACAGATCGTACAGGCACCGGTGATGGAGCAGCGGAAACTTTAGGCTTTGGCGAGGGAGAAATTGGGGTAGACGATGGTGCAGATGCCTGTGAAGGTCCTGGTGAAGGAGGTTTACTACTTGGAGCTGTAGATGCTTGCAGCTTAGCAAGCCTCTTCGCACGAATCTGACAACGATATTTGAAGCATTGATAAGTAGCTTGATAAGATAATTAACATTAACAGAGAACATACGCGGTCAGCCTCGTCTTGCGGATTTCCCTGGCTCATACTTGCACTTTCAAGGTGCGGTTCCGTGGTAAGGATGTCTAGTGACCGTAAAGATTGAAGTAGGAGCAAGGGCTTATCCACGTGACCTCTGTGTGGCTAAAAAGTTGGCCGATCACTCTTAGAGCAAAACTTCCACGGCTGCAAATGTTCTTGAACCGTTTGGTGTTGACAGCAAGGCTGTTCTCAACGTCAGCAATCGCTCAGTTCCCAAAGCTCAAATCGCATAGTGGAACAAAGAAACGATGGAGAGCATTGAGTAACGGAAAGTTCAAACGGGTACGCCTCACTTCGTAGACGTTGCATGGAGTTGTTAGAAAATACTGGAGTTCTGACACATGTGTTTGCTTTTTTTGGCAGGCACATGCTAATCACTCGCATATGAACGTATCAAAGAGACCAGGCAGAAAGAACAACCTTTCTCATGTTGCCTATTCTAGTGACAAACAGACACCAACTTTGAAGAGATTACTACCGTACCGGTGAACGTCTGGAATATGCGGATTTGACTGCGTTTGCGACGTCATATATACAGGTCAGTTCTCTCTGCTGAATTGAAAAGCTAAGCTGAAGGAATAGAAGTATTTCTGAGGTGCCTAGTGATGTACCGTAATCAACGAAGTTCAGGTGTCACAGCGATGCCCAGCTCTATTCACAAGAAAGAGCACACACTTCTCTCGTAGCTAAAGCTTCAATATGTTCGTGCTACTGGACCCTGCTATGCAACTAAAACAGGTCATATCGAGGGAATTTGAGTAAATGAGGCAAATCGGTACAACTTCAGCTATCCCTCACTTTTGATCTAGCCCGACTTCGTCTGCTGCATTGCTCTCGCTGTGTTCTAAGGCTTCTACAGGTTTGTGCACGCCACCACCGCCAAAGAATGCTCTAATATCCTGTTGTTTCGGGTCGAACGCTGCGCTACCGATGCCGCCCTTCTGTCGTTTCTGGGGAATGGTCAATCGAACACCTAAACTCACCGCCTATCGAAGCCACTTACAATATTGTCGATATGTTCATGACGGTTAAACTCAGTTACTTTCACAACAAGCGGAATGGCATCTTCATCAGCAAAGTCCAGCACATCACCTTCTTTTAATCCCTATTCCGTTATCAGCCCAAATGAAAATGCAAACGCCTAACTGATTGACTGACCTTAACTCCGATAGTAACACGCGTCCAAGCCGTGTTCAACAGTCCTCTATAATCACGAGTATGATCTCCACTAGTATCCTTTCGAATAACTGCCGCAACGAGTTCACCGATACATAAACCATGGCTGACTAGAGCGATATGGACGCCCTGAGTTCCTGTTCTAGCGGCGAGCCGGATATGTGGTATGACAAACTCCTCGATTGCCTGGTCTGCTCTTTTGCCAACGTCGTCCAGACTCTCACCACCGGGAAACTTTTCATGGCGCTCGTAGAGAACTGGAAACACGCCCTGTGCGTAATAGTCTTCAACGGGTACGTTCTCGTCTGCATGCAGTGCCCATGGGTTTCCTTCCGCGATACCAAAATGTTGCTCTCGCAATAGCGGAGATGCAGTCAAGGGTGGTTGTGGGGAAGGCTGAGCATCATGTACAGCCTGTGCCGTGGTAAAGGCACGTTTGAGTGTGGACGCGTATATTGCTGTAAGTCGAATACTGGAAAGAGACTGTCCAAGAGCTCTAGCTTGCTAGGAGAATAGGCAGTGTGATTTTCATCGAACAACTGATTATTTGCATGTGAGTTACATACGTTCATGCCTAGTGCGATCATTTGAACTAAGCACGGATGTAGAAGTCAGTATAATGACCACATACCGTGATTGCTGAGGGGAGCATCTGCCCATCCTGCCCACACGGAACGCTGTAAGATATTCCGATATGTTAGTTATACGAGTCGTCGCTGATTTTACGACGTACCAGGTTGTCTGTCGATTCTCCATGTCTGATCTAAACTTTGCATCAAGTCAAGCCAACCGATAAATTTATGGACGCTCACAAATGTTACGGTAATCATTGTGTAAGATCTGGATATTATCGCCGTGACAGATAATAGTATTAGTCAATGAATGACATGTAATTCCCAGCCTGAGCTGAATGTTGTGCACGAAAGGCGGTGCATGCTTGCAATGAATGTGCCGTCAGCCAAGCCGTCTCATGTGACTCGGAAACAAGGTAGCTGACATAATCGGGCACTAAGGAACGTTCAGGACGTCTCTCCGGTTTTCCTTTGCCTCTGTTCCGTTTGTATCATTCAAGCGCGGTGCTTGCGTGTCGTGCAAGGCCGCGCGTTCCTGTCTTACAGATATTTTATATACCTCAACCTGCATCTGTTCTTCGTCATTGATTACTGTATACAGCTCTCCACCTACGATGTCCACTACTCCAGAACGCGATGCTCAACTTCTCGCCGTCGGGCACCAATGCTCAGAACAATCGTGTTTACTGGTCGATTTTTTGCCATTCAAGTGTCAGCATTGCTCAATCGGTTCTGTGGGGAACATTTTGACGTGACAGCTCATCGTTGTCCAAGTTATGATGAAAGCAAGCATAACAGAATTGCACCGTCTTGTATGTGAGCACACTACATAGAAACTGGGTTGAAATTGATGCCATTCTAGGTCCACTGTGCAATCAGCCAGTGGCCATACCGCACGGACAAGATCCCAACATTCGCATGGAGAACCACATATCCAATGAGTGCTCTGTTATGACTGGTAAATCAGGTAGAGCCAAATCTGCGCCAGTTTGTGCGAGAGGCAAATGTGGAAAGGTATTGTTTGCTCCTATCCGCTGCGATGTACGTTGGTCGTTAGAAATTCCTTAGAAATTTCTGCCGAAGATATCTAACCACCCCAACTATTCTTCAGAAATGTTCGCAGCAATTTTGCCCTCAACATCGATTTCCCAAAGATCACACTTGCTCATCTTTATCCACTCCGGCATCATCGAACTCCAGGATAACCTCCCCTGCTTTGGCCAAACAGTCGATTAGCGCTTCATCCAAAGCATCTGCTGCAAGTGCGTCTGCCATGAACGCAATGAAGAAAACATTGGCGTCCGCGAGCTCCAACGTCTCGGCCCACTCACCCTCTACGTCTATCGCTACCCCTAAGATCGCATTGCCGAGTACCAATATGTTCTCGAAAGCTGATCGGTGAGTATTTTCATGTTCCATGTTTCTCAGTAACCACTCATGACGCAGCAGTCCTTTTGTATCCACGTCCCCATCCCTCACTGTAAACTCTACATCACCCCGTACGAAATCTATATCTCCTACAACTAATCGACATGTATCAAACTTATGGCTGGATCCGAACTCATTTATACCACCCTCAATATTCGCAACTGCTTAATCTATCTATTACATTTTCCTAGTCGGGCGAAGGCGGAGAGGGAGAGTAGGAGGAAAGCTATGATGGAACGCGCTAAGAAGGGTGTAAGTTGAATGTTGATTCCACACACTCTTATATTGTAAATTGGCTTGAAGTAATGCTAATCCTCACGTTTCTAGCTCTTGAGCGATGAAGAGAAGCGCATTCTGGCAACTGAGGAAGCACAGAGGGCTCAGCAGGCCGGCAAGAAGGATGGCGACTGCGTTATGATGTAGTTTCTATTTGTATTCCAACTGTGTATCCCCATATACCTACTAAATAGACACTCAACTGTAAATTGGCAATCTTCCTAATACCCTTTACTCTACTACAACTCGATGAAGATAATACTTTCTACGCGTGTCACGTGACACGAGCTTGCACCGAAAACTGACCCAGTCCCTTCCAGCCCTTTCATAACTGACTTCCTCATAATGTCGGACGCAGAGCAAGACTCCATCTTAGGGAAACGTTCGCGGATACAAGGTGACGGGAAGGAGCCAGACACACTGGAAGCTGTGAACCAAGAGGGAGAGGACAATGATGACTCGCAGTCTGAGGATGTTGGACCTATGCCCATGCCGGTCGACGTTGAGAGCAATGGGGGAGTAAAAAAGAAACGCAAAGGTGTGTGTGCCCATCGCTCGGAGATTTATATGGAACCTTGAACGATGTTGTAGTCCTACCTCACGAGCAACTTTACCTCAGCCATCTCCCCAACGCAGACCAGTACTACAAAAGCTTCATGCACCGCGATGCCATCAACTTTTGCGTTGTAACAAAGTGAGAAAACAATTTATGAAGGCCTACATTGTAGGACCACGCATACTGACCCTAACACGCATCGTTAGGACAGACTTTTTGATAACGACGTCTATTGACGGGCATCTGAAGTTGTGGAAAAAGCAAGATTTAGGAATTGAATTCGTCAAGCATTACCGTGCACATATGGCACCTGTAGTGGGTGTATCAGCGAGTGCAGATGGTCAACTTTTTGCAAGTGTATCAGAAGATGGTAGCGCAAAAGTGTTCGATGTTGTGAATTTTGGTATGTTCAGACTGTTGCTTCCTCTTTTCTCTTGGAGTATCAATCATTGGTCATAGACATGATCAACATGATTAAACTGGGTTTTACACCCCATGCGTGTTGTTGGGTTCACCGCAGAGGGCAGGCTCAGGGCCTGTTGGCAGTGTACGTGCTACTTTTTGATTAACCTCTTCTGTCACTTATAAAATATTAGCTCAGAGCTAGGTACTGGTGTTATTCGGTTATACGATGGTCGTGGCGATGATAAGCCATTAATTACAATTGACAAATTGCATCGCTTCCCCGTACACGTTATGTCGGTGAGTACCAACCTATATTTTAATGCACTGTTTTCTTGACTCGAATTTGTTTCTAGTACAGCGATCGGTATGATACCGTAATATCAGCAGACGAGAATGGATTTATAGAATATTGGCAACCATCTGAATCTTTTGAGCCCCCCAAGAATGTCCCCGGAATGTGGTCATACAAAAGTGAAACAGATTTGTATGAATTCAAAAAAGTGCGTAGACCATTTCTAGCCGCTGGTGCATCCTGTCCTAATATCAACTTCTAGGCCAAGTCGATACCCACATGCCTGACGCTCTCCCAAGATTCTTCCGCTTTCGTAACGTTCTCCCTGCCAGACCGACAAATACGCACATTTTCTTTCCTCTCAGGAAAGCTCACTCGAAAATACGACGAGTCGTTAATAGCTATACAGGAAATGCAGCAAGCAGGTACTGCTGTTTATAAGGTCGATGATATGGAATTCGGTCGTCGATTAGCAGCAGAGCGAGAGCTAGAGATGCCTGGGCCTGATGGACGCATTCCTGCCATGTGGAGTAATGCTATATGGGACGAAAGCGGAGCGTTTATTCTTTATCCGACTCTCTTGGGCATCAAAGGTTGGAAATTCGTCATATTATTTCGTGGTACGGTTACTGAATTCTCTGTCAGTCGTCAATATTGTCACGAATCGAGTTGTTCGGTTATATGGTAAGGACGAAGTAGTGCGGTGGCTCAACTTAAGCCTCTATCAGGGTGCCCCTGCTAAAAAGGGTCTCACTACACTGGTGAGTTGATTTCTCTCTAGGCGATACTACTCCTCCTAGCGCTGCTTTATACAGGCAATGGCTGCTTCCGCAAATCCCATTCTGGCCGACAAAGGCACTAGGGATCCAACGCTTTTCTGCACAGGATATAAGCGTCAGCGCTTCTACATGTTCACTCGCTCAGAGCCCGAGTACGTTCATATACTCTTTCGTTACCCTTTTTGTCATCTTATAGATGTGTTTGCACAGGGATACCAAATCTGGCGACCGAGATGTCTTCAATGAACGCCCCACCCGTGAAGAGCAAAATATTGCATCTGCAACTCCTGCCCTTGGCAGAGGTGGCCCACCTCCTCTGGCTTCCTCTGCTACAATCCACACTTCAATGGGCGACATTCACCTCCGTCTCTTCCCCAACCAAGCACCGAAAGCTGTGGAGAACTTTGTCGGTCACTCGCGCAGTGGATTCTTCGAAGGTGTCATTTTCCACCGTGTCATTCCAAAGTTCATGATCCAGACTGGCGATCCACTTGGTGATGGTACCGGGGGGAATTCGATCTGGGGTCGAGAGTTTGAAGACGAGTTTGCAGATGACCTGAAGCACGATCGGTAAGTTTGGGAGTGCTGAACTACTTCTCGCCATCTAATGAACATCCTTTCATAGACCATATACAGTGAGCATGGCGAACGCAGGACCAGGAACAAATGGTTCGCAGTTTTTCATCACCACCACAGCTACCCCATGGTTAGATAGGAAACACACGATATTTGGTCGCGTGTTTTCTGGGCTTGAAGTCGTACACGCTATCGAAAATGTGAAAGTGAACAAATTGGACAAACCACTGGAGGATATCAAGATCGTAAATGTTGATATAGATTAGGGCCTTGGTCATGTTCCTCGAGATAGTGCGTCAATGTATACTGTATGTAACGACATATCTATCTTTTAGTACCCTTGAGTCAGAGGGCCACACGATCGAATGTATCAACATGGTGAAGAATGGATGAAGCCAAGCCTATCTCTGCCAAACGAGAACAGTAACGCCTTCTCAGTTTGTTCGTCATCTGAGAGGGAGAAAGATCTATGTAGTCGTTACCAATCATCGAAGGACACGTGAATTTGAGTACTGTGTGCTGTTTCTCGCTTCTGCTGACATTCTCGTCCACTTCAAGTATGACTTCGTATATATCCAGGGGAATATTACTGAGAAAGGACGTTTGATCCTGTGATCGTGGTACGTATGCTATCGGATAATCGATAAGAAGTCCAGCCAAACAGACAAGCGTTTGCTGCGTGAGACCAGAAGGGAGCGTCATAGATAATGCGCTCTGCAGATCTGGTACTGAGTGGAATTCATCAAGGACTTGACATAGACCAGTAGGAGGAGCATCAAGCTGGATTAAGGTCGAAGTCGTTGACGTGTAGTAACGCAGGACTTGTGGAATTTACTCGCCACTATTGGGATATCATCTAGTTGAACAAATGTTGTCCAAAGTCGGTCTCGATAGCTTTTATACATTTCTTCGAAGAGGGGGACATTCACAACAAATGACTGTTGAGACGAGATCTCATACCAATGTGAAACGTGACAGAATTTGGAGCTGTCCTGCTAGGTGTAGGAGGTCAAAACACATTCATGGATCATCATAAGCTCACCTAACCTTGTCACGAAGTCGCTGTAAAACAGTATCAAAGTCCTGCAATGGTTCCTTCAAGATAATCGCGTCAACGAGGTATGCACACCTGTAAATGTCATACCTGTTTAGATCTTTCTGAAGATGTAAATGTAATATGACGCACCGAACCGACAGTACAACCAGAGAGAAGTCGACGGCAAACTGACGCATCTTTGCAATTGAGGCTTTGCGAAGACTTGCTAGGGCTCTGAATTCATCGTAGACCAGTGAGACCACTTTCGTGAAATCTGATGTCGGGTTCGTCGTCTTGAATACACCAGTGCAGCCTGGAAGGCCTATGTTTTGCCTATTGGTGTCCGTTATGCTTATCGTTAGTCACGTTAGCGACGTCCTAGCGTGTGATGAAGTAAGGTAGTATGAATGAGGAGCGGAAGAAAACTCAGATATCTAAGCGTGGTAAGATTCTAAGTCATAAATGCAACCTCGACTATATGTTCGGAGTCGGAACTCATGATATTTGGTGAATTTTTACTTATTCCCTCTATAACCAAAATTGCGTTGTGCTTTACAACAGAGCAGTGCGCTATAACAGTACAAATTTGTGCTTGAGTTGTGAGTACAAGAAATTCTCTACTAAAGTAACATTTTGAAGGAGCCATGATTGAAATAAAGAGCCGATAATAATATCCAGAGAACACGTCGAATAGCAGATTATTTGGAAAGCGAAAGCAATAACAAGAACGACAGCGATGACCAGCGGATTCGACGACTAAATCTTCAGGAGGTGTATGGTCTCCAAATTTTTAACCAAGTCTTCTCTCCGCTAGTCCATACCCCACTGACAAGGTCCCACAAACCAGGCAAGAAGACATTGCCTATCGAAAACTCGGAATCCTGGACAACATGTTCCTCTTGATAAGGCATCGTGAACTCTTCCTTCAGCAGAGGTGTAGCGCTATGATCCATGAGAAGCTTACTAGCTCCGTGCATCCCGAATGATTCCGAGTCGCGGGTATCGAGTGATGGAGCTCCGGGAGACAGGCATACACCCGGGAAGAGAATTGGGCGAGCATCTGGGACAGTGATGAGATGAACAGTGGACTTGTCAACGAACAGGATGGATGCTATTAGAGATAGCAGAGGTAATTGCTCATTGTAGTCAGACGTGCGAGGGTGCAGTACGAGAGTGTCGATTGAATGTTCGGATTGGCTGGTTCGGTTGCCCAAGGCGCGACAAGCCTTCTCCATGGATGTGCTGTATGTATATGGAGTTTTATTTTCTCCCGACGGTCGACGATGCGACAAGCGCGGAAAATGAGGGTTCCTTAGTGCTGGTGGATGTCGGTCGTCAAACCGACCGGAATCCTCGAGGGGCGACATAAGAAAATCACTCTCGTTGTCGAGTTCCGTCGACCAATCCCATTCCCATTCCAGTTCATCAGAGTCGTTATCTGGTTCGCTACCCAGCCCCTGAATGTTCTCTGTGGGCGTCCTGTTCTCAGGCGTATAGTTTGGTGATGGGCTATGGCTAACACCGTCGAACCCCGAACTCGATAGTGATTCCGATCCCAAGCTTAGAGCAACTGATTCTGAAAGTTCGGTTGCCAAAGTTGGACTGGATGGAGCAGATGATGGGCGAGGGAAAATCCAGTCCGACTGTTGCGACGAAGGCGATAAGTGATTCTGATTCTGTCTATCTGTGGCACGATTACGGGGAGACTGGTATTTCGGGCGAGGTCGTGTAAGATACTGAGCCATGGTGGATGTAGCCTACTGAAACGGACTCTAGTGCTTACATTGAGGTCAAGACAAAATGAAAAGCGCGGAGGAAGATAAGCCACCGGCGCTGCTTCATTCCCAAAAAGGCAGGTCTGGCAGTTCAAAAGCAGAAAGAAACCCAGGTTGCCTGCCAACAGTCCTGTCGACTACGACCATCAAGTATTGAAGCAACCGTACGTCGTTCCCTCAATTATAATATAACGCGTGAGCTCCCCAGCCTTGTACTAAATATATGACGATAGACTTGTCCAACGGCTGTAGACGGACCGCCGCGTGAGGAGAGGTATCATGCTCGAGAGTCCGACTTCAGACGATTAACCACTCTCTCAGAGCCTCCATGTATTGAAGTCCCACTATCCTTAATTTCTGTTTCTTTTACCAGGAAATTATCATTATCTCTCCTCAACATAAAAATCTGCCTGGACGTGCTCTGGTTTCTAGCATCATGGGTTTCAACGCCCATGAATATGTTTTACCCAGTAAGCCCTCATCGGCTGCTACATAATTTGAGTCACTAATTGTTGTAAAACTCAACCAGGCGCTAACGCAGAAAAACTAGGGCTAGGAGCCGATCGTGTGCTCAATACTTGGCTGGCTTTCCAAGTGATTTCGGGTCATATAACATTACCAATTCTCGTCGCGACGTTTCTGTTCTCAAAATCTGTAAAGCGCCACTTTACCCTTGTTAATGTTTGCATAAGCTGGATACTATCTGGGATATCTTCATGCCTACTGTGGGTGTCGTCAGCTTGTTCCCCCCTGACTGTACAACATTGTAACACAGCCCCTTCTACCCGCTCAGTTTTTATGTTGGTGAAGAAAGGGGGGCAGAACCAAGTGAAGGTCTCTGTATTGCACAAACCTCCCTTCTTTATGGCACAACCCCAATGTGAGTGTACTGTACCTATTGATTTGGGCCATGACCGAATCATTCACAGGTGGGCAGTATCTATCTTGATGCTTGTCTATCATATCTGGGATTGCATAAATCCAAACATGGCAGCAACAACTTCAAAGAGCGTAGAAGCTATTAAATCAACGATCGTGAGATACGATTTGAATCTTCTGCGTAAAAAGCAGCTTTGACGGTTGTTTTTTCGGACAGCTTTTCGTTGCTCCCTATCTTACTCTAACGGTCTTTACAATATCAGCAGCATTCGTGATTATTCACTCAAACTCGTTATAATGCGCTGTCTCATGCTGTTAATCCTAGTTGTCAATTTTACATCCAACTAGAGTCAACCGTGATCGTCTCTTTTTCTACTGCTCCTTAGATTATAGTCCCTTGTGAGTGCTTCTAATGTCGAAGCGCCTTTTGACGTTATTCGACTGGGCTGATGCCGCTTTGTAGTTCAGACGCCATGCTGGGCTTTGTCATCGTAACATGCTTGGCAATCCTCGCCATTAAAGGTGATTACCATCCCCCCCTTTCTGATTTCTTGACTAAGGAAATATCGCATAGCACGACTTGCTGTCATACTTTACCGAAATTGGCGAGGTATCCGCCACGCTGGTTATGCAAGTAACATAGACGTGCAGCTTATCTTTCGAGTGCTCGTGTTTGGGGTATACGTGTGCCTGGGCCTCATGTATGTCGCTTTTCATCAAGCTATTGACTGTCCCAACTTGCGTTGATTATGTAGAGTGAGCCTCTTATCGATCAGCAATGCAATGTCCGCCTTTCCTAATATGTTTGCCGCTACCAGTGAGTTATAACACACCCTCGACAGTTTGTCACTGGTTCTCAAGCTTAAGACGCCTTTTCCTTAGTTGGTATAGTGATTTCCCTGTTGTTTGGAACACAGCACGTACGTCTCCTTTTTTACGTCTTGACATGTTCTCGAACTTTTGATCTCCTGTCACCGTGCCATATTCACCTTATCGCTTTGACAGGACGTGCTTCACGCATGGTTTTATTGGGTTCCTGTTCGCATTCATTTTGAGAAGAAAACTATATACTTCACACGGAATTGGAGTCCAAATTTCGAGATAATAAAGCCAAGCGTGGATACCAGCAAGCCGTTGCCTGCAATACCCGACAAAGTGCTCGTCATAGGCCGCTCGAATGAGCACGGTTTACGCTTGGATAGCGAACGTGCCATTCAGTCCATTGCATAGACAACTAGAACTCCTCGCATCGATCTCTCACTGTCGTTTCATGGGGATCAGGGATCCCAGCCTAACTGTATTCACTTTTCCCGTATCTCTTACTGTTATTATTATTCGCCTATTGGATATTTTGTAACCTTATCAAACAACAAAGGATGTACAGAGTTGTTATTAGAATACCAGTACAAATATTATCCCATTTGGACTAAGTAAACTCAAGACAATGAAAATGCAAGAGGCGATGAACACGAGTAAAGCATTAATGTCGTATTTCAAGCGCCCGCTGAAGCATATTTCATTTTCTCCAGCGCTACAAGACTTTCATCGGCCTGATCGATCATCCTTCGTACACTGTACACGACCCATGACATTGTTCCTGTGACGCTCCACCACACAGTCATTTGCCATGTTCTACCGGTCAGTATGCACAGAAAGGGAGGGACGGCTGAACAAATAAAAACATAGAAAAACGAGATGGGGAGAAATGGTGCAGCATCGGAGATAGTTTTAGATGGGGATATCAAGAGGGCCAGATTAAGATGGAGTAGTAAGGCGAGAACAGTGAGTAGAGAAGTAAATGGCAGCGGATGGTCTTGCTCCGAAGAAGTGGATGGTATAGCAGACGAGATCGGGTTCGACTCAGGATTTATGAGATATATAATTTCACTGCAACAATATGACACAGTCAGTCGAAACTGACATAAAGTATACTAAAGGTTCGACGTACAGTAGACAAGAGAGCCCAAGCATTGCTTGCAAGAGTATCCGGTGGCGTTGGTTCCAAGTAGAGTTTTCATCTTTAAGTCGTTGTATCACCTCTTCCTGTTCTAATATCATAGTATAACACGGTAAATGAGTAAACCAAAGGAGCAAGGTCAAGAAAAATGGGTACTCACCTTGTTCATCCAATATAACACGTTCGTCGCTTTCACTGGTCGAATCTGAGGCCATCTTGAAAGGTATCCTTTTTCTCAGTTCGCTCATACGTTCCATTTCGGCGCTGTTGAAGCTGACGCAAATATTTAGAAACTGTTAGAAAACGAATTGATTGAGGTGGCGTCCGAGTCGTTGCCGCACAGACACGATTGCAGTCGAGTCTGAGTTAATTTCTTGCATCACGTGACCTCTAATTATCGAGCTTTCGTAAATCGCGATCTATGAAAACAGATTGCAGCTTTGAAAAATTGAAAGTTTGTAAATTTTTCCTTGGACATGTCTATCAACGATAACATCGTAGAGGGTCAGTTTGAAGATGCGCCAGCTACAAATCAAAGCAACCCTGCGACCGATACGAGGCCAGAAGGTCCATTCATAGACGACGAGGCTTTGCTAGAATGGTCAGAAGATAGCTCTGAGGACGAGGACGAGGATCAGTTGAGTGGGGACGATTACGAGGATGATACGGCTGAGAACGAAGATTGGGAGATTGCAGAACGAGGTTAGCCTCCTTTCATATCACTCCACCAAGCAGCACCTCAAAACTCGACTACTGGGCAGATTTTACAAAACAGTTTAACCGCATCAGACAGCATGTCGCAGTACGCTCTGGGAACGCTCAAGGCGTTACTTCCTCAATCAACCGTAGCACGGTCGTCGCCACCCTTCCGGCCGTCAACCACCCCAAAAAGACGGGCACGAGCACTCAGAAAAGAGACAGGACCACAGATCAGCTAACGGCCCTCGCAAAATACTCATCCCGCATCGCCAAAATTGATCAACCGTATGTGATGGGTGTCGGCGTGAACAGGAAAGGACCAAGTTCGTACGCCAATGCCAAGGACAAGTCAGATAGAGCTACCTCGGAGCAAGTGCTTGACCCTCGCACGCGGATCATCCTATTCAAGATGATCGGACGGGGTCTCATCCAAGAAGTCAATGGCTGTGTGAGCACAGGGAAGGAGGTAAAATCTAATGTCTCACATCCGCCATCTCAATGATCTGAACTAGTCTCAAGGCAAATGTGTATCACGCGTCTACCCCCGAATCATCTCATCTCGCGCTCAAGATCTACAAAACCTCCATTCTCGTCTTCAAAGATCGCGATCGTTACGTGACAGGAGAATACAGATTTAGGAGGGGCTATAGCCGTCGCAATCCACGCAAGATGGTGAGATTGTGGGCGGAGAAGGAGATGCGCAACTTGAAGCGGTTGGTAGCTGCCGGTATCCACTGCCCGGAGCCACTCGAGGTGCGAGAAAATGTTCTTGTCATGACATTTCTAGGAGACAAGCAGGGTTGGTACGTGGATTCCACATTCCTAGATATACAAGCCTCTCATCCATTGCATCATCCTGTAGGGCATCTCCTCGACTTAAGGATGCTGACATACCAGCCTCGGAATATCCTGCGCTCTACACAGAACTCATCCTCAAGGTCAGGCGCATGTTCCACCAGTGCAAACTCGTTCACGCCGACCTATCCGAGTACAACATCCTTTATCACAACTCCCATCTCTACATCATCGACGTCTCGCAGAGTGTAGAGCATGACCATCCCTCCGCTTTCGATTTCTTGCGGAGCGATATCAAGAACATCGAAGAATTCTTTGGTCGTTATGGAGTTAAATGTCTCGGAATTAGGAGATGTTTTGAGTTTGTTATAAAAGAGAAATTGATAGAAGCGGGGGGCCAAGACGAGGACGAGGAGGCTGTTCTGTCGCGGTGGTTATCCGAAGCAGACATCGAATCAGCGGCATCGGATAGGGTTAATGAAGATAGTGAAGAGACCCACACAACCTCCGCCCAAGACGATAACGTCTTCCTCAAATCATATATTCCTCGCACACTGGACCAGGTGTATGACCCAGAACGAGACGTGGACGTTCTGGCATGCGGAGGGGGCAATGCTCTTATTTACGCAGATACGATAGGCTTGGTTGACTCGGCATCTGCAGCGGTTGACAAGTTGCGCGTTGGTGAGGACGAGGGATCAGAGTCAGAGGAAGATTCAAATGAAGATGACGATGAAGATAGCGAGGAGGCGGACGCTGACGATCATACCGCACGAAAACCCCGAGGGCATCGGCACGAGGACCGTGAAGCCAAAAAGGTACGTCAACTGTAAAACATAGCAGTCACAGAACTCAAACCGAATTTGGAATAGGAGCGCAAGAAAGCTGTCAAAGCTGAGGCTAAAGAAAAAAGGAAAAATAAGATTCCTAAAGCAGAAAAAAAGCGCAAGGTCAAATCCACGAGATCATAGCCCTCATTTCCATAGCATCAAAAATTCCAGCAATTTAGATTATGTTGTTCCGATAGAAGTAGTAGTACTCAGTACTCCTATGTACTTTTTCTTTTTTCTGGGGGGAGGGTATCGACAGAGTTGACTCGCATCGACATCATGCATCTGTAATACATCCATGGCTAGCATCCTGCACCGTCTTCACGTACTTGTAAAGAGTTCCCTGCTGCACTTTCAAAGGAGGTGCAACCCATGCATTTTTGCGGCGCTCCATCTCTTCCGGGGTAATATGCAGCTCGATCGAGTTTGCAACAGCGTCAACGGATATTATGTCACCATCCTGGACGAGTGCAATCGGCCCACCAACCTGAGCTTCAGGTACGACGTGTCCTATGCAGAATCCATGGGAGCTATATTTACGGGAGCTCGTTAGAAAATACGGATCAGAAAGCACAGAATGAAAAAATGAACAGACCCTCCGCTGAATCTCCCATCAGTGAGACAAGCAACGTCTTGACCCAATCCAGCACCCATAATTAGACTAGTCGGCTTCAGCATCTCGGGCATACCTACATTACCCCGTGAAATATCTTTTTCATCTCATCAATGATGAGTGCTTACCAGGACCACCTTTCGGACCAAGGTACCGCAAGACAACGACCGTCTTCTCGCCCTGCTTAATGGAGCCACTCTCTACAGCCTCGACAAAATCGTCCTCCGTGTCAAAAGCGCGCGCTTTACCAGTAAATTCAAGGCCTTCCTTGCCCGTGATCTTCGCAACAGCACCTCCAGGCGCCAGATTTCCCCGCAAAATGCTGTGCGACGGATCTTTCATCAAGCCGTCATGAAGAATAAGGTTTTGTTTGGGACGTTACCGTAAATGGCCGGTCTCCTTGATGGGCTTATCCAATGGTCGGATGACATCTTGGCTAGGAGAAAGTTCGCCGTACTGGTGCGTCCATCGTTCGAGGTTTTCACCCAATGTTTTGCCCGTCACAGTCATGTTGTCGCCGTCGATCATTTTGTTTTTGAGAAGGAAGTGAAGAATCTCTACAAACACACGGAGGGCACAGTTAAAACGAAGCTTTGGGGATAAAGCACTGGGTGACTTACTGGGTATACCACCTAGTTTGTAAACATCCTCCATTACATACTTCCCACTTGGCTTGATATCAGCCAGGAAAGGCGTGCGTTCTGATACACGAGCAAAGTCGTCGAGGTCCAATTTTATGCCCACAGAATGAGCCATAGCAATCAAATGTAGCACGGCGTTCGTAGAGCCACCCAGGATCATGACCAAGACCTGTCAAAGAATCCATGAAATACACGCCTTCCAGTCCACATCAGACACGTACCATCGCATTCTCAAATGCAGAACGCGTCATAATGTCTCGAGGAAGGATGTTCTTTTCAAGGAGATGGCGCATGGCGCTTCCTACAGCTTTACACTCATCGTGCTTTTCTTGAGATTCAGCTGGGAACGACGAAGAACCCGGGAGCGTCATGCCCAACGCCTCTGCAGAACTGGCCATCGTATTTGCGGTGTACATCTGCAGAATGGATGAGTGCATTTATCGGTGAGGGAGTGATGCAAGCTTACGCCTCCACAAGCACCAGGTCCGGGGCAGGCGTGTCGGACGGTATCGTACCGCTCTCTCTCAGCCTGCACCGTCTTGCCATCTTGCAGGTATTTTCCATACGCTTGGAAAGCTGAGACGAGGTCGAGCTGGGGCATCCCACCACATGAACCTGCTCGGATAGTACCACCGTACACCATCAGCCCTGGTCGGTTCAATCGCCCAACTGTGATATACATAATATTAAGTAATGCCACAATTGATGATGATAATAATAAACAACACGAAATGTACATACGCGCCATTAGAACACCAGGCATGTTTTTGTCGCATCCGGGGACTACGACCATGCCGTCTAGCCAGTGACCACCGGCGGCTGTCTCGACCTGATCTGCAATCAAGTCTCGCGACTGTAGGGAGTATGACATTCCCCGTGTACCCATACTGATACCATCGCTAACGCCTACTGTACCGAATTGGTAGCCTATCAAGTCGGCTTCGTAGAGGGAGCCCTTGATTTCTTGTCCCAAGCCAAGGAGATGACGATTACATCTGAGAGGTAGCTATTGAAGGAGAGGCTGGTGTGCGAATATGAGTGTGCTTACGGGTTACCCTCGTACCTACGTTCGTGAGCTATGCATGTTCGGCCGAAAACACCACGTCGTGACTCACCAAACGCTAGCTACGCCCACCATAGCCTTGTTGAAATCATCGTCGCTCTTGATACCTTCAGTGGCATAAAGCATAGCCTACGGCACCGTCAGAATCAAGATGCATTCCCCCATGAGCAGGAAAAGGGGAAATGGGCGGACCCACCTGACTTGCACCCTGAGCCTTGGGCTGGGTGACTGTCTTGCTATAGCGATTCATGACAGGTTTGTCGTCGCATCTCGTGCTAGTTGACCAGAACGACCTGGAAGAACCTGCGATGGAACGCCTGGAGGACTTTGTGATGAGCCTTGATGATTGCATTCCTGGCAAGAAAACCGTGACTCGGACTTGAACAGGAAAAAGAAAAACTTGCAGTTGGGGATGCCTAATTGGGGCAATTGCTTATATAATCCGGAGTGGGCCGTCGATGCCGTTATCCAAGAAGCCCTTCGGAACTGTCCATTTCGGTAATAAATAAATAAAAAGTAAGAACGAGCGTCAATACATTGCAACCTCGCAAAGTCTGCGATGCAGTGATACGGCACTTGTGCATGTGATAGCAACGGAAGGTTTGCAGGACGGAACTTGCAGTTCCTTTTTTGCTTTGTCTCCATGGGCTTTTTTTTTTTGTGGAGAAAGGGCTCAAATGGACGACGGATTCGAATTCGAAAGCGGGCTGGCTAGATCAGTATCCGCGCCTAAATGTGTTCATGTGATCCCGTATCGCAGAAATATAAACTATATTATGACCACAGCGACATGACACAAACACTCAAAGCAACTTATCCCTACCAGTCCACCATGCTCGTCAAACGTCGTGTCAGGGCTGACAGACCCAAACTCACTCGCCTTCTCGTCATCGCAAGCAGGCGTTTAGACTATGGAGGGGACGTTACCATTCGACAGGTCCATACGCGACATATCCGGAAGCGATTCCAGGGAAGGCACGACACAAGGCCCGCTGCCCTGTGCCGCCCATCAGATTGCAAAGAATGTACTCAATCATCCATCATCATATCATAGTCATCACATATAACCTTTGCGATGCGGCAGTGGAAGATTCTCTCCCGGCGATCGTGTTTCACTTTTGTATTAACTAAAAAAATAAGCTAGTCTGACTCTAACGGTTAAAGTATGAATATGAAGTATGATGATGTCGTATTTGAGGCTGAGCAGCTGAGCACTGCAACGAGGGGCTCACACGAAACAGCACAAGACCCTCCACATTGACAACAGACTGGCAGTCCGACAGTAGCAGCAATGCTTGACAAGTCCTCGATCCAGCGGAGATATTCCAGACTAACAAGTGCATAAAGCAATCCAATCAAAATGTTTTTTCATATATAATTTTCTAAAAAAGGGGCACCCCTCTTTTGAAAAAATGTCGCAAAAATCTAGTACCGGGTGTGTGTGTGGTGCATATGATATAGGTTGGCTAGATAGAAACGCGTCTCCGTCCGTCCGTCTGTCCGTCTCCGCCCATCTCCAAGCCAGAATATTGGACCCAATGGCGACAAAACAAATACAAAAGCGATATGGTCGCCATGATGTAGTATATGGTATTTGTCCGCAATACGTGCTGGTAAGTGATGTTGAATGATCGTTAGTCCCCCTCTCCTTTGTCGAATGGCGGGCAAGGAAGGGAAGGGGTGGCGATCCCGTTCGTATCGCCACATCATTATTTTTTTTCGACCCACCAAAAATAAAATTGTTTCCGTCCGTTCGTTTCCAGATCCCAAAAAAAAAAAAACCAGTTCCCCCCCTCTTTTCCCAAAAAAAATAAATCTATTAGCACAAACCGGGAAAAAAAAAAAAGGAAAAACATCCGCTACGGGGGTTGCACTGGCAATACCCCCCCTCCGCCCCCTTTGCCTCTACACTTCCCGCCGCGTCCCCCCCTCTCTCAGTTTCACTCCCCTTCCGGAAATCTGGGCGATCTGCGAGGGGATCCCGGCAAAAAGACTTGGGGGGTCGAATGGATCCATTTCATGTATGAACTCCCGATTTTCGACGAAAGCGCAGGAAAGGAAAGGAAAGAAAGTAAGCAAGGGAAGAAAAAAATTGCCTCCATTCTTGCTCTCGCTCCTGCTCTTGCTCCCGTCCAACCACCCCACCCGCACGCAGACAGACGCGATCATACGTCCTACAGGGGAGTATATCAGCTCCCCCCTCCCATGTGTGCTGCGTTCCATTTCATCCCCTTTCTGCCCCCCTCTTAGAGCTTGCCTTTAACGTTTGTGTCCAGTGTGTGTGTGTGTGTGTGTTTGAGACGAGACGATAAGCTCGACTGGATCTGCTTGGTAATAGGGAAGCGAGAAGCGAGGTAATTAGGATTAGGATATAGGATTTAGGAAGTTACGAAAGATCGACGGAGGTGCGAGTGCAAGATAATGGCAAGCCCGAATGAGGATGAATATCAGCATCATCCACACCAACGTCCACAACTACATCCACACCCACACCCCCACCAACACCCACAACAACAAAGACAACAACAGCAGAGCCACAACGATCATGGTCCCGACGACGACGACGACCTCCCCACCCGCCGAACGAGCAGCTCCCTCCCCAGCACCCTCCAACACCTCCTCTACACCGGCCCTCTCGAGCATCAAGGCCAAGGCCAAGTGCAAGGACAAGGACAAGTACCACAAAGACGAGAAGCACAAAGACAAGAACCACAGCACGATCAGCAGCTAGGAGCCCCACACTACCGTACGGACAACCCGTCTCTCCACAGCGATCAGCTCCCGTTCGCGCCGTCGCCGTCGCCGCCGAGGTTTGGACCGGCCGTGTTTGATTTCGAGTCCTCAGCGTCGGTGTCGGCCTCGAGGCGTGAGGATCGGGTGGTTCTGCCTGTGCCTGTGATCCAGCAGCACAGGGAGAGTGGGGGCGGTGGGGGGAGGTACCAGATGATGCTTGACCACACGCACCCGCACCCTTCGGCTGCGTCGAGATCTAGGCGAGCGAACGATCAGTATCAGTATCAGTACACAGCAGAGCCGTCATCCTCGTCATCCTTGTCATCCTCCTCTTCTTCCATTCTCCATGGTTTTAGCCACGCTGCTCGGGGTGCGGGCGGGCACGGGCAGCAGCATTATGAGCCTGGCACGCGGGCGCCGCAAGGGTACGGTGGTGCTAGTGCTAGCTATATTTCACCGCCCCCGCATGCGACGCCCTACTCGTATCGCCCGCCAGGACAGTCGGGCACGCCGTTACCGCTGCACTCTCGCGCGAGAACGGGCGCAGAGGGTGAAGAGCTCGGGGACATGTCGTCTCCCCCTCATGCGACGCCCTACTCGTACCGTCCGCCAGGACAGTCGGGCACGCCGGTGCCGTTGACGTTGTCGGCTATACATTCTCGTGCGAAGGCGAGTGCGGATGTGGAGGGGGGGGAGGGGAGGTGGAGTCGGAGCTCGTCACTGTCCAATCAGAGATCTTCGAGTCCAGTGACGAGAAGGCCGAGGTTGGGATACGATGAATACGCGTCGGGCACACATTCTCGGTCGATCCCCGATACTCGGTCGCTATACAGAGAAAGAGAGGCAGAGGGCGAGGAGGGCGGAAGGGCCGTGACGGATTCGACGACTGTACGGGAGAGTCCTGTCCCGCGTGAGTGATGGTGAAAGACAGAGAGTGGATGATGATATTAACGTTTTTTGAAAGTAGCGTATTTAGAGCCTCGACGGCAATATGGCACGCCGTATCGACTGCCAGAGCTGCCACCGCTGGCGCAACCCCGTCCGCGGTCGTACCCGTCATGCTCTACGGACAGCGTGGGTGAGAGTGAGTCGTGGAATGCGATCCGTCAGGGGGCTGCATTCCCTGCGAGTTATGCGTCGAGTTCGAACACGCTTCCGCCCCTGAGTGAGGTGCTGCAGAGTTTCGACCGGGATGATCTTGGAGTGTTTCTTCCTGTCCCGCCGACGATGGACCCACAGGCACTGCGGGATGATGTCCAGCCAGAACCAAAAGCAGCTGTGCCAGGATCATCAAGACAGGGAAGTGGGCGGAAGAAGAAGGGGAAGCGAGATGCCGAGTCTGAAGGGGACGAGGAGCGGCCCAAAAAGGTAGCACGTAAGGCGTACCTGGCGTGTAATTTCTGCCGAGGTGAGTCTGCAGTACATTATGATAAGGGTTGATTGACGGTTGGGAGGCAGCACGGAAGCTCAAGTGCGATACGAACACGCCGTGCTCGAGCTGCAAGACACGGAATCTGGAGTGTGTGTACAAGGACTACATCCGACGGCGTGGGCCTGGCAAGGCTCCGAAGGGGAGTCGTGCGAAGAAGGGGGAGGGGACGCGTCCGAAAATGGCGGAGAGGGGGGTGAGCTCGACGGAGTGGGAGGAACACAAGGCGTTTGCACCTGAGCTCGATGTGCCGGCGAACGTGCGTCCGTTTGGAGAGCTGCGGACAGAGCAGCCCCCTGAGTACACGCCGCGACCGAGTGCGAGCCACCGCTCTGGTGCAGCGATGGGGCCGATGCTGTTCTCGACGATAGGCGAGCGAGGGGAGAGCGAGGAGGAGGGGGACGAGGAGGAGGGGGAGTGAGGACGTCGTGTGGCACGGCGAGGAGGCAGGTTGAGCGGGTTACGTACGGTTGCCACGGCGGTTGTTCTGTGTTTTCTGTGAATGTTCTGTGTGTTCTGTGTATGTTTCGAGTTCCATGTCAGTTATGTTCTTTGTTTCCAATGTCAGTTCTGTAGAGCCTAGTAATTGCGATAATAAAATAAAGACCCGATTGGCTCGGTGGGAGTAAGAGAGACTCGGCTCCGTGTCTGTTTATCATCCCCGCGCTTGCCTCGCGGGCCACCCTCGTTCTGTTCCCCCGTCCGTCCATCCCGCTCCCCCCCCCTCCATGGACAACACCGACCACACCCTCAAACGCGACGACGACGACCGCTCAGCACTCCTCCTCAACCTCGCAAACAACAACCACATCCATTTCCTCAACGGCCTCAACACCCCCCTCAGCGGCCACGATGTCTCCAACGGAACACCCAGCGGGTACACCCTCATGGTCGCTGGCAAAAGGTCCGGTAAAACTTCCTTTCTCCGTCTCCTCCTCGACACAAGCATCATCTCCCCCGCCGCAACAAAAGACCAGCTCGCCTCCGTCGCAAAATTCGTCCAGGGCTCAAGCGGACACACCTCCCACATACGCACCGCATCCATCAATATCGACAACGACATCGACCAGAACCATCCAAACCACAGGCTCACCCTCACCCTCGTCGACACCCCCTCCCTCGACTTTGAAGATGATCCCTCCTCCGAGAGACTCGTCTTGGAGATCCTCAGGCATGTAGACTCTAGATTTGCAGAGGGCATAGAAGACGTATGTCCATCTCTCCCCCTCCTTCATTCCTCCATCTCGCTCTCATATCCTCACTCTCCTCTTTTTGCTCAGGAGTGGAAGGCTCAGACTGGCGACCACCATATCCATTTGTGCGTAGTCAAGACGGGCGCTTGATTGTCGTCGTCATCTCAAACTGACCCACGGACCAGGTGCATCTATTTCTTGGATCCAGACGTTATAGTCCCTCCATCTGTACCTGGACCGCCTGCCCCGCTCGTCCCACGAGCCCGTACTAACAGCTTTTCCCAGCCAGAACCAGAACCTGTCATTCTCGAACCACCAGTCACTACAAATCCCCTTTTATGTCGTCCCACCCTCCCTCCAGCTGAAATCAGCACCATCCGTCGTCTCTCAGCCAGAGTAAACGTGTTACCCGTCATAGCCCGCGCAGACACGTTGACTAACGACCGTCTAGCCGCTGTCAAAATGGCCGTCCGCAGAGACCTCGCCGAAGCCGGGATTGGCTTCGGTATCTTTGATATGGACACACACCCCCAGTACCAGCATCGAAGGGATGCCCCCGAAAACTCTGTCCATCCTCTAAAAGGTGAACTCGCCAACGGATACGGCTCTCATCCCAACGGATCCTCTCCCTCTGGCCATCCCTCGCCTCCCACCTCGCCTGCTACGCCCTCCTTCCTGCGACTGCCATACGCGCTCATTTCTCCCGATATTTATTCTCACAGCGATGGAGTGGCTAGGGTGCCCCTGTCACGCCACGAGCTCATCCAGCAATACAATCCTTCCTCTAACCAGCCTTCCACCTCTAAAATTCACAGGGGCAAGTTCATCCGTAGCTATCGATGGGGATCTATGGACGTCTTGGACTCGATGCACAGCGATTTTCTGCCCCTTCGAGCGGCCATCTTTCACCACATGGAGGTATGTTATTTTTTTTTACCATATATAGACATGTGTGTTCTCAACGTGGTTTCTAGACATTGCAAAAATATACCAAAGAATATCTCTTTGACAAATTCAGGAATGAATATATGATGCAACACCACGCACACCAGTCTCTTGCACACCAGATACAGCAAGGTATAGTATCGCGGGCTCAGCTTCCTGCCCTTTCTCATGCGCCTCGCCCCACATTGGCGATTGACACGACTCCCCACGGGAACATCAATCGCCACCCCCCACTCCCCGTGTCTCGTGACGTACCTGTGAATGCAGACATCCGTGCCATGCCTATCTCCAGATCCATGCAGGAGCCCATCCTCCCTTCTGCTGGTCAAAGCAAGAGTTCGTCGGGTGCTCGTGAGTACACGTTGGGTTACACTGTTGCTCTCGCTTGACATTTCGACAGGCTCCTCTAAGCAGAGGCCAAAAAAGATCACTGTCGCATGCAACTTTTGTCGATGTAAGTGCACGTCTAAAGTCTGCACCTCTGCTCACCAGCGTCCCCAGCTCGAAAACTCAAATGCGACGGAGGACGGACGCCCCGCTTGCAGCCAGTGCGTCAAGCGATCCAACCCCTGCGACTACATGCCCCAAAACAACAAGCGGCGAAGCACGACGCGTCACCGCAAACAGGGTGAAGAGAGCGACTCTGAGGGCGGGAGCGGGGACGGGCGATCTGGGGACGCCGACGACCCCTCGCTCTCGCCCGAGGTGCCCTCCCAGCCCTTGTCCCGTCGGAGCTCCAACGTCGATAAGCGACACCAAGAGGCATTTTCTGCCGCCCTCGCTAGCAGTGGCAGTGCCTCTGATCGACGCGAGACGGCTGCTCTCCCTGGTATGCCGGTTGTCGCTAGGGCGAAATCGAACATAGGAAGCTCCTCGGCGGTGGATGGGAGGAGCTTGTTCAAGGATAATGAGCTGCCGCATATAGCGACGTTGGCACTGCCTGATACATCACCAACAACAGGTCTCATCTCGGGCGCTCCGCTCCCCCCTATCAGGCCTGCTTCCGAACAGCAGGCCGCTCAGCGAAAACGGGCGTCTACGATCCCAGGTAGGAGTAACCGCCAGACGTCAAACGCGGGTCCCAAAGTTGTGGCGTGCAACTTTTGCCGAGGTAAGTGTCTGGTGATGCGTGAATGTATGTGTATGAACATCGTTGCAGCTCGCAAGACCAAGTGTGATGGTGCGCACCCTGCGTGTTCTAGTTGTGCACGCAGGTCTTTGCCTTGTAATTACAACCACGAGTCGAGCGCCCAGAACGGCACTGCGCAGAAAAAGGGGGGTCGGCGTGCCTCTACGTCGAAAGCAGGTCCTGGACCAGGCTCAGACAACATCTCCCCTCCGACCAACTCGCCTCAATCGTCTTCCCAACTGCAATCTAGCGGAAACGACTCTCGGTTTAGTGCGAATGGGCCGACGACGATGCAGGGTGGGAGCGCTATGGAGCAGAATGAGGGAGATTTGAAGAGGAAGATGGATGATGATGAGGCTGGACAGCTGCAAAAGAGGATGAGGGTCGATGACTCTTCTGGTGGTGGTGCCATACCCTGAAAACGCCCCTTGCACCACCATTCCCCCACCCCGCCGATTTCCCCAACGCCATTCATGCCACCGCCCAGCCATGCGCTGAATAAACTGGACTGTAGAAATCAAACCCATTTGTCTGTATATGCTGTCCTTTTGGAATTTGTGTTGTCTTTTTTCTTTTTCTTTTTTCTTTCAGTTTGGGTTATAGCAACGTGTGTGTGTTTTGTGCATCGGACTGTACTGTATTTTTTTTCTCGTTTTTCTTTCGGGTGTCTATTGTTCGTATTTTCATTTTTTTTTCACTACAGCTATCGATGTTTTTGTATGTAACCTTTGAAACCTTTCTGATACATGTTTTGCACCAACGGAAATGTTGACTTGAATACCGGTCATTGCCGCGTCGCGACTGTGGACGCGTTTTTGGCGGTGAGAAACCAAAATACACTGACAAAGTCTCATTACTGCCTTTTGCTCAGAACATTGCTAATCTCTCCACTCACACGTTCCTTATTTCATTTGTTTCCATAGCTTTTGCCAAACCTTGCGACTCTCTTAACTCACTCTTCTGCTATGTTTTCTTCCTTTCGAAGGAGGCCAAAAGCAGCAGACATCAATGGACGAGACACGATAAAGCCTTCGCCGTCGCTCCCAGAACTACATGCACAGGGTATACCATGGCCTGAAAACCTCGTCGACGTAGCTGCCATACGCCAACAAACCTCCCCGTCCCTCCATCAATCCCAGGAAGACAGCAGCCGCCTCCCCCACCAAGGCGCCGTCAAATCCTCGCTGCAGTCCTCCGACAGTGGTGCCCCGATCCCATTCCACAAACCGTTTCGGGTGTACTCAGGGAACGCGGGAGATGTGACGCCGAATGGGGGCGGGACGATATCGTCGTTGTATATGTCGCATCCGCCCTCTGCGTTTGATAACTGGAGGATGTCGTCCTCGGCGCACCGCGTGGCCTCTGCGCGCATTGCGCCCAGTCTGCGCAAGAACCGGCTGCCTTCGACGTTTAATATCATGGTGAGTCTCGTGATAAAGGGGCGTTGCCTCTATCACTGCTGCGATGGGTGTGGGGTATGGGGGGTGTGGAATGAACGAATGTTCTGAAATGGCTTTTGTTTTTAGGTTGTGGGCGGGCGAGGGACGGGAAAGACGTCTCTGCTGCGTCTCCTCCTCGAGACGGCCGATATATCACCAACAGCGACAGACGACCAACGAGCCGTCGTCGACCGATTCATGCGCGACAGCCTCAAACGCACACACCACATCGACACCGCCTGCGTCGAAATTTGCGAGTCCCGCCACGACAGGGTGTTGCTCACCGTGATCGACACGCCAGGTCTTGATTTTAGCGAGGGCAGAGAGCTGAGAGTCGAGCGTCAGGTGACGGATATTGTGAAATACCTTGATGTGCAGTATGCGGATACGATGAATGAGGTGATTAGAACGCTTTTTTTGTGCATCAGTGATGATGATGATGGTGTTTGTTTTATTTTGGAACTGATTGACTTTTTGTTCATAAATATTTTAGGAATCGAAAGTGGTGAGACAGAATAAAGGCGATCGACATGTACATCTGTAAGTCCCCCTTTGCTTTACTTGGTGATGTTATGTGAATTACCTATTTCTTTCTAGTTGTATATTTATGGTAGACCCTTCGACTATCATGACTACTTCAGCCCGACGTTCTCAGTCGTCACTACCCACCAAAACTCGCTCAGAGGCTACCATATCCTACCGCCCTCCAGACGGCACGTTCGAACCAGACGAAGGATCCGACTCAGACTCAGAGTCCTCTTCCGAACTCTCCATGTCCCCCGCCGAAATCCGCGTCATCCGTCGCCTCTCGGCTCGCGTGAACGTGCTCCCCGTCATCGCTCGTGCAGACTCACTCACCGACGACACGTTGTCCGAGGTGAAGAAGGCGGTGAGAAAGGGGCTACACGAGGCTGGCCTTGACTTTGGCGTCTTTACCGCATCGAAGCAGAAAGGCGAAGAGGGGGAGAAGGGGCTTGTGAATGGGGTTGGACATGAAAATGGAAGTGCCAACGCGAATGCGAATGGAAATGAGGTGGCGAACGGGAGTGGGAGTGGTAATGGGAATGGCCATAATGGACATGTAGCTAGCGAGGAGGAGCCGGCTCGAAAGACGCGTCCAGTCATAAAACTACGAGGCTTCCGCCTCTCCCGATCTCGATCACGCTCACGGAGAGACTTGTCGTCAGTCGTACACGATGACAGCGAACCATACTACCCCGATGACACAGATCGAGAAAGCGTAGCGAGCGTTCGGTTCTCGGCACACGTCGTTGCGAAAGCAGACATGAACACCCTCCTGCCCTTTGCCCTGATCACGCCTGAGCATTCAAGCACTCCACGGCCCAAGCGACCACGGCCTACGTCTGTTTCTAGTAGTAAGTACTCTGCAGCTTCTGTCTCGAGCGCATCGACGCCTTATCCGACGGAATCTCCTTCATCACCTGCCACTCGGAAATCGATGCTCCTATCAGGCCCACCGGAGGACCTCAGGGGCGTGTTTACGAGGAAGTTCAGGTGGGGGACTATTGACGTACTCAACCCGGAACACTGCGATTTCGCAGCGCTCCGAACAGCTGTTCTATTGACTCATCTCAAGGTGATTGTTAATTTCCCCCTTCTCTCCCCTTTTTGTTCTTTTTGGAGATTTTGTTTTGGGGGTGGCTTCTTTTCTGGGCTGCGCAGTTTCGTTAATGAGCCTGGGCTTTTCTATCAAACTATAGATCCTCAAGATCCATACTCGTGAGGTGTTGTACGAGAAGTACAGGACCGAAAAGTTGCTGGCTAGGCGTGCGACACGTAACATTGGGCCGGAAGAGACAAAACGGTTGTTCGAAGGTGCGTTCTAACTCCCTTCCTCCCTCCCCTTCTGGGGCCTGTAGCGAGGCAATTTGATTCGGCTTGATGGTTGACGGGTTCGTCGTGTTTACAGATCTAGGATTATAATTTTAGAAAATCTACACACTGGCATCTATTTTATCTTTCCGGAGAATACCCCCGCCCCTCCTCTCCTGTCTGTCTTTTTGACATATTTCATACTTTGTTTCATTGTACTTCTTAGCTTCTCTGTCACAACCCTGCTTTGCCAGGCTGTGAGGCGTGTTTGTTCTGCGTACGATCTATGATTTCAGATATCTTTCATGTTGTCACATTCTTCCTCTTCCTTTTTTTTTTGGATCAAATCTCTTAGCCGATTGGATGCTACCCCCTCCTTTGCTCTTTATCCCCCTCCCCTGTGTTGTGTGTTGTCGACGTGTTTGTGCATGTACGTACCCATGCTTCCTCAGTGTGCTCTCTCATTAGCAGATACCTGTTGTTACAAGAACATACTCGTCTTGATGAGCTCTGTTAGTGGCTACGAATGTGGGACCCTAGTAAAAGTTGGTGTACAAGAATTATGGGGAAAACTTGAAGATGGTTGAATAGGTGAATAAGTAAATTATTTCTGAACATCCAAAGGCTACAGGGAGCTTCTCTTACTCCCCTTTCGCCAGTTTATCGATTTCCTCTTGAGACATGCCGTCCAACCTGCGCAGCAGGTAGTCGACCTAGGGGTGTCAAATAAGTTCAAGAAGCCATCAAAGACAAGACAGGGGTGGAGGAGCCGAAGGCATCAACATCAAACGTACCTCTACCTCCTTGGTCAACGGAATGATGTAACTCTCATATAGATCCACGACGCCATCGACATCAATCTTGGCAGACCCATTAAGATGCGACCCATTGATAAGTTCACCATCAGCCGCAAAGTCCTGTGCATACGTCGCCGCTTTCTTCCGAAGCCTCTGCAGCAGCTTCTTCTCCACCTCTGGCTTCGTTATGAGAGCCTCCAGGGCTGGTCCGTTGGGCTTGAGGATGTGGGGTATGAACGCGGCCGGGTTATCGACGAATTTGGACTCTGAGACGAATTTTCCTGTAAAAGAGATGTGATAGTTTAGTCATTTGGGTTTTTTTGTTCGTTGTCAGGCAAAGGGGAGAGGGGGATCTCAACTTTGGCAAAACCTGTACTGGGACAGATTGCCATCATGAGATGATTGAAGACTTTTTGTGCTTACCGTAGTGGACCCGTTTACTGATGGCTTGGAGGATTTCGACGTCTATTGTGGCCGCGCTTCCGTAATTTCCGTCATCTTCGAACTCGTCATCGCCGACGATACCGTTTGCGCGTTTCTTGACTGCCAAAGCGAGAGTTGCCCTTCGTGTTATGCGAGGGACGATGGAGCGGGTGTAGAAAGACTGTATGGAGGGGTTCACGTTGATGTCGTTCTTGTAGAGGATATTTGGGAAGGCGAGGGGGGGCAAGACTGGGGCGGGGAGATCGGAGGAGAAGGGGTATTCATCGGGGCTTTGAGGTGGGATGGTGATAAGAGATTGAATGTGAAGAAGTGAGAAGGATTACCTGGAATAACGACGTGCTTTGGCTGAAAAGAAGAGTGAGCTGAGAGCTATGTATAGCCAAAGGAGAGACAGACCATGGAAGACTTCTGTTTCCTTGAGAAACCATTCGAGCCAACTTCCATCAAAGCCCAAGTCCTTGAGTTCAGAAAATGCACCGCGAATGTAGATCTTTGGATTGTGAGCGAACTGGGCTCGTTCGATCAGATCAAAGATAATGGTGTCCTCGAGGCGGACGAGGATTGATCGTATCCTGTCCAGAGAAAGAGGGTCACCCGCCAACATAAAGTTCTGTTGCTGCATTTAGAGACACGCTGTCAAGGAGAATGATGAGGAGGGGGGGGTATGTCGTTGATGTCGAAATCGAAGCTGATGGAAAGGTGGGAGGGGGAAAGAGGGAAAGCGCCTGTATGAATAATGGAGTATAAGGAGGGCAGTGATAGCAGAGCTTGATGGGCCGCCAATCACCCAGATAATTATTTATCGGCCGATCCGGAGCATCGTCTGCATAGTTTTCTGAATATGCACCCGTTCTTGCGACATCCAAATGTTCTATTCGCAACCACAGCTAAACCGAACATCCTCGCTGTCGCCCCCATCCATGGCCCTCGTCGTCGCCCGTGTCGCCGCCTTCCATGCGAGTGGCCACTGGTGCGTTTCACCTGAGGCCGTCGTCGTCCGCCTTTGGGCTGGCTGCATTGGCCCTTTCTTTCGTCGACCTCGGAAGACAAAAATCTAATCAGATGGATGAGAACCAGACCCGTGGGCTGCTGTGTGAAGCATTCTCGAGTCTGAGTTATTTCGAGATACAGATTCGTCTTAACCGTTATCGACATGTCTCCCCGAGATATTTGCGTATCTACCACTCACTCAAGGGCCAGTACGATCTCCACTTTCCATTTCATCCATCAGCTTATTACGGTCATTTGAGTGTCTAATGTGCGCTCTAGGACCTATGCGTACGTAGTACTGCCCGTACAGGCATTGACAATGGCACTGTAAAGGATCACGGTGACCTTGGAGTGATTCTGGTATAGTGCGACTCCGAGGAGGACCGTGGTGTCGAACGTCTTCTCTCGCCTTTCTGGTTCCATCCTTACTTCACTCGACTCCGATCCTCATTTCACACAGTGACAATCCTCCGTCCGTCTTTCGACATTTTCGTAAATCACGTATTTCTAGAAGACCCGTCTCGGGGACGAGAGCCATCACGATCACGGTGAATCACCACCTGCCCCCTGAATCCCCTGATATACTCAGCTACTACGTACTACACCTGTGGTATTTCCAGTAGCCCTCCTTCGTATTCCCTCGCAATGAGGCACGGCGTGATTCAAGCGTGGACAGCTCCGTCCGACACCCACTTATCGCCTTATCAGATTGCTTCCCTCCGAAGGACGTTCTCGATAACACTCCGACGCGAATGTCCGAACGATCATCATCCAGTCATGATTTCGCGAAGACCTCCCACGAACCCAGCTTTGAGGGTTCATATTAACTGCCCTATTCGTGCAAAATGGTGCTTCGTGATGGCCATCGACAGTCGTCGCTGAGAGACGGTGGCGTTCCTTTTCTCAGGAACTATTTTAAAATCCGAGTTCGAGGCACCACCAACGCTCCTCGTCAAATTCGCACAAGCTGGAGCACACCGAGCCGTACTATTGGATCGTCACGTTCCCTTCGACAGGTTTTCCAGAAGGAATAACGCAGGCTGACTGATGCACGGACGGACGGACGATGGTGGTTCGCAACCACTGATTTACGACATCCTTCCAGAACGAAGGGGATACCGCAAACGCGAGATTCTGCGATTCTATCTTTTCTATCTTCTCCGTTGCCAGTGGCGCCGGGAATCCACAGGGATGGTTCGCAGATCGTGCTTCTCAGGACTGCACCTCAGCCCACAAAATCAGGGACTAGCGTATCACTATCTATTTGTGGGTATACGTTGCCTTTTATCTCTTGCCCTTTTCAGTCCCGGCCCGGGGCACCCTAGCTTCCCGGTTTGGTGTAACACGAGACCTTTTCTCGACGTCTTCAGAATTTCGAGAAATGGTATTCCAAGTGGCTTTGTCGTTGTCATTGTAGTACAAGAATGCCATCATTGTCTCTTGATAGCATACTAAAGCAAATATGTTACATATCAATATTTGTTAAACCATGAAATTACAATTTCTCACCTTGCCTTCACCAAAGCTTTACACTCCTGCATGCGATCATCGATGTGTTCTTAATCAGGCTGCACTACGATCCTCCATACGATGACGACAACGACGGCATGAACAGTGCTACTAGAGTAATCCAATTCACTTACCTTCTGTCTTCTGCAAATCAGTCGAAAGTCGCATGACATAAGACACATTGCCAGTGATGACCATGTGATCAAACACCTACAGTGCACCCATGATGCGCTGCAAATGTTTGATTAGGTCCTCTCCACCGCTTTTGTTACTGCCATGAGGTCGATTTGACGCCCGCACTCTGAATTGTTCGGCGGATCCACCGCTCTTTGGGCTCGGAGCCCCTTCAAATAAAATAAGCAGGTTCAGCGCTGCTTTGACGACGCTGTGGGTGAATGACAAGTACTTGAAACAATTTCTTCAAGCTCAGTTCTTCAGAAAGAAGTGAGTGGATGCGGCGTAAAAAAGACAGGTAGTGAGATACATCGTTTTCAAAAAATCCAGCGCGGGAAAAGGAGACGGTGAAAGCACCTTGAGGCCCGTAATGGCAAAATCAGCGACGGTCCCGGTGGAACTGGTACTCGATGCAAAATACACAGACCGCTGTGACGAACTAAATGGTAGTGAGAAAGCGTCACTTGATGATGTGGATGGGGATGAGTCCAAAGGGTAATGAGGTGATATGGACAGATGTGACGAAAACTGGACATTACCTGATAATTCTTGAAAGCGGTGAAAGTGGACCAACGATATTTGTATGCCAACATTAGTAGATGCCTTATTGCGATTAAAGAGACCAATAATATGTCTCTGAGTCTCAGATAGCGCAAAGAGTATCCAAGTAGTTGAACTTGTACAATAGAGCACAGCGCCACCCACCACCGTCAGAAAATCGAACTCGAATAGATCTGAAAATAGCCATAGGAAAACGACTTGTTGAAGAGGCTCTAAAAATCAAAATCGGATTTTAGCACAACAGCCCTATGACAACACAGGACACATGCACGTTGCAGCAAGATGAGCGGATGTAATATGTTTTTGAGGGGGTGATGAAGGCAGTGTATACCGCCGCCCTATAGGAAGAATGTTATTCTTTCTGTTGCCGATTGAATATTCTAGATTAGCCTTCGTCCTACTCGTAGATGCGGATACGATCAGCCTAAAACTAAGCAATAAAATAGGCATAAATGAGCGTAGAGTTGAACTTGTGTTGTTTGAAAATTTACCTGTAAGCAAATGGAACAAGAATGATACGTTTATACGACATATTTCGCGTTCTGACCTGAAAGTCATCATCTTGCTTACTATGAGATCCATGCAAGATCGTGACTTTGCCTGTGGGCCGATTTCGCAATGGCATTTGCTGCTACTTGCCACCCACACGAAACACGGAAATTTCTATCAGGCTATCCCTTAGCGTTACAATGCAAGTAACAAATAAAGTACCAAGATGATTTTGGGAACCGATTGCCAACCAAGGGGGTTGTCGAGGGGGTTTGGAGGAGCTTCTAGCCAGGCGGAGTTGGTAATCCAGTGCTGGGGGTCTCACATGGTGGGTGATAGGCATTGTGTACAGAACAAACAGCTTTGATTAGTACCGAATCAGTAGCGGAGTTGTGAAGAACCACGAGGACTAACATGCGTTCAAGAAGTTAAAAGGACAGACACTATGATCCAAAAAGATCCCCAACAGCAATGGCCTCTTCCACCCTGAACTCCAGACAGCTTAAGTATGCCACTGGCGTATTCGTGCACCCTGACCTGACGGTTATAAACCCAATCGAAAACAACAACGCCACAGTAGAGTCAGTCGTGGGAGACTTGTTACGTAACATAATGAAGAAAGCACAGACGACACTGGCGCTTGACACTCCCATTGACCCATATACCCTTGATATCAAGTACCAACCTTGTGAGTCTGTACTTCGGTATACTCATTACACATACTTACCATTAATCTCAATACAGCTGGAATACCTCAAGAATCAAAAGTTTCAGAGTTACCCGAGAACGCAGAATTGTACACCATGTTTACTCCAAAAGCGGCAGTGGGAAGCCCGTTGGCTATTAAGAACCAAAATCTCGCCCAGGCAGAGGGGGACAATATGAAACTGCGAGAAATCAACAGTTTCATGTTGACAAATCGGAAGGGAGGAAAGGAGTAAGTGATACCTACTATCTATGAAGCCACCCACGAGCCTAAAGCACACACTCCACTCCACTTGTGGATAGCTCTGAGGAAATGGTGGTATCACGGAAGGATTATGAAGAATGTCATCAAAGTATTAGAGACTTACGAAAGGGGAATGTCTGGTTGGGTGGCAGGGTTCAACGGTTGGACGAAAGTTATCAGCGGTCGGAAGTGGCTATGCGCGAGCTTCGAAAGATGGTTGGTCAATCGGAAGAGGCTAATCGCGAGCTTCGAAAGGTGGCTGGTCAATCGGAAGAGAGGTATATAAAATCAGAAAAGAGGTGGGAAGAGAGGCATGCGCGGTCGGAAGAGGCTATTCGCGAGCTTCGCAAGACAAATCAACGGTTGGATGAATCAAACCTTGAATTAAAGAAGACTCTCAGGGATGTAAGGGCGGAAGTCATTGAGGAACGGGCATCACGTGAAAAGAGTGAACAAGAAATAAGGAGGGCAAGTTCTCTTAGCTTCTGTTTTTATGTGACGCTAACCAGACATCTCGACGTCTAGTACTTGCGCCTTATCACTCCGCTACATCTCCGTGCTCTGCTTGACAAGGCACGACAAAAAATCCTGATGGATGTTGAGGGCGGGACGTCTTGGGAGAGTTATCGTCGTGGGAGAGATGTTGACACATTCTCCAAAGATATTCTTGAGGAACTCTCTGTGAAGTATCATCCTCCGTCTAGTGAGGCAGTCCACTTCCTGTGTTATGCATCCAAAGAAATACGGAAACGAGGAAACGAAGCTGCCCACAAGGCCGACGTAAGTGACATTAGGAAGGCTCTCATGGACGAGCAACTGGATGCCGGGGATGTTGGGGACCATGAGCGCCTTTTGCTAAAAGAACTTTTCGAATTTGCATACGGGCAAGCCATATGATTGATTTTGTTGTTTTCATGCTATGTATCAATGTAATCTCCCTCGGTCTGACCAATTCTCGATATCCTTCTTTTAACGTATCCGAGTCACTGTTATGTAGCAAGCACCAACGGGCAATCAATATGATACTCTTGCGCAATTTTTTTTTTCCATTTTAGACAGCCAATGTACCTTCGGCCCATCAGGAAATTTACAACTCACTTTTTCAGCCTTAAAATGTCTTAACAAATATAAGAACATCGTTCCATGAAGACAATTTGAGTAGATCCAATTTCTTTCCGTGACTTATAGCACCTTATCTAAGCACTCTAAGACAATTCAAGGCAGAACAGAAAAATAAAGTTACATTCAAGACAAGATAGTTATAAGGCATGACAAGACAAATTAAGAAACATAAGGTCTGCGAGGATGAGGGAACATAGAAAAGATATGAAAAAAATATACTACCAAATTTGCATTAAAATGTAACTACGGTCCTTTGAAATGAAATGCGAGAAACAATAAACCGTGATTTTCCTACCGGACCAAGATAATAAGTTGTGAAAAATGATCAAATAAAGGGGCAAAAAACCTAGACATCTCTGATGCATGTGCACACATCAACGTCCTCTGCATCACTCTCCAATAAGACATGCTTCCCTTTGACCTTGGTATATTTGAGAGACTTCCTATGGATGTCTTCAATCATTGCTGGCTGGAGTGATTTGATAGATGTTACATAACTACGGGCTGCTGACCCCCAATTTGTGCTAGAAAAATTATTGTATGCAGTTGTTTCCTTCCCACTGAAGGCATTTAACTGGGGGACAGGCTTGAGGAAGGATTTACCGGTCAGCCTACTACCTGTCGCTTTGTCTGAGACCACATCTTCATCATTTTCCTCAGCACCAACCAGAATGACTTGGCTCTGCTTTGTAAATACACGTTCAACCTATAATCTGTATGACAAAGTAAGCCAAGTAATATAATAAGTAAAATTAAGGGAGGAACATACCGCAACTACAGATCAAGCCAAGGCACCATATGGAGGGTATTTGGCAATATTGGAAGAGTTGATGGTGGCATTACTTGCACATAGTGCTGGGACATCAACTGAGCCGATGGTTGCATCCAGGTGGGAGGAGTATGTCTGTAGAATAAATGGGAAGCAGAATACTCTCTGTGCTGCTATAATAAGGTTAGGTTGGCATGTTTAAAAATACAAAGCAGTAGAATAAATGGGAAGCATAATACTCCCTATGCTGCTATAATAAGGTTAGGTTGGCATGTTTAAAAATACAAAGCAGACAGACTTACCAAACTATCTGATTTGACAACCTCATACAAAAAAGCGAGATCTTGTAGCATGGATTTTGCGAACACCTGGCGAGCTTCTTGGGACTTGAAGTGAGGCATAGAATCAAAGAGATGCTCCAGCATGGCTTGCGCCAAAGAACTGAGGCCATTCTGCCACTTGTAAACCCGCTGGCCAAGCTGAAAGAATATGTGAGACGTAACAAAGAAAAACATTGTGAAATTCTTACCACATGATAAACCAAACAGTTCATACTGATCTGGTATGTGGTATCAGGATATACCACATCCCAGATAGCCTGCATAGTGATTAAAACCTTGCGATCATTGAGATTCCAAAGACATTCAGAGGTGCCAAGTCATCGCTGGAACATCGGTACAAAGACTGTGCCATCAATTATCTTTGTGACACCATCACTGGAGTCTACAAGCCAAATCAGTCAGTAAAACAAAAATATTCAAGGTATGTACTGATGCACTTCAGGCACCCCCAGGAGCCTAGCATTTAGGTTGATCACCCACTGTACATCTATCCACCTAAGAGGTGGATTTTTCCTGGTCTGTCCCACAATTTCTACCTCTGGGATCATTCCAAAAATCATATAAATGGGATGTCCCACTGTTTGGGATGGTCCCAGTGGGATGATCCTGGTACATGAGTGGATCCAATTACCACCACATCATACTCTGCTTTTTACAAAATGGACAATATTATTACAATAAGCTATATACATAAAAGCAAGATTTCTGAGGGGGCTGCTAGCAATTAAGCTATATTTACATAATGTAAAGGCAGGTTATTCCGAGATATCTTGCTGACAAAGCTTCATAATAATAATTATAAACAGATACTACAATATCATCATAAAACCAAACCAAACCTGAAAAATACAAAGATTCTCTTTAATAATATATCACCTAGACATCTTCAACTTCCATCAGGTTACCATTTCAGCTCTCATTGTAATGCTGCCAAATACTCCTATACTTTCCAAAAATCTCAGCAACATGTTGGAAATTCATTATGCTATCCATAGGATGGGATGATCCTATAGTGGTTATGGAACCATCTCACAGTGATCATGGGATGTCCCAGTACAGGACAGGATGATTTTACAGTAGTTATGGGACCATCCCACAGTGGTTGTGGAATGTTCCATATCCAAGCTAGGATGATCCTGCATATCACAACACACAATGGGATCTGCACCCATGTACAATGATTCTGGACTTTCTGGGCATGTAACCAATCAGTATGCTTTCCAAGTATGCCTTGGTAGCTTAGTTGGTAAAGCACCAGACCATGAAAGCTGGAGTCCCAGGTTCAAGCCCTGGCCAATGGATGTTTTCTCATACTATAAACAAATGTCATAATTTGTCACTGCAGTGGTTATGGGATGTCCCAAATGCAGGGAGGATTGGTCTTACAGAGGTCAAGAGATATCCCAAAACACCCCCACTGGACACAACTTTGAGGCATTATAATTTCTATCTTCCACACCATTCGTTGTTAGAAAATAATCTTGGAAAATCTGCTCACATAATATCTTTATTCCTGCACCCGTATATTTTAGGCCTCCAAAGTACAAATATCAAGTTATGGTGGAGCTGGTGGTTGCATCTTATCCAACTGCCAAAACACTTGTAGGTCATCTGTGTGAAATTACTCTCTCCATGTAAGTAAACCTAAAGTGGCTAGAGATGTTGTCTTCAGTAACTATGTGTACACATTGATAGTGCCTGATTTCCCAGTGGGTGGACATTTCTTATTCCTGGTATAATAGGTAACTTGGTCTCATATTTGTATAATTCAACCATGAAACCATGCTGTCCCCTTGCACTCAATCACCAGAGACCATTCCTAGCTCAAGAAATATTGACTCTAGATTTGTTGTGGTATAATGGTACAGTTTATTTAGAATGTTCACTCAGAATAGCATAAGGGGTTCCTGGACAGTATTGGTGTATTGTGTACAAAGATGTAGTAGTTGAAAATGTGTGAGATTAAGACTGATCTAGGACCATCCCACCCCACACATGGGACATCTCATGACCTCTGTGTGACCATTGCAGTTCACATATGGGATATCCCATAACTAATCTGGGACCATCCCACTTCACATATGAGACATCCCATTACTTCTGTGGGATCATCCCAACCCACATATGGGACATCCCACCCCACATTCATCCCATGATCTCTGTGGGATCATCCCAACTCATATATGGGACATCCTGTAACAAATCTGGGACATCCCATGATCTCTGTGTGACCATCCCACCCCACACATCTCATTACCTCACCACCGTAGGACCAACCCAGTACCTATTTGGGTTTATAAGAGATCCCCATAGAATTTAATGCCCCAAGAACATCTCTATAGCCCATAGCCCACTACATGTTACAATACATGTTTGGACCTTTAATTTTCAATCTCCGCTTTGCCCTTCTTTTCAGTTTTCACACAATTGTGCCATGTGGTACTCTTCCTTTTGTTCAAACTCCATATTCTTGTGCTGCACTGCCTTTCTTTATTTTTAGCTACAAGTCTCTCACACAGTGGAGCTGATCACATGGGCTGCACCCTGTGATGTCATTAGCCACTGCCTTCATCAACTGCATAGTATATATGTACAAATAGTTTGTAGATGTATATAAACCCTAATAGATCAAGGAGACTCCTCAGCAAGTCCTCCTATTGTTTACCCACAACTAACTTGGTTCTATCATAAGGGGTAACCACTTCCACTCACTTCACTACTGCTTTTCTGAGTTGTGCACCAGAGTATACAAACTCTTGGTTGTTACACTAGGACTTGCTCATATTACTCTTTTGTACTTTGTGCAAACCCAGACCACAGGGTTAAGTGGACGTCTTTTGAAAGATAAGACTTTGGTGCTAGACTGTTGTTGAGCATTTGCTAGCGAGTGGAAACAAAGTGTGTTGTAACAACCAAGAGTTAGTTACTCTGGCGCACAATTCAGACAAGCAAAAGAGTAATGATGAGGGAGTGGTTACCCCTTAGGTAGGACCGAGTTAGTTGTGGGTATACAACGGGGGGATTCACTAAGGAGTCTCCTGGATCTATTGGGTATTTATACTACTACAGGTTGTTTGTACATATATACTATACAGTTAATGGAGGCAGTGACTGATGATGTTGTAGGGCGCATTGTAGGCACTTGATCTTTTCCAAACAAAGGCAACAAGTGGCAGCCTTGTCGTATACTGCTCAATGGTACTATGGAGTACCATCAGCTCTAAGTGCAGGTTTTGTAATTGCATACATCATATGTGCTGGATCTGCACTGCCTTTCAACTTGGTGTAGCATTCAATGTACACCAATGGAATTTTGGGCCAATGTTTGGGTATACCAACAGAACCACCATGAAAAATGGCAGGGAGCTTGAATATTACTTTAACTCTTCCAACATGTGTACCTATTTTATGAAACATTAATTCAAAACTTGAAACTGATCATGAAATTAGAGGAAAATATTACCAGCAACACCTGTTGACTCTGCTTCTAATGAGTCTAATACAACAACATTATCAAACTGTGGAGCAATTCCTTTGGACCTAGGTCTTGCTTTAATGACTTCGTACTTTACACTTGCACTAGCATCATCTCTGTCACGACTTGAACCAGAAGCGCTAATCTGAGCGCTAATTTCCTTTTTCATTTCTTTGATATCTGATCACATGACAGATAAGATATGTTAAGCTGCTGCTTTAGCGCGGATAACATAATACGTAGTTATATCAGATCACGTGACCACCACGTGACACGAGTCTAGAATTATTACAAAGAACATCAGTCAGCGCCTCATGGCTACTACATGTTAGCTCAGTCAGCGCCTCATGGCTGACTTTCAGAAACATATATATAGTAGACCATCATGTACATACTTTCCTCAGTTGTTGATTAATTCTCAATCGTTACTTGAAACGCTACTTGTCTGATTAAAAGCTTTTATCCCTCCGTTAACTCGGTATAGGGGATAGAGGTTTTACACAATCAACAACTGCTACGAGTACCGTTTATGAACCTAACAGCAACAATCCTAACAACCATCATCATCACCATCATCATCATCCTACTAATCCTAACCCTACTCAAACACTCAACCCAAACCACCACTACTCTTCCACTCCATCACATCCCTACTCGCCCCGACACCATCTTATCTTTCTTTCCCGCCAACGTATCACCTTCCTCATCCCAAGACTCCTTCGTAACCATCCCCCTCTAAATACATTTATATCATCATAATCTCTTTGGTGTGGAACCACTGAGATTTTCTCGGTTTTACCTAGTTTCATTTTTCGATTTCCTCTGACCAGGCCGCGCATTTGCGTCCGCCAGTCGGGAGAAGGACTGAAAGCCTAATAAGCTGGTCACATTGGGACAACCGTTCGGACCCCAATTTATCACTATACCTTTTACATAAAATTCGTAAAATACAAAAATAGTTACCATACCTACATAGTCAGTAGTGGGCTGAAGAGGACCACTTTGACTCAAAGAGAAATAGATAGACTACTAGGATCTTAGAAAGCGGTGTATCGATCCAGCTTATCACTGGTGAACTCCTTTCTATGCTTAGTAGAGACTTTTACATTTGGATCGGAGAGCAACACATTTACTCTCAAGATTACGTATTCAAAGGGAAATTCCCTTTACCAGAAATAGAACCCATCAGAATCCCATCCCCTTTAATCAAATCCGAAACTCCCCCTCCTCCCCAACTCACGTTCAATGTCCAACCTAGAATATCGCGATCTGCCCGAGCCATCCAACAGTACGGACAGCGCATTTACCAGGGAAATGATGGACGCATTACCCAGAATAGAAACTCCCCCCCCGAAAGAAGCGCGATTGGAAGCATACGTAAAACAAGAAATAGAAAAGGCAATAAGACAGACACAAATGCACTACCAATCGCAGCTAGACGAGGCACTCGAAGAAGTGAGCGTCTTGCAAAGAAAACTAAAGAAACAGATACAGCCACCTCCAGAAAAGGTGGAAAGAAGTAGAACGGCACTGGAGAAACCCGAGAACTTCTCCGGAGATAAGAAAAAGTATAGGGCCTTTAGAGAGTCCTTATTACTGCATTTCGAAGATGATGCCGTATATTTCAAAGATGATCGAAAGAAGATAAGCTTTGTGCTATCTTTTATGAAAGAAGGAGAAGCCGCGGCCTTCCGGACCGATTGGCTAGAGAACCGAGTCGACGCCCAACAGCTGGGGCTCGATATTACAAACACGTACGGAAGTTGGCCGTATTTTGCGGACAAAATGGAAGAAAGGTTCAAGGACAGTTTTGAAAAAGAAACTGCCAAGAACGAAATACTGACCCTGAGACAGGGCAACGAAACCGCCCAAGCCTTCTTTGAAAGGTTTGAAGAGAAGAAAAGATGGGCGGGATACACAAATAGAATAAATGAAGAGTTCCTAGTATCTCTACTCAGAAGGAATATGAACAAACCGCTAGTGGATAGGGTGATCTACGGCGGGCACATTCCAAGAGATTACCAAGAGTGGAAAAGGGAACTCATCAGAATAGACTATATTTGGAGAGAGAGAGAGAAAGAGAAGAAAGGTTCCGATACTGGGAAGAAACCCTATTCGGAACAAAAGAAAGAAGGAGAGA